TTTTTATGCGATACAGTTGGAGAATTTCATCGAAATGCTTACAGCCATGACTAACATACAGCATTATGAGCCTGTAATCGTGAATATTGTTTTGTATCGTTATAATTCACCTCTACACCAGTCTCCGAGCGACCTTCGCACAAAAACGAGGAATCCGATTGAAATGCCTTAACGGTCAAGACCAGGATGACGTGATGAATGCGCGTTAATATGAGAATTATCAATGAACTAGCTTTCAACCGCGGCTCCGCCCGCGCGGTTAAATAGCTCGCAGATGGCAGAATTTTTTCCTACTTGTCACTCATCGATATATTTTGGTCAATTCACACAGTATCTTTATAAATTACTAGCTCACCCGGCAAACGTTGTCTTGCCGTATAAATTATTTCTAAGGTATTTGTAGGGTAGAAAAAAATATTTGGGGTGAACCACCCTTAATATTTAGGGGGATGAAAAATATGGTGTCCGATTCTCCGCCCTGGCCGATAGGCACAAAAAATTTCACGAAAATCGGTCGAGCCGTTTCGGAGGAGTTCAATTACAAACACCGTGACACGAGAATTTTATATATTAGATAGAGAATACATGGGTATTCTTGTAAAGTTTCGTAGTAATAGCCGTGATAGCTCCGTGTCCGGTAGCTCGCCTTTAATTACATTTACTCGAGCAACCTGTGTTCGATCCCTGTGCCAGCACCAATGGAATTGTTAATTTTAAGTGCTGAATTATCACGTGCTCCGCGGTGAAGGAAACCATCTTGTTTCGGAAAATATGTGAAGTCCGCCAATCCGCAGTGAAGTTAGCTTGAAAGAGTAACAAACATCAATACATACAAAATTTCGCGTTATAAGAACTACTATATATATAACTACTATAAGAATTACTATATAGAACGGATAAGATTAGAATCAGAGACACGAACGCTGCAAAGAACTGCAGTTTTACGCACTGTAAAACATTTTACAAGATTCTACCGAGGGAAGGCGACATTGAGGAGGCATCCTCCGATATTAAGTATTAACATCTCAGTCATCTGGAGCATCGGAAAATAATTAATTTAGTGAAACTAATTTATATACTGTATCGCGACTTGACGAGGTTGATTATATTAAACGGAATGTATGAAACAGTTATGCATTCTGCGACCTGACGCCTCAGTTGGCATAGGCAGTAGTGAAGCTGACCTGCCTCTTGCGCCTGAGGGTGTGGGTTCAATCCCTACTACTGGAAAAATATTGTGCGATGAACATAGTGTTTTCCAGTGTCTGGGTGTTTATAGACGTGTGCGTATGTATTATGTACAAAAGAAAAGTATGTTTAAGCATGTTTATGAGTTTTCTAGTATCCATAGTGCAAGCATTGCTTAGTTTGGAAGTAGAGAAGGTTGTGCGAAATGTTTAATAAAAAATTCACTCGGTTATTATACACCGCAAATCCTCGCAAGACAACGCCGTAAGAGAAATACGCGTAATAATATCTCTTGTCTCCATTACACAGCCGAGTGTAATAATAAAAGTGTCCGTTAGGAATCGAACACGCTACCGGTATGACGCAATCCCGTGCGTGACCTCACTTACGTACAATAAGAGGAATGCGTGTAAAAAATCAAATACCAAATCGTACGCTGGGCCCAGCCGCGATAGCTCAGCTCTCGCTTTTGATTCAATATACTCGAGCGCCCGAGTTCGAATCCGAGAAGTACCACGACCTCACAGAAAAACCGGCGGGAAGAGGAAGTTTTACACTTGCGCAATTCGTCTGGTGAGTGAGGTAGCCGGGGCGCACTTTATTAAAATGTGGCAAGACATCTGCAACCCTACGGGTGTTGCAAATGTTCATGGGCGGCTGCTGTCGCTTATCATATGAGCCGTTTGTTCTGTCGTAGCAATTCCCCGAACGGGCCTGCCCATTCTTGCAACAGCGAAGACTATTCCGTGGCCCTATCACTGTATTCTTTTAGATCAAAACCCAAGTCGTGTAGGCGCCCAATGCAACAGTTATCACGGCCGTGTAAAGTTCAGGTAGCGCTCACCACGTCCGCGCTCGATACCGCCCGATATTACCGATACCGGCCGATCTCACCGATAAACGGATGACGTCTTGTGCGTTCGTGATACCTTATCTTATTTGTACTCGCTGATAGAGCGTAGCGTTATATCGCGGCCCGTTAGGAATGCAATCGAAGCGTTGAATATGCGTTCTCGATCCTAATTCACAAGGCTATTTATTGCTCATGTTTCATTGGTAAAGGTATTAGCTTCGGCGTCGGGGGCCGTGGGTTCGATTCCCACACGGCACAAGTGTTTGCGTGACCCACGGATAACCGTTTCGGATCTGGTCTGTTCCCAAATGGGGTTGACGTCAGGCTGGTCGTAAGAAACCTAGCCAAAAGCACTTGAGCATGATTCACATGCCGTGCCAAACCCACCTAGGTGGGATAAGGGCAGGAAGTGAAGATGATGGTTGCTATAAAAGGATGGTTTCATTGCAACCAACCTAGGATGCTGGATACTGTCCCCTGGTTAGTCTGTTCCCTTAGACGTCTACGGAAATTGAGGTGTAGCAGAAACCGTGTCAAACTTTATAAATCAGTGGGTCCCGCATACCTCATTCCTAGATTGTTTATCTTTTATACTCAATAATAGATTGGAACATAGACACAACCGTACTTTAGCTGACTACCCTAAATATAATGAAGTCTGCAAAACTGTCACGTACATAACTTACTTATTATACTTTAAGAGAAATACTTTTACATATATAAATTTCGTCCACATCGGAAACCGCTAAACATATATTGATCAAATATATTAAGATTGAATTTTAAATTGAAATTTGCGTCCTTCACTGGTATTTTTCTTCGAAATGAAACAAACGCCAAGCGAAGCTCTGACGCGAAGTTACTAACGATTAAAAAAAATCCCTAACATTTCTGTGTGACATTTAAATTCTTCTCTAAATCAATACAAATATATTCGTATGTATATAGTATTTCGTAACAGCGAAAACAGGTCTATAATCGGCCTCGTTAAGCGTCTATTAATAAACCCGTTTACTTACATCTATGGTGATATTAGCGGAATAATGTCAGTTTTTGTAGCTATATCTAATGCTCTATGCCGGTCTTATGAGGTCGTGGTAATTACCCGGACGGACTTGCCCATTCGTGCAACAGCGAACACCGTTGCGTGGCCCTACCACCCGTAATATAATCTACTGTATAATAAATTCTCATTTCGGTCGGCTTCGAAGTCTGGTCCAGCCGCGAGCAATGCGAGACATTCGCCTCCACCGTCTGCGCATCGCCGGGGCGTCGGCCCCACGTGAAAGCGCGCGTCGCTACGCGACCACAACGCCAAGAGCTGGCACGCAGCCTCTCGCTCACATCTCGAACAGCGTAAAGGCAACACGCATTACTTAGCCGCGATAGCTCAGCCAGCGCGACAGCTTGCTTACGTTTGAGTAGGGATGCCGAAACGAGTATAATTTTAACAAGAAAAAACCGACCTCAATCAGAAAATTAAAAACATTGTTAATACCTATAGGATTCAATGACGGCCCTCGATTTCTCTGGGATGCCATCATCAGATCCGGGTTTCTTTATTATGGTACCACCCTTGGGACATCTTCTTTCCGATGAAAAAATAATCATCAAAATCGGCTCATAAACGACGAAGTTATCCGTGAACACACATGAAAAAAAATAAAAATATATGCTGTCGAATTGAGAAACCTCCTTCTTTTTTGAAGTCGGTTAAAAAATAGCCGATATACTTTGATCCGATATATCCGATAAAACATTCAATAACGAAATCGTATCAAAAACTTATTTTTTCTTATTTTTTCAAATTCGAATCCGGGACAGAGACATTTAAATATTTAATATTTGGCACACTTTTTTTTTGACAACAGGGCCAAAAATAAAATATCGATATATTTCTTCACTTTCCGCATCCCTAGATGACTTTACTATGTCTCGTGGCTTTAAGTGTTTCGGGTCGTGTTTTTATGAAACTACTGGGTGTGCTAAGCTTTTTTGCTTTGATCCTCCACCCTGGCCGATATGGACTCAAAATTTCACGAAAATCGGTAGAGTCGTTTCGAAGGAGTTCAATTACAAACACCGTGACACGAGTATTAAATATATTAGATATTATTGTAAAGTTTCATTAAAATCCATTTAGAAGATTTTGCCTCAAAAAATATACAAACATCCATCCATACGTACAAACTTTCGCGTTTATAATATTAGTAAATAAGTAAGGATAACAAGGAGTTCCAGGTAATTCTGTAACCGGAGTCTGTGGAGTGCGTCACTTGGTGACCTCATAGTTGCCATAAGGTCGAACTGTGGATCGGTACGAGCTCATAACCAACACTCACCTTCGCCCGCGGCTTCGGACGCGTGATCTCAACGAATGAGTTAATCTTAACCCGATTGAAAGTACTCCGGCCGCACTTAGGGTTCACAATTAGCGCGCATTATCCTTTAATTTGTGCATCAGCAGGCTTATTAATTAATGGTTACGAATAAAGTTTTCATATGTTCGGGTTTAAACTTCTAAATGGAACCACTAGAGCGAATGGTAGGCTTAATTCATTTTTTAAAGTTTTTTATAGTGCTAGAGATTAGCACTTAAGATTGAACATTAAAACATGTAGAAAGAACAATATTACTAACGACATCTATCTAATCTTAAACTAAGCAAACCTTGTACTATTGACAATAGATAACTTATAAGCATACTAAAAATTACTTTTCTTTTGTAGATAAATACATATTACAAAATATAATAAACATCCAGACTGTAGAGAAACACTTAGTTCATCACACAATGTTTTTACAGTAGTGGGGATGGAATCCACACCCTTAGGCGCAAGAGGCAGGGCACTATCCACTACGCCGATTGGGTCAGAAAATAAAAATGTTTCAACCTATTCAACATTGGGCACAATTGAAACAATTTACAAATGCCAGTGAGTGAAAACTCGGCGTGTATATGTCACGGAGGCGTTACAAAGCGTGCGACGCCAAAACCGGTCCAGAGGCCGGTGGGGCCTCTGCGGCGACCTTGGCTGACGTAACGCTCCCAACCGTCTACAGGTTTGAATCTCGCACTAATAGGAAACGATCCTCCACTCCATAGCCTGGAGTTCTCGGGCTAAGGTAATAAGTAAATAATCACTATATAGTATAAAACAGTCGTCCCGCTGTCTGTCTGTCCCTATATATGCTTAGATCTTTAAAACTACGCGGTTGATGCGGTTTTCTTTAATAAATAGAGTGATTCAATAGGGAGGTTTATATGTATAACTCATGCATAATATAGTATAGAAACACTGATAATTTTAGAGGTTTCTAATGCGATGTCCAAAACAAACATTCAGCATTGCACCCGCGCGAAGCCGGGGCGGGTCGCTAGTAATAAATATTTTAGGACATTTTTACACAACGTTCTGTACTCCGAAACTAAGCAACGCTTGTACTATGGGTACTAGATAACGGATAATCACTTAAACATACTTTTCTTTTGCAAATAAATACATATTATACATACGGTGGTAGGGCCACGCAGCAGCCTCGGCTGTTGCACGAATGGGCAGGCCCGTCCGGGTATGTACCACGACCTCACAAAAGACCAGCGTAAAGTGACAGTATGACAAATACTTTCGCGTTTCGTCTGGTGAGTGAGGTAGCCGGAGCCCAATTTTCAAAAGGTTATCAACGCGTCTGTAACCCTCGGGTGTGGCAGATGTCCATGGGCGGCGGTATTTACTTAACATCAGGTAAACCGTCTGCTCGTTTGACAACTTTTCGCATAAAAAAAAAAAAAAACATATATAAACACCAACACACTGGAAAAGACTATTTTCATCACACAATATTTTTCCAGTAGTGGGGATCGAATTCACACCCTCTGACGCAGGAGGCCGGTACACTACTCACTACGCCATTCGGGTCGTCAAATTAATGTAGGTTGGATATGCTTACAAACTCTTAGTTCAAGGCGACGCCGAAATTCACTTATTTTATTTATGCCCCATTTACATGTATTTAGTAAATTAGTAGTCATCTAAATTTTAGCTAAATACATGCGTGTTAACAGACATTTAAGTAAGAAATTGGTAGTTAGAATTTAGTTAACTATTGTTACGTGTAAATCAGGCATTAGGTTTGCTTAAATTAATGTACGGGTTTTATGGTCCTGTTTACCCTTTGAGTACGGAACCCTAAAAAGTGGTAAAGGAACGTTTATGTGTTTACCTTATTATTTAAATGATAACACGTTCTGGAAATGTATCGATCGCTCCAGGCTCTTTCAAGTGGACTGTAATATCTAGTAAACATAATTTATTGTCGAATACATAACCGGTAAAAAAGTTTTATCACAGTTCTGGTTTTACTTTTCTTCCAAACCCGTTAAAGCTATTTAGCATTAAGTTCGCCTTTGTACAAACTTCTAGTACAATAAAGAATAGTACCCGGAGGACCGATCCGGGTTTCCTTATCATGGTACACCCCTTAGGATATTTCATCGCCAACAATAAAAGGCTCATCAAAATCGTTTCATAAACGACAAAGTTTTCCGCGAACACACATAAAAAATAGTACCCGGAGGACCGAGCTTTGCTCGGTTTGTTTTTTTTTTTTTTTTTTTGGTAAATCGTGTATTTTGGAAATTACATTTAGATACAAATTACTGAGTAATGAAATATGCATATTTTTCGATCTTACCTACGTAATAATAAGAAAATATGAACTGATGTTTTTCACAAAAGAAAGAACTTAAAAAAAAGGGGAAAAAAATACAAAATAACAAATCGACAAAAAATTAAAAGAAAGAGAAAGCAATGATTTGGAATCGAAAAAAAAGTAAAAAAATAAATGTGTAAATGATCGTGACGCGAACCACGGCCGTCTGTTTTGGGGCCGCCCGATTACCGACCGAGCTATTATGACATTTTCTCTTGCGGCGAAATTTACGAGTTTCCGAGATTCCGATTATATATATATATATTTATACAAGAATTGCTCGTTTAAAGGATAAGAAGATACAAACAAACAAACAAAGTGAGTGTAATGCTTCTGTATCGAATAAATTTGAATTTGTCGGCAACAACGCATGTGATTTCTAGGCAATAATGCACTCTTATCATCAGTCGAACCGTCCGCTCAATTGCCGGGCCGGCTGTAGACATAAAATCTCCCATAAAAGTCGTCCACTGTAGGCGCACTGACCGATAGCGCGTCTGGCCGCAAATAGACCGTAAAAAGACAGTGGGTCAAAAGACGAGCGATCCGTTGCTCTCGCGTATTTCTGACGCGATTTCCCACGTCTTGAGAAGCCGGAGAAAGGAGTCTCGAGCCAGATCGCGCTTGGAATTTGTATGTTGGAAGGTGGAGGCATTGTATATATTATTTCGCTGTATCGCTAGTATCGCGTTTAGAGAATATTTAAATAAATATTTATACGAATTAAGACATTTGTTTTCTTTTCAATCGACTTCAAAAACGGAGGTTCTCAATTCGACTGTGTTTGTTTTTAACAGTGAACCGGTTTTGATTCTTTTTTTATTTGAAAGCTGGTGCTTCCCATGTGGTCCAATATTAATTTCATTGGTATTGGACCTTCGGCTCCGGAGATACTTGGGAACTCTTGAAAATCAATTATAAAATGAATATAGAGCGAAATGATAATATGGACCTGTGTTAGAGCGATATTATCGTATTCATATTTCTAACGGTTTTTCTGTGAGAGGGTGGCGAGCGAGCTATACTTTTAAGACTTTCTTTTTAACCTGCGACGTAAAGAGAGCGGTGTTATAAGTTTGACGTGTATGTCCGTGTATCTGTGTGTCTGTCTGTGGCATAGTAGCTTCTAGACGAATGGACCGATTGTTACGTACTTCATTTTGTTGTATGCTGGCTGTAATTTATGAAGATTTAGGCGTTTACATATCATCCGCTTATTTCGTACTTCACAAAAAGAAATAGTTTTCATTTGACGTAGCGTATATCGTGAAAACGGCGGTCAGCATAGTGATGGGACGCGCTGGACCGAGACAGCAGACGCGGCCACACAAGCGTTGACCCCACACCGTTACGAGTACCGCACGTTGCGCAGTGTGCGCTATCCTCGACGCTAAGCGTTGAGTCTTTTTTAATGTGAGAGGGTGGCAAGAGAGCTGATGTTAAGGGATAACCGCCGCCCTTGAACTTTTGCGAAATCCGTAAGGTTGCAGAAGCGTTGCCACCTTTAAATAAAGTGGGCCCGGCTACCCCACTCACCATAACTTCCACTTTACGCCGGTCTTCTGCGAGGCCGTGGTACTTACCCGGACGGGCCTGCCCATTCTTGCAACAGCGAAGACTGCTGCGTGGCCCTACCGCTTGCCCACTGCTCGAGCTCGTCTTGCGGAGTTCAAATATTAGCGCCCGTTAGAACGGGTGACGTCACAAGGGACGCGTGTGGACCTCTGCGCCGTATTCTAGAAGCGAGTGCGGTCCAGTCGAGTGCCGTGTTGGTGACATTGCACTGTTTTCGAGAAGTGGTGGGAGACCACACCACCCGTGGGGCTACTGTGGAATTGTTGGCCTTAAGGCGATGGGCCCCAGTTACCTCAGTCGGCGGATGAACCTTAAATTAGAGGTTTTTAGGTCGATTGTGAGCATTTACCATTAGTTGCAATTAGCCGGTTCCGATGTAAACAATGGTTGATTAATCGATAAAAGAAATTCTGCGCCTACATTGTTTATTCATTGAGAATAATCACGTATAATTATATCCTCCCTGTAGTACATATCTCGTAATCTATAAATGAGACCTTATCTATCATGTCGTCATTTTGAAAGTATTAAATTAATATATTACGCAGGGACATTCCAACTGTAGGGAATTGACGAAAATTCATCTATGAATTTTTACGTGGGATAAATCTTTTATGGATCCCTCGCCGTCTTGTAGGTAGGCAGAAGGGGTATGTGGGAGTTCCGAGGGTACCCACTAAAAACCCACGTTGCACCAGCGCTCTCGCTTTTGCTTCGAACAGGCAAACGCAATCTTCCGTGAACCACGATGGATATAATCCTTACTTCCTTACTAATATTATAAAGGCGAAAGTTTGTATGTATGGAGGAATGTTTGTTACTCTTTCACGCAAATACTACTGAATGGATTTTAATGAAACTTTACAATAATATTGCTTATACACCAGAATAAGACATAGACTATAATTTGTATAAATATTTTTATGTATATCTGTCTTTCTGTCTGAATGTTACCCCTTCACTTTTCTACGCAGACGTAGTCGCGGGCAGCAGCTATTATTAACTTAGTAGCTAGTAATAACTAAAAAACCTAACGATTTCGAAATACCATCTCGACAAGATTATCGTCTTCCTAAATCACGGATTAGTCCCCGGGATCAAGTGGGCCGACGGGTAGTCCAATTAAGTGGTGCCAATGACCCGGGATCGTGTCGCCCACGCGGTCACCCGGCCCACGGAGCCGCGCAGTTGTAAACTCGTGCGGTGTTGTTTACACGCGTGGGCAACGTGCGCCCGGCGCGTGTACGTGTCGGAGAAACTGTGGAGATGCTCTCTCGGCACGCCGCACTTTCGAGACAGTCGTCCGCGTTTGAAAGTACTCAGTGCTAATCCAACTTTGAAGCTTCCGTTTAGACGTCTTATTTACTCATATATGCATTAATTGAGTTGAAGTTAAAACGAACGAGCTCATATCGACAACTGCAAAAGAGGAAAGATAACGAAGCCATTGAAATTATCTACTTATTGATACGAGGCTCAACTCCCGAATCGTAGTAATTTTCTTAACGTCGTATCTTGACCGTACCTATATAATATATCTAGCGGCTTTGTATTTGTAATGTAGTGTCAAATAGATCGTTGAACAAAGCATACCTGTTAAATTACAAAGTACAACGCGAAGGGAAAAAGACTATTAAAAACAGCCCTATACCCTTCTTAAACTTGGAAACGCTTCGTTTATCTCGTCATAGTTAACCAGTCATAATGATCCAGTATGCAATGTGAGACATTTAGGCCGGAAATCTAATGATATATCTCCATTAAGCAATTCTGATATTCCCTTAATTGAAACTAATGTACGGATTTTATCGCGTTTTAATTTTGAACACGGCAGCCACCATCCGTAAACTAGTTTCAATTAGTATCTATAACATTCGCGTAAAATCAAGAAGTCGGATATTCTACTCAGGGCGCGCGGACGGAATCGACCAAGGCGTGTATTAGTGCAGTGAAAGTGTTATCAGATATCTTGTAAGTGACAAACCAAAGATTCGTCCAAATAGATAGCATAGAAGTGCCGAGAAGAGGGAGCCGGTCACAGAGAGCCCATGCCCTGGGCTGGCAACCATGCAGCGCCAGCTCAGCAATGTCAGCGTGCACTCGTACCAGGACTACCAGCCGACGAGACGATTCGGTAAAGGCCACGTCTGATCCCTATTACACGAAAATAAAGTCAAAACAAAGCCGAGATTTGAAATAAACTTACGAAATAGAGGGCGCTTCCCAGATCAAAAGCCCTATGATAAAAAATACACCAATATCGTCTTTAATTTTTTGTTTACATTGTCCTCACAGTGTGATAACATTGTCCTGTATTGTAAGGACGTTTTACACATATGAATTTCACGCGGACAAATGCCCATATCCGAAACATTTTTCAGTGGGTCACACAAATAGTTGTCTTGTGCGGGAATCGAACCCACGAAACACGACGCCGATCGGAGCCGATCTAGCCTCTTTGCTCGTGTCTTCGGCATTCCAAAGCCCCAATGGCTACCTTAGTAATTTACATTGGGTAAGATCTTGGACCAACAAGTCCGTGTTAATAATAATTTCGTATCTTTGGACGAGAACATCCCATAAGTAGACTAATAGACTGTTTCCTGATCGTTCTGTCTGATGGTAATTTGACGCTGAAGTCGAATTGTAACTAATTGAAGCGACTGCCTCTAGTTAACTAATAAAGCTTTTCTCATCACTCGTTATCTGTACCCAGAACCGTCAATTGTGGCTTAATTAGACTTAAGTTCTTTCATTGGCCAAGTACATTCATCTCTTATACGAGCCTCTTAATAAGACTCTACTTAGAACGTAAATTCATTTAGAGATAGTTTAGCTTATTAGATCTATTTAGTTATTAGATCTATTTACATCAGCATATCTGTTGACCTTAAAGAACGGTATCACGTTGGATGCGTGCAATCGGCATATCAGCATTATTGGATGCATGCTTGAAAATACTATACCGGTGTCTTGATGACATGACAACAAAAGTAATTAAATCCTGTCATTTTCACTAAGTAAATCCGCCATATTGACTTAAAACATTAACGACGTAAGCAGCTGAACAATTTTCTAGGCTGTCAAACCTATAAAGTACCAACTTTATTCGCGCAGCATCTCAATGTTGACAAAACAGCCTAGATATGAGCTTTAACAATAGACCATTGTCAAGATAATGTCGCGTAAACAAACTATTGATTTTTCAGAATTTTTCAGAACCGTAGGAGTATATACTTTAAAGTAGCAATGAATTAGATTAACCGCTCGCACTTTGTTTAGTTTAACAAATTAAAGCTAAAAAAAGGCAATTACTGTTCTACTGTAATATGGTCATATTACAGTAGTATAGTATAAGGTAATATATGCCGCTTCTCAGTGCTTAACACTATTAAGTTACTGTTGTATGTATACCGTATACAAAATACACTCATGAAGGCTATATTGCATACAAACAGTTTTGGGCATGCTATAGTATCCTATCTGCTTTCCAGGGTCGCACTAAGATACAGTATAATATTTATATCATGAGTGGTTCTAATTCAGGTTGCGGGTAAAGTTCGTGTACAGCGATGACGTCATCAATACCAGACCTCTTCTTTCTCCTGCCCTTATGTCCTTTCCGTCCCCTTTCCTCTACCAGCCGTCATCTCAGTACAGACCTCTTTCACAGACATATCATTCTTCACACAGTCCGTCCAAACTTTTCTCGGTCTTCCGGTAACTTTGCACCCTCCGACCGCATTCATATTGATCACACTTCTAGTGACATTCTTCATTAATACCGACGAAATTGATGAACTCATCACTCAGTTAATCAAAGTATCCGCTGAACTCGAGTCCTGTTAAACGGCGGGTAGACCTTCGTTTTGCGTACAGCGATGACGTCATCGATACCTCACCGACTTTATAGACTTTGACCGAGCCACCCACCGTCGATTGGGTCCTTGGTCAAGCAATCAGCCAGTCAAAGTATAGGCTTTGACTGAACCGCCCACAGTCGAGCGGGATCATGTCCATGTCATGATCAATCAAAGCAATAGCTGAACCGGTTCCTCTCCCCAGGGCCGCAGTATGAGCCCGGCGGCTACGCGGCGGCAGTGCAGCAGCGTAGCAACATGACCCAGCGCGAGGACGCGCTCAAGTTCGAGCAGGGCCGCATCAAGGCGCTGCAGGAGGAGCGGCTGCACATCCAGAAGAAGACCTTCACCAAATGGGTCAACTCGTTCCTGCAGAAGGTGAGCGCGCCATTTTTGTTTTCTGCTATTGGGATGGGGGGGGGGGGGGATCTTCAAAAGATGTCACCATTCAAAACCCCCTCGGTGGGTACGAACGGTACGTTTGGAGGGATAACACACAATGATATCTAGTCTCATACTACGCAGAGCTTGTACTTTGGGCGCTAGTTGCTGATAAGCATACTTTAAACATACGTTTTTACATAATTATGCTTAAACATCCGGATACTAGAAAAACACTCACGCATTGAATATCGCACAATATGTTCCCAGTTGTGAGGATCGAACCCACGTCCTGTAGCGCAAGGGACAGGTTCACTGTCAACTACGCCATCGGATCTTTATTAGGCTTGTTGCGCCGCTTTATCTGGTCCCAAATTGGCAGAGCTAGCATCGCGAGTACTAGGTAAACGGTTATCTTTTGTAAATGATGATTTGGTGGCGTCGTGCGAAGCTTGGGCTTCGGTGCCGGACATCGCGGGTTCGATTCCCACACGAGACAGTGTGAGACATACCTAGCCAATATCGCTAACGAAACAACTCACTAGTTGTGACGGTTTAGGCGGGATAATGCAGGATGACGGTATGTTTTACTTTTGTAAAAAAATATTACACATTATTGACTTATAAACACCCACACACCAGAAATACACTATTTAAAAAGTCTTTGTAATGTGTAACATGCCGTAAATTGCACTAGATGGTGTCAAACATTGCTAATAATACAATAAAAAGATCGTTTATATCGTATGTAGATGTCGCAATTTTCGCGTCGTGAGATCATCGGCCTTACTTTACTTGACAGAGAAAGTTGCAGGTTCGAATCTCGCAGCGCCAAAATTTGTCAATTTTAATTAAATTTCAAATTTGAAGTTTCAATTCGAGCGCAGAGACTAGTACTAGAATAAAAATTAACTCTAACAATACACTAAGTTCACGACATGATATTTTACCAGTAGGTTCCACTATCCACTATGACAGTTTTATAGGATATCTTATATTTATTTATTAGACGGTAGAAACATAGGAAAGATGCTGGCAGCTAACTTTGTTAGGAAGACCATTATAATGTCCGTTCAAGGTGCGAATAAATTGACAAGTCCTCCGCAAAACTATGTGATTTGTCAATTGTATTGTTGACTAATACGATGAATCATTAATATTCTTGCATCATCTTAAAATTCTTATAATTTTCTTACGAGATAAGTTAGTAAGCGGGCAGGTGTTCCGCCAGATGTTAAGTCATTGACATTCGCATGTAGGGTTGCAGATGCGTCGCCACCTTTTGATAACCTGGGCCCTGGTCACCTCACTCACTAGACGAAACGCAGAAGTATAGCGCTTCCATTTCACGCCGCTCTTCTGTGAGGTCGTGGTACCTCTCCGGACGGACTTGCCCTATCTTGCAACTGTTGCGCGGCCCTACCACGGTTTAAAAGTTGAGATCTGGATTGAAATAAAAATTAAACAAGAATATAGAATTGGTTGAAAAGAGTAAAGTTACAACCGTCTCGGAGGAGAGAAACTGGAAATTAAAGATTTTTTTGAATTGCTAAAGAGACATACAAATCAAGATTTTTTGTTATGTGACAAAGTGGCAAATGATATGTGATATGTGATGATAACCTCCGGCCATGGACATTTGCAACACCCGTAGGGTTGCAAATGCGTTGCCACCTTTAAATAAAGTGGGCCCTGGCTACCTCACGCACCAGAAGAAACGCAGAAATGTAACACGTCTACTTTACGCCGGTCTTCTGTGATGTCGTGGTACTTAACCGGACGAGCCTGCCCATTCGTGCAACAGCCGAGGCTGCTGCGTGGCCCTACCACTGTTAAAAGTAGTAATAGTATAAACGCAGTTGCATATGATACTAAAGTTTGAAACCACACTGTGCTGTTAAATTGGAAAACAAGTACGCGTTGATAATTCTCTTAAATATGTGTCATTGAAATCGCGAATAGCCGACTGTGTCATGCCTGACATCATGCTGTCTGTTGTTGTTTGTCCGTACACGACCGAATGTGGAACGTATACAATATAATAATAATCTTTATCGTTCTCTATTGTAATAAACACGTTTATCACTGAAACACTGCAAATGACTGGGTCTCACTTTATTTAAAGTGGCAACGCATTTGCAACCCTACGAGTGTTGCAAATTTCAAAGGGCGGTGGTTATCACTTATCATCAGGTGAACCGCCAGCTCGTTTACCACTTTCTCACATTAAAAAAAATGTCCGTAAATTTATATAAATACGTGAAACAACCACGTTTGTACCTCTTTTTACGAAAATTGTCTTATAATTCATACACAGAAGGAGAGCAGAATTTTAATTTTTTTTTTCACTTTTATAAAACTGTTATTTGATACACAAACGCATATATACACTTTTGTTTATTTAGTTATTGTGTCAGACAATAGATCAATATTGTTCTTATATCAATATAACTTATAATTTAAATCAATTATGGTCGAATTTCGACCACTCGGCGTCCACTAGTAATTCTCAATATCTGTAAGATAGCCCAGTGTAGCCCGCTTGGCAACAAATAAATTGTCAATTTTAAGTGACATCAAGGGCTCAGGCGGTCAAGGAAAACACCGTGACACCTGCTGAAAGGCTGACACAGTTGACGTTTCCCGGAATATGGTGGGATATAAATAATTGCTACCAGCACAATATCTGCCTATTTAGCTAAATATATGGTTTTCCCTGAGTTGTAACACAGAAAATTGAAGAAATATGTATCCTCAACTGTTTTAGACGAAACCATTTTTCGCGTTTGTCAAACACAAAAGAGGGAGTTCTCAATTCGACTGTATTTTTTTTTATGTTTGTTACCTGACGAAAACTGCCTTCACTTTCGAAATAATAATAAAAAAAATATTTCGAAGATATTCGAAGTCCGCCAATCCACCGTGGGGCCGCGTGGTGGACTATGCCTTGATACTCTCTGTACAGAGGAGGCCTTTGCCCAGCTGTGGGACCAGTATAGGCTGATACTTTCTTTTACCATCGCATAGGCCTTTGCCATCGCCTTTGCTATCTGACGTTTCATGTTATTTCATTTTTAAGTTTATAATAATATTCTTTTCGCTTTTAAAAACAATCCCACATGTATGCAACGGATTCTGAACATTCGATGAGCAATAACAATTACATCATCTTTGAGCAACATAGGGTAAATGTTAAGTTAATAAATTATACTACCGGTCGCCCATTGGATCGTAATTTTAAATTTATTGAGTTATTTTTCTCTCAGAATCGTTTAGTCAATATCTCATGATATAATTAATTGAAGACAGACCGTTTCCAGACTACGCCTGCTATATTAAGTTCCTTTATTATGCACATAATAACCTTAATGCTATGACTTTAATTTGACGTCATTCTGACGCATCGCGACCTCAATTCGTCAAGTCCGTTTGTGGGAGAATGGAGTGACATGACGGTGTTAGGTCTCCGTAGCGCCACGTCCAGCGCTGGCCAGATCGGTTCACGTCTAGCCTGATGATCATCAGGTCGTAAAAACGGACCATGTAATAAATAATAATTAAAATATCTTTATTCACATAGACGCTTGCGCGTTCTTATGAAACGTCAAAATTTTACAAAGAAATTAACACGTCCGTAAGTTACCACCGGTTCGGAAAGCAGTTTCTCTTGAGAAGAAACCGACAAGAAACTCAACAGTTGCTATGCTTTTAAAAAAAATCAGTTTACAATATAATAGTACCGGTACAATAGTCTTGTTTTAGCCTACGTGAGCATCAACAGTATTAACCCCACACATTGGCGTCGTCAAGATATTCGGCAATAGTATAAAATAGGCTTTAGCCATAAGTTTAGCTTTTAATTTTTCGTTTAAATTCATCAAGTGGCAGGCTTAATTTCGACTGTGGGATTTTATTATACATGCGCACACTTTGCCCCATGAACGACCTGTTTACTTTTTGTAGACGAAACAATGGCGTAGTTAGTTTGTCCTTATTATAGTTGAGACTAGAACCCGCGGGTCAACTTGTTAACCACCGAGTAAATGGTCAAAAGCGGCCATCACAAAAATTGGACAGTAATGACGGCTATCAACGGAACTAAAAACTCGAACACTATAAAATAACGGAGCTTGTGTTTTGTTTTTTCTAAACATTAAAACAAACATTAAAATTACATAATTTGTAAATTATAGTTGTCTCATAGCTTAAATTACTATATTTTTTGTTTTAGTTAATAATGTATTAGTAGATTTTAATTAAGCTTCTAATTAAGTTTTACCGTATTTTTCTGTTTGTGTGTTTGTGTTACTCCCATAATTTCATGGTAACATAATATGTTTAGTGGAAAAAGTTGTAATTCGCTTTAATTAAGATGTGAAAATCTGGAACACTTTTTGTAAATATCATGTTGTTTTCCGAATAAATACCATAACTAACGCGCAACCATAACTAACGTCAACGCGCCTAAAGAAGTCTATAATACATTAAAAATACAACAGAAACTAATTACAACAGAATAAAATGGCTAAAGTTCAAGAATTGGCTCAAGTGGCCTAACGAATTTCGACCACAGCTGATGTTGTTGGAACGTAATTACTATATTTAATGACGGAATCTACCAGTTAATCGATATACGTGGTTCTCTTCGAAAATAAAGAAATAAGAATATTCGATTCGTACCGCTTAAAAAGTATTGTGGAAACTGGAAACCATTACTGGAAAAATATTGTGTGATGAACATAGTGTTTTTCCAGTGTCCGGGTGTTTATATAAGTATATTATATTTTTATTTACGTAGTACCCATAGTACAAGCGTTACCCAGTTTGGGACTAGAGAACGTTGTGTAAAATTGTGTCCGAAATATTACCGAGCGCAGAAACTCGTTCGGATTCTCTCCAAATTCGCTCAGCCGTTGCGTTGAGAACAAAAACGACAAACACACACGTACACACAAACTTTTTCGCCAGTTGAAAATGATATCTGTGTGGTTTTCGGTTGTTTTAAGTGGTATGGTATGTATTTATTCACAACAGGAAAGTAAATTTGTCAGTTGAATATTATTCATAGTACCAGCTTGATGGCGCTGTGTAGAAATATTTTTTTTTGCAATATTTATTTTGAATATACGACCTTATTAGCTCTTGTATTTCGCGTTTTGCGCGACTGCAATATTTTTTTTTATGGAAGAGGCAAGTGTGCTGGCGGCGATTCACCAGTTATGGCAGTTATGTGATGACCGTCGAACCATGGACATTTGCAACACCCGTAGGGTTGTGGATGCGTTGCAACCTTTTAATAAAGTGGTCACCGGTTACCTCAGTCACCCGACGAAATGGAGTAGTTTAATACTTCCACTTCACATAGATCTTCTGTGAGGTCCCGGTAGGTACTTCCCCGGATGGACGTGCCTATTAGTGCAACAGCGAAGACTGTTGCGTGGCCCTTCCGCAGTTAAAAATATTTGATAGCTCAAACGTTGTGAATAGGTACGATTGCTCGCTGGACGTGGCACCTCGTTTTTAGGGTTCCGTGCCCAAAGGGTAAAACTGGACCCTATTACTAAGACTCCGCTGACTGTTCGCCTGTCACCAGGCGGTATCTCATGAACCGTGATAGTTAGACAGTTGAAATTTTCACAGATAATGTATTTCTGGTGCCGAAAAAAAATTTAAGTATTTAAGTAAAAACATTTATGAGTCCGTGGCACGGTTGCCAAGGTATTGGCTTCGACGTCGAGGGTTGTGGGTTCGATTCCCACACGGGACAACTATTTGTGTGACCCACAGACAGTTGATTCGAATCTGGGTATTTGTCCGCGTGAAATTTATGTTTGTAAAACGTCCTTACAACACACGATCATGTTATCCTAAAGTAAGGGCAATGTTTTAAAAAAAATAATAAGTAGGGCTCCCATACAGCAAATATGATCTATTTGTCGTCTTCATACACAATAGTACGGTATACTTCGCGCGCGAGTTCAACCCGCACTTGTCCGGTATTTGACGCTCCCACTCCCTCCGCAGGCTCGCATGGAGGTGGAGGACCTGTTCGTGGACCTGGCGGACGGCAGGCGCCTCCTGAAGCTGCTTGAGATCATCAGCGGCGAGCGTCTGCCGCGCCCCAACTCTGGCAGGATGCGGGTGCACAAGATCGAGAACGTGAACAAGAGTCTTGGGTTCCTGCACACCAAGGTAGGTCTAAGTAAAATAAAGTATCAGCCGATACAGGTCCCACTGCTGGGCAAAGGCCTCCTCTGTACAGAGGGTATCAGCGCATAGTCCACCACGCGGCCCCACTGCGGATTGGCGGACTTCACATATGTTCGAAATATTTTCTTTGTTATTATTTCGAAAATATGCAGGTTTCCTCACGATGTTTTCCTTCACCGCTGAACACGTGATAATTCGGCACTTAAAATAAACTATTTCAATGGTGCCGGCACCGGTGATCGAACTCAGGTTGCTCCAATATAATTGAATTAAAGGCGAGCGCCCGGACACTGAGCTATCACGGCTCGGCAAGGTAGGTCTGCGGTAAGGTAAAGGTCGAAATCAAACGGGTATCCCTTTAAAGTGATGGCCTGTACATGTCCCACTGCTGGGCAAAGGCCACCGTAGGCTGTGAAGGTGTCAGGGCAAAGTCCATGGTCCACCGCGCGGCCCCGCTGCGGATTGGCGGACTTCACATATCACACACCAAGATGGGTTTGAGGGTTTTACGGAAGAGTTGGGTCAAAACTACGGTCGCGGAATATTGGGTGTATTGGCTCCGTGGTGCCAATTTACACGCTCCGGCGCCGGGGTACGTGGGTTCGATTCCCACTGGAACAATTGTTTGTGTGACCGGCAGATTATCGGATCTGGGTGTCTGTGAACTTGTGAAAAACTTATCACTGAGCTCAGTCTTGAAATCGTCTTTTGGCCATAGATAAAAAAACCTAAAAATTTTACTTCCGCTGTACAGACAGTATCAGGGCATAGTCCACTGCAGATTGGCAGGCTTCATATATACATACTAATATTATAAATGCGAAAGTAACTCTGTCTGTCTGTCTCGCTTTCACTCCAAAACTACTGAACCGATTTGAATGAAATTTGGTACACAGAAAATCCTGAGAAATAACATAGGCAATTTTTCAATTGGAAAAAAGTGTGGTAATGGGTTGAAGATATTTATTTAAGGGTTTCAAGGCGAACGAAGCCGCGGGCGAAAAAATAGTTTTTTAATTATTTTCGTTATTTCATAAATACGTTAGGTTAAAAACCGTTACATTTTCAAGATGTGATTATATTAGATTAAGTATTACTATAAACTTTTTAGTGGTAGCGTTTTTTGAACTCGACTCTTTTTTTTTTAAATTTTTTTTTCTATGAACCGTTGCGATACGTTTTCTAGGAAGTGATAAGAACGAATGATCCAAGACAGCGTATCGAAAAACAACCGTATTACCGCGATATAAATTGATTAGAAATAGTGTCCACTAATGATAACTATATTATTATGTATAAATACGAGGCAGATACGACACTGGCGCACCGAAACTGAGGCACTTACATTACACCAATTGGTGCAATTGAATTGCAATTCTACAGACTGCTATCTCTTTCAGTATCGTACTTTCTATATCATCTGTCACATTCTCTTGTACAGTGTGTCGTTACAACCGCGACAATAAATGAACACACATATAGAGGACAACTTTTTAAAATTGTATTCATTTACATTCTTTAAACATCAATATTTACCGAGTTATTAAATTTTCCAAAACAAACAATTTTAGAACACCCTTACGTATAAAACTGTAACGTAATGTTCATTTGTAAAGGACACATAGCATATGAATGGGTTGAATGAATTTAAAAGAGACAAAACATACTGTTAGAAGGAGAGGCTTGTAATGCGACGCTGTGGCAACGAATGAAAACGTCTCTGAATGTATGAATCAGTCAGTTGTAGTTGTAACAAATTTTATTTCTTTTTTTATTTAATTACTTTGTTTATAAAATATATTTTTTTAATTATGATTTTTTTAAAGTTTTATATTTTTTTATGATTATTGGCAAGTAGCGTTAGACGTGTGTTCATTTATTGTCGCGGTTGTTACGAAACGCTGTATATGACTTATAATGTAAAACGGAACAATTTTTAAACGCCACGTAGTATGGACATGCGTCATCTTTGTTATAAAACGTCATTGGTGCTGAGCAAGTAGTAGATATTCGACCGTAATTGTGATTGAAAATTTGATGAAAACAGTGTATTAATTTTCATTCTAACATCTCTCTATTTTGTAATCTATAAATTCGTTCATTCCGAGGCATAGGAAACTAGTTCAGGACCATTCTAAAGGTAAGAGGTAACTATTTCAAAAATGTCAATATTCATAACACAAAAGCTCGTCGCGCTAAAAAATATCTATTGACAAACAAAGGAGACAAAAACACTGAAGTGTTTTACACCTCATAATCATCATTTCAGCCTGTTTCTAGTCCCTTGCTTAACATATACCTCCCCTATAGGAAGTCCTTATTCCTCACCTATTCAAATTTACTAAAACAGCGTTCTCGTGACAAGACTCGCATTATACGCATTACTAAAACAACAGTGATAGGGCCACGCAGCAGCCCCGGCTGTTGCACGAATGGGCAGGCTCGTCCGGGTAAGTACCAAAACCTCACAGAAGACCGGCGCAAAGTGGAAGTAATAAATACTTTCGCGTTTCGTCTGGTGAGTGAGGTGGCCGGAGCCGAAATTTCAAAAGGTTGTCAACACATCGGCTACCCTCGGGTGTTGCAGATGTCCATGGGTAGCTGTATTCACTTAACACCAACTGAATCGTCTGCTCTAACTCGTTCTAAATCGCTCTAAATTCGCAACTTTTCACATAAAAAACATATCCTTCGTGCTATTGTCAATACCGTTCTTCATCGGCGAGATTCGAATCTCGGACCTATCGGATCGCTTCCGCTTCGCACAAGCGCTCACCGGCACAGCTACCGCAGTGCGGCCGCGTGATTAACAAGCGATCGGTTGATAACAAGCGATGATAACGCGATGATAACGCGGCCTTGCCTCGCCCTATCTCCGATAGTGTGTGTTAATCCTCACCTCGGCTCGGCGTGACGTCACCGCCCGTTGAATTCCAGCAGTTTGGATGTTTATTGTGCGATAAGATTACAAACGAGGTGGCAGTTCACCTCATGTTACCTCAGCAATGCTCACGCAGGACAGGTAAAGTAACAGTCTATACATGTCCCACTGCTGGGCGAAGGCCTCCAGTCCAGTGGGTATTAGGGCTTAGTGCACCGCGCGACTTGCGGACTTCACACGTCTTATCATTTAACCTCTTTCGCCAGAACCTCTTTATAGCAGCCGGATCATGGGTTCGATTCCCGCACGGAGATTTGTGTGACCCACAAATAGTTGTTTCGCATCTGGGTGAATTAATGCTTGAAAAACGTACTTACAACCCAGGATAATGTCATCCTAAAGAAAGGGCAATGTTTAGGAAAAAGAAAAAAATATTGGAAAAATATTGCGTAATAAATATAGTGCCTGGCGTGCCTTTATCTATAATTAATATTTCTTTTACGCAAGAAAAACATGCTTGAGTACTTTTATCAGTTTCCTAGTGCCCCGTGGTATAGGCGGTGCTTACCTTGGCTATCTGACTAGATAATGTTGTGTAGAAGTATGCCAGAAATGTGAAAAAGATACCTTTCTACATATACTTATGTGAAACGATGATTCAGACTTGTCACGCGGCCTTATAAGTTGTAGTGAAACGTATAAATGTAGAAATCTATCACTGATACCGTAACAACTTTTTGTTATAATACATTGGTCCCTCATAAGCTGCAATGCGGAACAGATGTAATAAATAAATAAATAAAAAATATTCTCAATGAATCTAGCTCTAATTGTTTATTTATTTTATTTATTTATTATTAGGTACACCAACAGCACAAAATATAGTATAATTTATGTGTTCTTAGCTATAGGGCCAATTCTTATATATATATATGCCTATTACAGTTATACACAACATTGGTAAAAAGAGTTAATCACATTTATAAACTAAAATTAAAAAAAATAGGAAATGGACACTAAAGATAAATTATCAGTAAGTAATACAAAAGACATCGAATGTGCTTACAGATTAGTAAATACATATTTGAATTCTAAAATGCTAATAATGAAAACGATTCTTTTTTAAAAAAACTCGACCACAATACATTAAACGAATTTATTCTTGCTAATTTTAGTCGTTTTTTATTCGATAACTGTTAATTCGAAAACGTTCATTGTGGTCATGAACAAGTTCATGCAATTATCAGATCGCTTTTCCAGCATAGAGCATATGCATCGTGTCGTTTATGATACCGCCTAGGTTTTTACGACCGGTCCTCCGTGCAAATAAACAACCCGATCCGGAGCAATGACCCTTGGTTCCTAAAAATTCTTGTCCCGTGTGGGAATTGACCCCGTGACCCACGGTCCCGAAGCCAATAGCTTAGCAAATCGCTTAGATGAATCATTTCTTCTTATCAAGAAACGTCCACGTGTCCTGTAGGAGTGCCGTTTATTTTTTTTTTTATGCATTTATTAGTGTATAGTTGTGTTTTGTATCTATAATACCTATATCTACAATAGCGTATACCTCAAACCCTTCTCACTGATCATTGTATCCTCAGTAACATGGTTGCCTGGAAGAAATGGCTTCTAAGCGATGAGGCCGCCAATTGTACCTTTATGTAATTGTTTGTTACTTTTGTAATTTTGTCTGGTGTACAATACAGCGTATTTCATTCATTCATTCATTCATGTCACGATCGTATAATAAATAATAAGATATTTTTATACTTCAAAAGCAAAAAGTATTCGTCTTGTCCGTTCCACTGTTGCGTGGAGTCAGTTAACAGTTTTAAGAGCTTTTGTCAAAGCGACACTAGTTCTGTATATACTTATTGTCTTTTGTTGACCCGATTGGCGCAGTGGGTAGTGAACCAGCGTCTTGCGCCAGAGGGTGTGGGTTCATAACCATTACTTGAAAAATATTGTGTGATGAACTTTCAGTTTCCAGTGTCTATGTGTTTATATATAAGATGCATTTATTTCCAAAAGAAAAGTACGTTTAATTATATTATTTTATCCGTTATCTAGTACCCATAGTACAAGCATTGTTTAGTTTGGGAGTAGAGAACGTTGTGTAGAAATGTTTCCTGAATATTTATTTATTTATTCATTAATTCCCTCGCCCCAGGTGCGGCTGGAGTCGATCGGCGCCGAGGACATAGTGGACGGCAACCCGCGCCTCATCCTCGGCCTCATCTGGACCATCATCCTCCGCTTCCAGATCCAGGAAATCGAGATCGATGTTGTGAGTACACCACGCAAAGTGGACTTTTAAAGGTCGCAATAAATTCAAATATCAAAGTTTAACTATGTAATTGCAACGCAGATGTAATCATAACCGCGAGCTCTCTTGCCATTTTCTCCTTGGCATCATTAACAAATAGTTTTTAATTGCATGCAAATAATTCATTACAACAAAATAATAAAGAGACTGGAAAAGGTATGAATAATTAAAATTTTAAAGCGCCATCTGCATTCTTTATTGAGAACTGTAACGGGCGGACGCGATCGAGAATATGCTGCCATCTATAATAATCGGTTCAGCGGGCGGCTTCAAAGGTGTGACTTTTGTGTTGCATCTTAAAATTTCACTCTCATCTTTTTTTATAACTCGCCTAAAAAATTAAAAATAAAGTATCAGCCTGTACATGTCCCACTGTTGGGCAAAGGCCTGCTCTGTACAAAGGGTAACAGGGCATAGTCCACCACGCGGCTCCACTGCGGATTGGCAGACTTCACATCATCATCATCATCATCATCATTTCAGCCTGTTTGAGTCCACTGCTGAACATAGGCCTCCCCCATAGACTGCCATGAAGTACGATCCTGAGCCACCTGCATCGATTATATATTTTATATAATCGATGGACTTCACATATTTTCGAAATATTATTTTTTCGAAAATATGCAGGTTTCCTCACGATGTTTTCCTTCGCCGCTGAGCTGAGTGTATAACTCAAAAAAATTCCCCTTGCCCGCAGGACGAGGAGAACGAGTCGTCGGAGAAGAAGAGCGCGAAGGACGCGCTGCTGCTGTGGTGCCAGCGGAAGACCAGCGGCTACCACGGCGTGCACATACACAACTTCACCGACTCCTGGCGATCGGGGCTCGGGTTCAACGCCCTCATCCACGCGCACAGGTGGGCCCGACGTCGGCGACGGACCCGATGCAAGAGCAGGAGTGTCGATTATAGCATACGCTACAATCACCTACCCTTATTACCTTACTAATAGAAAGAAAAATATTTATTTGGTACATAGATACAGTAATTTTGTTACAAAGATGGAAGACAATTTTCAAATGCTAAACGTTAATGCAACAAAAAGGTTTCTGCTTAGCGTTAAATTCACGCAGTTTAAAGAAAAAACCTAAACTATAACTATACATGTATACTATACTTACTACTTAATATATACTATATTATATAAATGTGAATGTAGGTTTATTTGTTACGGCTTAACGCCAAAACTACTCAACTTAGAGGTATTACAAAGGACAAGTATTATTTTTATCAAACATTTTTTTTAACAAAAAAGATATTTATTAAAGGGCTTCAACGCGAGCGAAGCCGCGTGCACAGCTAGTAATATTATAAAAGCAATAGCTTGTATAAATGTTTGTTACTCTTTCACGCTAAAAGTACTGAATGGATTTTAATGAAACTTAATAATATAGCTTATACATCAGAATAACACATAGGCTATAGTTTATAAAGATACTGTGTGAATTGTCCAAAATATAACGATTAGTGATCAAGTAAGTAGGAAAAAACTCTGCCATCTGGGAGATATTTGGGTGTGCGCCGCAAAAACCGTTAGAGTTACACGTAAATAATGTACTACTCGAAGTACTTATGCTGCGCAGATGAAGTTGCGGGTACCAGCTAGTTTATACTATAATTAAATTCTCAACTGTTTGAGTTTGATGATAGTGTCATGTGAAAATCTGATCAAACTCTCGTGCCAGAGGGTGTGGGTTTGAACCCCACTACTGGAAAAATATTGAGTTAAATGAAATGTTTCAAAAATGTTTAAGCATGTATATCAGTTTTCTAGTACCCATACTACAAGCGCTGCTTAGTTTGGGACTAGAGAACGTTGTGTAAAAATGTGTCCCGAAAGTATTTATTTATTATTTATATATTGATCCCTCGTTGTTCCTTCGCAGGCCCGACCTGTTCCGCTGGTCGGAAGTGCCGCAGGCCGACCACGTGGAGACCCTCAACCACGCGTTCGACGTCGCGCACAACCATCTCGGCATCCCGCGCCTGCTCGACGCCGAAGGTGCGCGATAGAGCGGGACAGAACCACATATATGTTTCCTCTTCTAGCCCTTAAGAAGTAGACAGAAGGTCCATCCGGGCAGCGCATTTGCATACTTTCAGTGTTCCGAACCCTTCACAATTTTATCATATTTCTGTTGCAAATTTGATAATCAAATTATTTTGCAACCGATAAAAATAGTTGACACTGCATAGTCGACACTAACTCAAGGTTAGGGCAAAATAAGCTAGAAGTACATATATATCCAGCCATCCAATTTGGCTGACCCAGATTACTCGTAATGTCTCTAACAACGAAAGACTGAACTTTGTTTACCCTGGCTTCAAGGCGACAAAAATTAACTATACAGAACTTTTACTTGCTGAGTCAACCTCATAAATTATTCATAATTCTTAAAACTTTCTTATAAGACTGCTTTCTTAAAGTATCTGCTGCTGATTGTTCTAAGGCAATGGCAAAATTTAGATTTAAAACATAATTAGTATGTATCATTCATGTAGAACGAAATATGCCTTTGATCAAATCATTCAATAATGTATTCCACTGTTTCCAGATGTGGACACCAGCCGTCCGGACGAGAAGTCCGTGATGACGTACGTCGCGAGCTACTACCACACCTTCGCGCGTATGAAGAACGAACAGAAGAGCGGCAGGAGGATTGCCAACGTGAGCTTCCTCCCCAACTAAATAGACAATCGTCCCATTTGGGTCTCCAGTACAATTAGTCTAACCGGATTAATGATGTACATTATTGGAATATATAGTGTACCTTCAGTTATCCAAAAGTGGCAGACATGAATGAGTAGCTTTGTCCAGGGAGGTATTACAGCCTCACAAAAACTGGCGTGAAGAAGCACTAATATGCTTCTGTTTCGTCTGGTAAGTGACTTTTTTAAAAAATGGCATCACATCTGCAACAATATGGGTGCTTTAGACGTCCTCGGGCGGTGGTAATCAGTTAACATCCGGTGAACTATCACTTGCCATTTTATCACATACAAAATAATACATAAATATGCTATTCCCTTATGCTTTTTAAATTGACGATTGTACTTCACAACCGAAGGATTTAACACCGTCACTTGAATTACCAATGTGAGAAAAACATTTGATATTACCACCCAATCTACACTAGGGACTTAACAAACAAAAACAATATAAACTTTGTGTAAATCTGATCTTGAGTGCAGAGAATAGCATTCTAAACAAACTCATGCGATGCCCCCAATCATCAGATCATCGGGCAGCTGATGGACTGCGACGGGCGCAAGGCGGAGTACGGGCGGCTGATGAGCGCCCTACTCGAGTGGATCCGGCTCAAGATCCTCGAGCTGAACGGGCGCGAGCTGCCCAACTCGCTGGACGGCATCCAGCGGCTGCTGCTCGCCTTCAAGCAGTACAGGACCGTCGAGAAGCCGCCCAAGTGAGTAGCAGAACCCGTAGTCGCTTGTGGGGTGGACAGATATATGAGAGCAGGGATGGTGTTCTCTCTGATATCTCACCGCCTCCAGGAGTAGCCTTAATATGAATGGAATTTTAAGATTGTATCAATTGCACTGTTTGATTACCAAGAGACAAATGATATTTGGTTGCATACAGGTACATTTTTATTAAGAAAAAATAAAGCTAACCTCAAAAATGTCACATCATCATTACAAATTTACTGTTTGATTTTGAGGGTGTTCCCCAATGTAAGGAGCCAATACAAATGAATTTAATATGGTATCACATTGTAGCTAAACCAAATTCAATGCAAAAAAGACTTTTTGAAATCAGTTCAGAAATGACAGAGTTCTAAGGTAACAAAAATAAAGAACAAGTTATTTAATTTGTTTCTTGTCTTAACCAATTTATTTATCCCACTTCTGGGAGGAATCCATTAACAATGTAATAAAAGTAATTATTAATTTAAATGAATTGACTTATCTCTCGTTATTACTTTCGCCATTTTGCTGTTAGACAACAATGGGGTATGGTATTTATGTAATTACGTGCGACTGCCTCGTCCTCAGGTACAAGGAGCGCTCGGAAGTGGAGGCGCTGTTCTTCAGCATCAACACGATGCAGAAGAGCCTGGTGGGCGAGACCTGGGCCCCACTGGAGGGCCACCTGCCCCAAGACCTGGAGAGGGCCTGGCAGAAGTTGGAGCAGGTAAGAGCTATCCTGGTTAGAGATACTGAATGCTCTAGAGTGAATAATTTTATAAACCTTTTTCTTTTGAAGATGTCTTAAAACTTTAATAGTCTTGTACACTGTAGAGAAAGCTTATTGCTTGCTAATCCAATGCAATAATTGTTTGCCACTTGAGACTGTGATTAAAAATGTAACTAAACTCATTATCTGTGTTACATTTCCATCTCCTCAGTTGCGTTTCTGTCATTGAGTTATTATTAAAACAAACACTTCATGTGTTACACAGAGGGGTAGACGCAAGTTGAGTTTTGCTGTAAACTATAAAATTATTTATAGTCAAAATAATAATAATTCTCACCGCGAGATATATTTCAATTGAGGGTTGTACATGTTGACTTTGAGTGAGTTTTAGAGATGGTCAGAGAGAGTATGAATTTTAGTGATTAAAGAATGTATTGTTATTGAAGTTGTCTCATAACTTTTAGCTGATAATTGTGCCCTTGTGATTTTCCAGGCGGAGCACGCACGCGAGCTCGCCCTCAGGACCGAACTGCTGCGCCAGCAGAGATTGGAGCAGCTCAACTACAAGTTCAACACCAAGGTTACTAGCACTCAGCCCCTAAACTTCAGCAGTAATCCAAACAGCTGGAGCATAGCTTGAATTGACCTATTTGAGAGCTCCAGCATCCAATTCATTCACTCACATTCTAAACTACAGCATATAGACTTAGAAACAGAGAATCGCTCGAATTGACCAATTTGAAACCTCCAGCATCCAACTGCTGGATATAGCTCTTCGCATCATTCTTATAAGTTCCAACAGTACATCGCTACACATTTTATGATCCCAGCGGAGCTCTTGTTACTTTGCATTGGTACTTAATCTAGTCTATGGAATATCTTAAATATTTATCGTCAATTGTACCATATTAGGTAACATTTCCAGGATGTTTTATATGCAAAAGCTTTTAAAGCGTGGCTTATTTTGTCTGTAACTCGTGCATTAACCATTGTTTCTGTCCCCAGTCGGTGCTGCGCAAGGGCTACCTGAAGGAGATGATCCAGGTGCTCTCGGACCCGCGCTACGGGTCCAACCTGGCGCAGGTGGACGCCACCGTGAAGAAGCACGAGGCCATCTCCGCAGATATACTAGCCAGGTGGGGCAAGTCATAAAAACAAATGTACCACACAACGCGCAATTGAAAGTTGCCGGAGCGCCGTATAATTGCTCGGTTCTCAGAGTCAGTAATGTTCGCGTTAATGTAAATGTGTGATGTGGGCAGGACGGAGCGGTTCGAGGACCTGTCCGCGATGGCGGCGGAGCTGGTGCGCGAGCGCTACCGCGGCGCGGAGGCGGTGTCGGCCACGGAGCGCGCCGTGCTGCAGCGCTGGCGCGAGCTGCTCGAGCTGCTGGAGCGCCACCGCGCCTCGCTGGCGCGCCTCGCCCACCTCATGGCGCTGCTGCGCGAGGCCGACGCCGTGGCCCACACGCTCGCCGAGATGAAGGTGCCGAGCCGGGCCTCCAATACGTCACATGCCCGCGCTCCCTTAAAGCGTCCGTCGCTCAGTCTGCAATAGGATTCGAAACGTCGGAAAATTGTGTGACAGTGGCTAACGAGCTGGCGGTTCACCTCATGTTAAGTAATAATCGTTGCCTGTGGACATTTGCAACACCCGTAGGGTTCAGATGCGACCAGACCTAACTCGCCAAACGAAACGCAGAAACATAACAGTTCCACTTGAGATCATGGTGCTTCCCAGAAGGACCTGCCCATCAGTGCAATAGAACAAACACTATTACGTGGCCAGTGACGGATTTGTAGTCTTGGCCGCCCCAGGCCCCAGCTCATGTAGCAAGTTCCAGCCGCCCCTAATATGTGGCCCTAGTACACTTGTCGCGAAGTACTAACGGAGAATATCCAATGTATCGCAGGCGCAGTTCCAGTCGGAGGAGGTGGGGCGGCACCTGGTGGACGTGGAGCGGCTGCTGCAGGCGCACGCGCTGCAGGAGCTGCAGCTGGGCGCGCTCGACGAGAGCATCCGGCGGCTGGTGCGCCAGGGCGCCGCCGCCGAGGGCCCGCCCCAGCCCAAGCAGCAGCTCGCCGCGCAGCTGCAGCGCCTGGAGGACGCCTGCGACAGGTCATAGCTCTAATAATTCACCTTCAACATTTGTATGTCTATTGTGTTGATGACTCGTTTAAAACGTACGTAATTTCATTTTCTTCATAATAATTTCCGATTATAACGATATTGTTTCATAATAAAAAAAAATCTGGATGGCTGTAGGCGAACTAGGTGGTGTTTGTAATGATAGAATGTTATGTACTCACATAAAGGCTACATTTTTTTCAATGTTATGTGTGCATGTTTCTGTGCTTAATAAATATATAACCTTACAGCCTAATGGCAGCCGCCAAAGATAGGAAGGCGAGGCTGGAGGACGCGAGGAACCTCTACCAGTTCTTGGAAGACCACGACGAGGAAGAAGGTACTGTTCTCAGTGACACTATAGAATATTACAATAACATAAAATACATCATATTCCCGAAACTTGTCACCGTTACATTGAAAGATTTTTTCAAGCTTTGGGACTGGAAAGGATGTGGTATTATTACTATTGGCCACAATACATCACCCACCTTCGATTTGCCGACGACATTGTTACTACATATCATTTTATACTAATGTCAGGCTGTCGGGTAAAATGATGTGGCCAAGTGCGAGTCGCGTCGTCGGCAAAAAAGTCAATGTTGATGAGGCAGAGACGGTCGACGTAAACAGCGTGTGGCCGGTAGGCTGGGTGACGGAGCGGCAGCGCATCTGCCGCGCGTCGGTGGCGGCGAAGGACCTGCGCGGCGTGCTGGCGCTGCGCCACAAGCACACGGCGCTGCTGCACGAGCTGCGCGCCAGGGACCTGGTGGCGCAGCGGCACCGCGAGCGTGGCCAGGGGTGGGTTCCACCCCAGCGGGGGATATTCGTGGGCTTCTATTTTGATAACAGACAGTTCATTTTACCACTGCTCTTTACGCTGTTGGAAAGAGGTTTTTTTAATATTTTAACATTATGAGGTAAAAAAAAAAAGACAAAAGGAGGATACCTACGGAGTTTCCTTCGCCCGTTTCTTCTCCGTTAGTTCTTCTAATAAAGAGACGGGCTCATTATGAAACTTTATAGATTTGAAAATACATGTCTCTTATGTCGATGAATAAATAATTTTGAATTTTCTTGGCCTTTGAACAAATAACGTCTCGCGCGCAGCCTGATCGACGCGAAGCACCCGAAGAGCGCGGAGATCGAGCGGCGGCTGGCGGCGCTCAGCAAGCAGTGGGAGTTGCTGCGCCAGCTGGCCGACGTCAGGGACAAGCAGCTCGCCGACGCCGCGGAGGCGCACCAGGTGATTGCTGCCTCGGCCGAGTCCGTCGATGCACGCTGGCCATTTGGGAACCTCAATTTTATTCCTTGATCTGGAGAGAAATCTTATGTCGATGTTATCACAAAGGGGTTTCTATGACCAATATCCAACATATCGATATGATATTGTCCAGGATGATTCCAAAGCACAGTTGCTAAGGTATCGGCTTCGGCGTCGGGGGCCGGTGGGTTCGATTCCCACACGGGACAACTATTTGTGTGACCCACGGACAGTTGTTTCGCATCCGGGCGTTTGTCCGCGTGAAGTTCATGTTCGTAAAACGTCCTTACAACACAGGATGATGTTGTCCTAAAGTATAAAAAAGACATTTGTTCTCTTGCGATCGCAGTTCTACGGCGACGCGAACGAGGCGGAGTCGTGGATGAAGGAGAAGCGCGCGCTGGTGGGCACGGAGGACTGCGGGCGCGACGCGGCCGGCGCGGGCGCGCTGCTGGCCCGCCAGCGGCTGCTGCACGGCGAGCTGCAGGCCTACGAGCCCGAGCTGGGCCAGCTGCGCGCCGCCGCCGACCGCCTGCGCCTCGCCGGCATACACGAGCTGCAGGTGGGCCTGTCCCATTTAATGTGTATTTATTTACCGGAGAAAAGTATTTTTAAGTAGTTTATATAGGTGTGTCCTGAGAATTTGTAACGTGAATTTGTTCGTAGGTAAATGTACAAAATCTTCGCCATCTCTCGTTATAAACAGTTTATTGTTAAATGTTCTTCGTAAGATGTTATGTACTGTAAAGTATGCTTATTGGAATATGGCGTTGCAAACATTGCTAAAATGCAGTAAGGAGTAAATAAATGTCAATACAAGTATGTATATAAATGTCATACGCCATGAAATCATCGGCCGCTCAACTTAGTTGGCACAGCGTTGGGTCGCGTTACCCAAAAACGCATATTCGATCCCCTCAGCGTCAGATGTTTCTGTTCATTTGTCCACAAAAAAATAGATTGGCAATAAGAATAAATATTAATCCTAAATATCATTATATCATCTCATTTATAATATTTTGCACACAATATCCACATTCCACAAGCTGACTAATACTCAATTTTAATATGATATCAACAATGGCATGCCTTCCCCGCAGCTGCCGACCGAAGTGGAGGCCGGCCCCGCCCTGGAGGAGGAGGAGTGGGTGAACGAGTCCAGGCTGGTGCCCACCGAGGTCTGGGAGGAGGAGCCCGTCGAGAGGCTGGAGCACCGCACCGTCACCGAGGAGAGGAGCGTTCCGCAGGTTGGCCATCACGAGGCATATATAGGTCCAGCTGGTCAGGATCCAAGCTCACTTTATAAAGGAACCCGGGATCCTCAATGGCTGAATGATAGATGAAAGATGCATCGAGTATGCAAAAAGAGATGCTAGTGCTATTCACGTGATGTTAACAAGAATTAGTTATGCTAACAACACCTGAGCTGTCCAATTTGGGTATGTTATGAAGAAATTACTTGTACGTATTCTTTTTTTATGTGAGAAGGCAAGCAAGCTGGGGAAATCAGCAGATGTTAAGTGATAACCTCAGCCCACAGACATTTGTAATACAGTTAGGATTGCAGATGCGTTGCCACCAAACTATTAGCAATTTAAGCAATCGAAGGAATAAACAACGACATGCCTTCATTGTTTTATATTTCATGTATATATTTGCGTAGGCACACATACATAGTGCAAAAAAGACCATTGTCTACACAATGAAGGTCTTTGAAGATAAGTTGTGATGTTAAAGGTAACGGTAATGATCAATTCAAAGAGTTTAACTAACCTTTTGGCAACTCAAATGACATTTGACAGCTGATTAATTAAATTCTACGATGATCGGTGTTCCAGAAACCGGGCGTTAGTAGTTGTAATTAAGATACCATGCCACCAGAGTAAGCCCGCTATGAGCTCTATCGCGCCTATATTAGTGCCACTAAAGGGCAAATCGTTTGGCAGGTGAAGGCGCTGTACGCGTTCAGCGGGCAGGGCATCTCGATGGCGAAGGGCGAGGTGATGTTCCTGATGAACAAGACCAACCCGGACTGGTGGTCGGTGCGCAAGGCGGACCGCACCGACGGCTTCGTGCCCGCCAACTACGTGCGCGAGGTCGAGCCCAGGGTGGTGCCGGTGAGTCTCCGCGCTGCTGATGGCCACCATCATCATCATATTTCATCGTCATCTTTCAGGCTGTCGACTTCCCGCGCACTTGTACAGGTCGTACCTCCATCTAGTGGGGGTAGTCCTACATTACGATCGCCAATAACAATATAATTCTTGCGGGTCCGCACGTGTGAAACGTTTTGACTAACAGTCAAAAGTCAAAACATCTTCATTCAATAAAGGCTTAACTTCTTTTATTGAACGTGAAAAAAAGCTAACAGGGGAACTGGTTCAACTGGGGTTTGTTTCACAACCGACCGCCTGCATGTCTCTCTTTATCCACCTCGGTAACTAACAACTGTATGGTTTCGTGCAAACGCGAGTCTGCGCCTTTGTAGTTTGTTTCTAGCTCGTATGAACGTCAAAACTACCACATGGTCTCTAATTAAGATGTCCTTTCTGCCTATATGTGGAAAAGGGCTGGCTATCTTGGGTCAGTTATTAGGTGAAAAAAGTCTGATGTTTTATTATTTCATATTTCATTGATTTTATTATGGTTTTCATTTTCTTCATTGATATTATATTGATTTTTTTGAATTCCTTTTACAATGAAATGTAAACTAGTAACGATATAACGCTGTGAGAATCCAACATCGAGGCGTGACAACCACTACTGACCTTCAGTACTAACTGTCCAGGTTCAAGTGAGGCGCCCGGAGAAGGTGCGCACCGTCCAGCGCGTGAAAAAGACGGTGCTGGTGAAGCAGGTGGTGGCGGTGAAGAAGGGAGGCACGAGGGCGGCGCGACGCCCCTCCAGGGCGCCCCAGCTGCCGCTGGCCAAGGCACCTACCGTGGGCGAGAGGGTCGAACACATCGAGCAGCAATATGGTCAGTGCAAACTCTCTCCAAATCCGTTATCTTAAGAAACTTTGAACTATTATATCAGAGAAATTAGGAACCCATAATGGTAGATCGGTTTTCAAAAAATTTTTTCCAAACGGATCTACCGTTAATGAGTCATACTTTCTAGTCATTGTTGCGGCTTTTGACTCTTTCTTCACCCTAATATGTATACCTATTCAGCGAGGGAAAATAAACCTAAAATATTTGGCACCATACTGCATAGGCCAATCTTCTTACATAAATAACGTGGTATTTGGTAGTTATTTGTAGTCTATATTAAAATAAACGTAGCTTTTCGATCTTTCTATCTAATTTCAATATTCCATTATGTTCCACAGCTAAATAATATCTATACGATATCTCCTTCTCTTGTAGACGAACTCCTGAAGCTGTCAGAGGCCCGTCGCGTCGCACTCGAGGACGCCATCAAGCTGTACAGCTTCTTCGCGGAATGCGACGACTTTGACAAGTGGATCAGGGAGAAGGAGAAGATGCTCAGGTCGGACGACGCCGAGGACAGCGTAGACACCGCCAAGAGGAAGTACGAGGTGCGGGATATGATGATATGTATAAAAAATTAAGCCATTCTCGATTGGTAGAATTATATAAATATCTAGAAAAACAATACATAAACAGAATAATGCAATCTTAATGTCTATATTAATAATATTTTATATCCTATATGTAATTTAAACACTATTTCACACCTAGAGAGATGTTTATTTGTTGGTCCTTCGAGCCGGATCTTAGTGGAGTTGTTTTTGCAGAAATTCGTGACCGACCTGTCCGCCGCCTCCAAGCGGCTGGAGCACATCGAAGCGGCTGCTGAGGAGCTGGTGGCCGCCAAGCACGGGCAGGCTGCCCGCGCCACCGCCAGGCGGCAGCAGCTGCGCCAGCAGTGGGGCAGGCTGCTGCGTTTGAAGCAGCAGAAGGAGACGCACCTTGAAGGCGCATCCAGGTCTGTGTTCATTCTTCCCTCCTAACTCATATGCGAACCAGATTGAAACGCAGAAGTGTAACACTTCTGCTTTACGCCGGTCTTCTGTGAAGTCGTGGTACTTACCCTGATGGACCGTTTTAGTTGTCGCGTTTTAACCTTTACTAATACATAGTCTGATTGATTAGATCTTTACTGAGACTCATTAATCCCATATGTGAGTTTGAGTAATATCATTGAGGTGGTCTTTTGTACTTAAGAAATTCGAAAACTAAAAACATCCACCATTTAGAGTCTAACATAAGACTGGAATATCATAGCTCTCACTTTTTGCGTAATAACTGCTGCAAAAAAATAAAATAATTTGTTACATTAGAGGAAAGATTTAATAGCTTATTTCGTTCTCATGCAAGTTAATTAAAATGCAATAAAAAAGCGTCGCTCCGCCGGCGCAGCGTGGAGCTGTTCCAGCGCACGTGCGACGAGGCGCTGGACTGGATGTCGGAGAAGGAGCAGCAGCTGGCCGGCGTGGCGGCGCCCGCGGCCGACCTGCGCACGGTGCGCGCGCTGCAGCGCCGCCACGCGCAGCTCGAGCGCGAGCTGGAGCCGCTGCGCGAGAAGGTCAACACGGTGGGCCTGCTGGCCGACTCGTGAGTGAACCCCCGCCTTCACCGTCTTTCCTTCCGTCTGGTCCTTCGCGCCGGACTTCGTTTATTGGTGCCGAGTGCCCTTCAATATACTTGGTCCTTCGCGCCGGATAGATGAAAAGCCTAAGTGCCTATATCTAAACTTAAAATTAGAGACGTTAAATTTGTAGAAAAAATCTCGAAAATTTCCCGCCGCTGCGGGAATCGAACCCGCGTCTTTCGGATTCGTGTCCAGATGCTTTAATCACCAAGCAAAACGGCTGATTGCCACACCGACGACAATCCGAAATCCCAACGTCTTTTATCTACATTATTTTTTCGAATTAAATGCGATGCTTGGCGCATCTTTTGTTGTATCATTTACAACATACAAACAATTTCTAATATCGTTTTACGACGTTAATTAGAATGAGAGATGTCGCCGCTACTGTATGAAGTAAAAATTTATTAGATCAGTCATCTCTGCACTTAAGATGAAGTTTTTAAAGTTGTGATGAAAAAGTTTCTGTCGTTTTGTCTACAAATTTTAAGTTTATAACGCCACCTGCTTTCTCTTCCTGCTGTCTAATCTTAAATGTTTTCACTTTAAATGAGACCAGGTCGTCTTCATATAAAAAACACGCCACTACAAAACATTCCCTTTGTTTTCACGCAGCCTCATTGAGTGGTACAAAATGAATGGGTAGGTCGCCTCAACGCCATTCCGCTACACCCTTTGTGACATTTCATAATAAAAAAATCATATGGACCATGCTCCAAAGAACCCTTTTGTAATGAACATTGCTTTTCGAAAAATATCACACACACATAGGAAAGGCTTAATTGAAGTACTTTCCCTAGAACATTTTAGTAAATTTAAATGTGTTGGACCTTGATCAGCTCCCCACCATCCCCTTCTTACTATTCGAGCGAGGGAATGTCAGTCAGTCCTTGGTACACTTGCTGCCCGAATGTGGCACTCTTCGGGAGCGACCCTGAACGTTGGCGTTGTCCCCAGCGTGAAGTCGCAGTACCCCAGCGAGCGGGGCAACGTGGAGGCTCGCCAGCGGGAGATCCAGCAGGCGTGGCTGCGCTGCCAGGCGCAGGCGGCCGAGCGCCGCAGCCGCCTCGAGAGCGCCGTCGGCCACCAGGTCTTCGGCAGCAGCAGCGCGCAGCTGCACGACTGGCTCCAGGTCACGAATCGCCCCTTCACATATCTGGAGCGACTGTCCTTACACTAAAGAGAAGTCTTCGATCGCGTTTCTTTTTACAAATTACAAAAATTCTGGACTTCTCTACTCTACATTTATGATCTATGGTTTTCTTAGCGATGGATTGGTAGTTGATATAACTACTGATCCCTTTGAAAATTGGCCTTAAAGCACATATTATATTGTAAATGGTAAGAAAAATGGTCGCAAGTAAATTGTAATTGTGAATGAATTGATCTACTATCATGAAATAATTAATTAATTTGAATATTCAACCACTACACTACTTATAGTATATGTAATTGAAGAAATGTCTCATTACAGAAAGTCCGCGAGCAGCTGTCCCAGGAGGTGACCGCCAAGGATGTGGCCACCGCCGAAGCTCTGCACAAGCAGCACCAGGAGCTGAGAGACGACATCAAGGCCCACGACGATGAGTGAGTGTGCCTGGACTATGGTCAAGATTCAGGCCAGCCGCGTATGGGTATTATGTCCCTAAGCCTTACGAGGATGGGCCAGACTGATACCAAAGTATAAATACTTCATGTTTACAACAAACTTACAACTTGTTCCATTCATGCAACAACAAAAGCTTTGGCATTGCTCGACCGTAACATGAAGACTCTTTTCCTACTACTGAGAATTGCGCCCTGTGGTAATGTCAAATGGGAGGTCGCGTCCATATTTTGTACGGGGGCTTACGAAGATTTCCACCTTTTTGTAGATTCTGTCGTACATTCCAAACAATTTATAGTCATAATATTTTACGACTGAACTGATCTACAACCGATTGTTTGGAATGACATAAAAAAATATTTTAATTCAATTACCTACACATACAATTGAATAAAAAATTTAGAATACCTTAGATAGAAATTTTAATTTGTAATTATTTACATGAATAAGCTTTCTATATATCAATTTAATGGCACAACTATATTGAATAAGGGTGAAAAAATAGATAGCTGTAACTTATCACTTTTCGGATTTTAGGTCCAAATGTGGCCGAAATTGACACTTATCTTGAACTGAAGAACTTGATCCAAATTCAATTGTAATGGAAAAAAAAACAATAAAATAACTTCGTCATGTATGAACTGAATTTTTCTGTTCCAGATTTAAGGAAGTGATAGGCCTGGGCAAGCAGCTACTCACCACCAACCCCTCACTAGCTGACGTGGCCGACAAGATCAAGAGTCTAGAGGCGGAGCAGAGGGCGATCGACAAGGGTGAGTCGCCATCGATCATTTTCATTACATCATCACCAAACGCTTCTATACTGGATAATCTTAACTTAACATAATATAGTTAATGTTACCAAATCCAAATAGTATATATAAATGTGTATATAATAATTTTCAAAACCATTATTTAATTTTCTTATTACCATCTGTGTATTTCTGCATCGTTGTAGAATGTCTGTAGGAATTTAGATTTCCTAGAACTTGATATAAAACACTATTGATATAAGTTAAAAACTGTATTGTCCGAAAATTAATAAACAACTTGATACTGATAGATGAGAACGCGTGACATGCTTGATGACTGACAGCGAACTGCGAATTTAATGCCGATTATTTTGGAACACAACAAAAATGATGAGGCGTGCAATTGACGCCGTTTCGTAATAATTATGTCGAGCGTAGCTCGTACAGTGTCAGCCATTTCATCATTATCGAAAAGCTTCGATAATATTGCATAATCTTAACATATAGTCAAAGTTACCAAATCTAAATGGTATATATAAACATGTATGTAATACTTTTCTTAACCGTTACTGAATTTCGACGTTTCAAAAAGGTCGATAACGCCTTGAATTGAATGATTTCGAATTTGACTCTGATGTTCACGTTCTAGGATGGAAAGAGAAGGACGAGTACCTAAAGCAGTGCGTACAGCTGCAGAGCTTCAACCGGGAGGCGGACCAGATAGACGCATCCAGTGGTGCACACGAGGCCTTCTTGGAGTACACCCAGTGTGGCGTGAGTATTCTGTTTCTCAGTTTTATTATCTATTTCAATCTAAAAAACCTAACTATCTTAACTGGTTTTAACAGTATTTGTTACTTCTTACTTTGATTATTTTAGTTAAAAAGAAGGCAAAGTTCGTTCTGTGAGCATGAAACCTCTTTGTATGTTTGGATATAACCTAAAATGTTTGAAACAAAAGAAATTAAACAAAAAAGTTTTTCTAAATATGTGGAATTAGCAAAAATATGAGGAATCATGAAATAAGAAACAATTTAATACAATTTTATTCAACAAAATTTACTTTTTAAAAAATTGATGGTATTAGTCACCCGTAATCACAATGTAGACATTATTTATGAGAAATAATAATTCGACTGGACTGCAGTATGTAATATCGTTTTGTACCATGATAACAATAGCAGCACGCGTCCGGCTAAGATTAGTAGTCGTTAACTAAAATGTGTTACCTCGACAGTCGTCCGTGGACGAGGTGGAGGCGCTGCTGAAGCGGCAGGAGGAGCTGGAGGCGCGGCTGGGAGCTCAGGACGAGAGGCTGGCCGGCTTCGTGCAGCGCGCCACAGCGCTGGAGCACCAGCGCCCGCCCCACTACGCCGCACAGCAGTGAGCATCTTTCTTACCTCGCTCCCTGCTCATATTGCAAAGGACCGATCTAAATATCGTCAGACAGGTGTTAGAAAATCGCTGGGGATCATTATGTTATCGTTTCTGACTCGTATCTTTAACCTGTCCCCTCTATCCCTCTGTCTTTGATAGAGTTGTCTTGCAAAATTTAACTTTATTTTTAAAAAGAGCTAATTGGTGAAGTTATTCCTTATTGGTAAATTTAGAGAAATTCATCTGTAAAAGTAAAGTAAAGTAACAGCCTATAAATGTCCCAATGCTGGGCAAAGGCCTCCTCTGTAACGCGTAGTCCACCACGCAACCCCTCTGCGGATTGGCGCACTTCACATATTCTCCAAATATTTTTTTTGTTATTATTTATTATATTGTTACGTGTTAGGGGTTCGAAGGATTTGGAGAGAAAGACCTGCTGACTCTTTTGAAGACTTTATTTACTAGCGCTAGGTCCAACACAAAGCGCTAGGTCCAACACAAAGCACTAGGTCCAACACAAAGCACTAGGTCCAATCACTAAGCACTAACGATGTCCTAGATTGTAGCCAAGTCGTAGGTTTCACTGGTATCGCTCTTGATCACTAGTTTTCACTCCGAAGTCGCCTCGAAGGTAGCTCAAACTGAACTGTGATCGCTCGCCTCCCTGCGGCTTTTTATATGGGCCGAGACCGGTTCCGGACTAATCCAGAAAGATCATTCCTGGAACGTACCCGACACGCACGAACATGTTCGTGATTCCGGAAAGTTCGCGAATGTACCCGGTTTTCGAGACTATAGTTCCACAGCAGTTCCTCTAACGCCATCTAGTGTTGAATAGGGGGTTTTATGTCGTCTTTGTTCTTTAGTGGTTTTACTGTTGACGCTAGATGGCGTTAGTTCCTTTGTGTGTTCATAACAATATTTTAAAATATCCAGGTTGTTTCCTCACCAATTTATCTGTAGTTTAGATCCTTTTCAGTATAATATTTCCCTAATAATATAAAGCTAAAACTTTGAGCAATAGATATATGTCAGTGGGAGTAGTGAAGTTTTTGACATAGCATTTTTACAGTTGTACATTGGCGCTTCTGTGAGAATACCCCACTGCTGGCAAAAGCCATTGTACACTGGCTATTGAGCAAAGTGCTCTCCGCTGCAGATTTTACGGCTCAACATATCTACGAAATGTTGTCTTAATTATTTCTCACACATAGCTCGTGTAAACGCAACGCTTTAGCGCCTAGGACTGTTTGGTAGCGAAATGTGCCTGTGTGACGGATGTGGGACGGTGTTCCAGCATCGCCGCACGCCGCGCGGCCGTGGTGCAGCGGAGGGACGCGGTGCGGCGCGCAGCCGCCGAGCGCCGGCGCGCTTTGCTCGCCAGCCTGGCTCACCAGCAGGTTCGATTCCTTCTATTCTATTAGGAAGAGATGACTACTGAAGCGAGCGGTTCGCCTCTATGAGCGAGGACCGCCCTGGAACCCTCACAAAGTGACTCACTTTGAACATTTTTCATGGAAATTTTTCTTGGAATGGCAAACTATTATTGGCACGAATATTGGCTAATTTTAAGAATAAATGTTTACTTGGTCCTAATAAGTGCTTTTTCTCATTTAGTTCAATAATAGAACAAACCTTTTTCTATTATTAAAAAAATTACGTAATATATACAGTTTTTTATGTACTATTAGAAGTTAGGGTTTGAAGGATTTGTTATGGAATGAAATAAAAACCTGTCCATGAACTGTTCCAGTTTGTGGCGGCCTCTGAGGAGCTTCAGACCTGGATTCAAGACAAAACTAGGACCGCCAAGGACCAAAGCTACAGGTAATGTTTCCTATGTGTTGTTTATTATAAAAATATGGGTCAGCTCATTTTAGTATAATTCTCTTTATAAATCTCTTCTAAACAGATGATAGATCTAGATAAATGCCTCAAAATACATATTTTTGGTTTAAAATCAGATTAAAATAAAAACAGACCAAGTGCGAGTTGTACTCGCGCTCGAAGGGTTTTGTACCATTATCTACCTCAATTACATATTTTTTATTAGGTTTTTTTTAGTATTTGTTGTTATAGCGGTAACAGAAATACAACATCTGTGAAAATTTCAACTGTCAAACTATAAATGTTCATGAAATACAGCCTGGTGACAGACAGTAAGGCAGACAAACAGCGGAATCTTAGTAATGGAAATAATAAAAATTTGTGGTCTGGATTATTACTTTAATATTATTTTATTTATTACCAATATTAATTTAGTTAACAAACATTTGAGAACATTGAGAACAAATGAGAACATTTGCACAACAGGGATCTGGCCAACTTGGAGAGGAAATTGCAGAAGCACGAGGCGTTCGAGAGGGAGCTGCAGGCCAACGAGAAACAGCTTAGGAATGTCGAGAGTGTGAGTGCTTCCATTCTAGTAAACATTTCAGAACATCCAATCCTTTGGCCTAACCGCTGAGGGCATCGTGAGAAGGGTGGGTACTCAGTGTCTGTGCAAGACTAATATTTATACGAACTGTAGATAATTGAGGTTCACAGTAAAGATCATGCAATAAAAATCATATAGGAGTGTGAACCACTACAATAAAAGTGGCTGTTTGGACATATATTTAATGTATATAATACGTTTTCACCGTTGTTTACGTTTTATTTTGCAGAATGTTAAATTAGTTCAAAATAAATCGTCATCGTGTAGACGTATTTTCATTAATAACCTTTCTGCTACACAGAAGTAAACCGCGTCAACTTCACCGGCAATAGTTTAACGGAGTTCAATAAAATTCGAAACTTAAACAGTTCATATCCTTGAATATCAAATGATAAAAAAGGAGCATGTGATGTGAGAGCAAATTTGCTTCGCCATGATTGTGGTATCATACTATCATTGTGGTATCTAATAGAATGTTGATTTTGCTGTGACAGATTGGGCAGTCCCTGCAGAAGTCGGACCCCGCCCGCGCCGAGGAGGTGTCCCATCGGCTGAAGGGTCTGCAGACCGCCTGGGAAGAGCTCGTCGCGGCCTCAAGGGACAAAGGCAGCAAGCTGAGGCAGGCAGCTCAGCAAAGACAGCACAGAAGGTCAGTTGGATGTGGCAAAATACATCTAAGAATATCTTTATAATATATGATAGATCTTGAATAAAAGAATTCCAGAGAGCTAAGTGAAATGGATAATTAAAATTTTATTTTAGGATAAGTAATGTTGAATTTTTTCGTTAAAAGTTAGTATTGAAAATTAGTTTATTTAAGCTAAGGCATATTGTTATTTCTGTATTACCGTTTCTTACTTGTTTAGATATTACATATGACTATTGTATGTTTATTTCATTTTAAATAATGAAATAATTATTTTATGATAAATTTTTATCCAAGCCCGTTCTAGGCAATTGATAAAGACATTTAAAATCTCATCCGATTATTGTATGAGTGTCTTCAGTACAAAAATGAAAGCTTTTGCTGAGGTGCAGGTAATCAAGAACTAGTCGGTATTTTGGGAGAAAAAAATATATTTTTCTGATATAAATAAATACACATGATAGATGAATACATACTCAGACGCTAGGTAAATGCGCCATCCCACAATATTTTTTCAGTAGTGGGGATCGAACCCGCACGCTCTGGCACATAAGAATAGTAGGAAATATGTCAATAGCACGATGATCGATTGAAGTGTCATGTAACAGGGCCGTGGAGGACGCCAAGGCGCGCCTCGTGGACCTGGAGCGGGCGCTGCGCAGCGAGGAGACCGGCGGGGACCTGCGCAGCTGCAAGCGCTTACTCAACCAGCAGCAGGCGTTCGAGCAGGAGCTGCAGCAGTGGGAGGCGCGCGCGGCCGCGCTGGCGGCGATGGGCGCGGACCTCGTCTCCGGGGGCCACTTCGACAGCGCTGCCATAGAGCGCGACAGCGCTGCGCTGCTGCAGGCGCTCGAGGCGCTGCGGCCGCGCGCGGCCAGTAGGCGCGCCGCGCTCGAGACCAGCATGCGGTGGGTGCTACGCTTATGAGAGTGGCGAGGGGAGCGATAGTATTGTCTCTTTCTAACCCCAGAGTAGTTGGGTAGTTCCATCGACCACTGCTTCGCAGAATACCTATGGTAGTCATTCCTTCGGGTCAAAAGCCTCCTTTAAAGCAACAACCCTAATGAAGTTCACAGTTGATGAGGTGTTAATAGTTTGCCTCGTCCCGGGCCTCCGTGGTTGTCAAGTTGGACTCTACCAATTATCGACTCCTAATATTGAGTTTTCTGCTAGTGATCACCGCATAATCTACAGGATGTAGAATATGCGGTGATGCTTGTACATGTTAATGTACACGCTCAGATTCCACAAGTTCGCGGCCGAGGTGTCCGGCGAGCTGGACTGGCTGCAGGAGCGGCAGGCGGCCGCCGGCTCCGGCAGCCTGCCGGGCGACCTGCACGCCGCCCAGTCGGCGCAGAAGAAGCACGCCAAGCTGCGCGCGGAGCTGGTGGGGCGCAGGCCCCTCATCGAGCGCGTTTTGGTCCAGGGCCGGGCGCTCGTCGAAGAGGACCACCCGCAGAAGGAGAAGGTGCCTGTCTTGAATCTCCAAAATTATTTAATTACTTCGTATTTATCTTTGTGTATCACCACACTCAGATCGAGCGGCTGTGCGGGGAGCTGGAGCGCGCGTACGGCGCGGTGTCGCGGGCGGCCGAGGAGCGCGCCTCCCGCCTGGAGGCGGCGCTGAGGGCGCAGCAGTTCATGCACGAGGCGCTGGAGGTGGACTCCTGGCTGGCGGACAAGGCGGCCGCGCTGGCCTCGGCCGACGTGGGCCACGACCGCCACCGCGCCACGCAGCTGCTCACCAGGCACAAGGTCTCGCTCACTGCCTGCCTCTGACACGCACGATCTATTTATTTACAAAACACAAGTATAAAATCTCCAAGTGGGGTTTTTACCCACTAAAACCCCCTCGGTGGCCAACTACTGTACGCTTGGAGGGACTTTCACGATGCCCTCGCCATCTTGCAGCACCTCGAAACCACTTCGAGCTGCCGCCAATCCGTTTCCCCCTTTAGTCGCCTTTTACGACGGGCAGAGGATACCTTAGCCCGAGACTACAGGGCAGTTACCTAGTAGCCGTAGTAAAAACGTCGCATAGTTTGAGAGTGGAGAGCGTTGAGAACATGCAAAAATGTGTCCTATTCACTTGTATGAGAGCTGTTAAATAAAGAAATGACCGGCTAAAGAGAATCCTATGATTCCAACCGTGGCGTAGACTATTCTGATTGGATGGAATGATTGCCGCCGGGAAGAAGGTGGTGTCTAATAATTGGGGCGTCTTGTGCGTCGCAGGCGGTGGAGCTGGAGCTGGACACGTACGCGGCGATCATCGCGGAGATGGGCCACGTGGCGAGCAGCATGGGCCAGCCCGAGCTGGTGGAGAGGCACGCGCTGCTGGCGGGGAGCCTGCAGCGGCTGCAGACCCTCGCGCAGCAGCGCCAGGGCGCGCTCGTCGAGAGCGTCTGCAGGTCTGCTCCATTATTGGTTCACAAGTTACATAATTATAATGTGATTTGACAAACTAGTTAAATGTCCGCTGTCCTGTGGACATTCGGTTTATTTATGGATGTAGACTGAAATAGATACAGACATGTCTGTGTATTTGACGTGTGATAATTTTTCTGCTTTGTTTGTGCTCGCAATTTACATCAAATAGTTACTCGGCGTAGTTTCTTTTACTGGTTTATCAACTTGTAGATAGAAGAAAGATGTAATTTCACTTATATCTTATATAAAATGGCTAAGCAATATATCTATGATAATGAGAAGTGACTTTACCAATCATCAACTTAATCGGCTTTTATCAGATCTTTGCTGGGGACAAGATATTATTTTAGGCCTATGTAGTCTCTAAAACACCATTAAAAGACAATTCTAAACACAGACTTTTCTTGCAGAAATTTCAATAATTTGATTTAGTTAACTGGTGGTAGATTCCAAACAGATACAAATACTAAACTACGCTTTCGACTGCGTGGATCACAAAACCCTCCTTCTAAAGCTTGATTATTATGGCATTCGTGACATCGCCCTCAATCTCATTGCTTCTTATCTTAATAATAGAATTCAAAAAGTATCTATAAATGATGTAAATTCCGCAGGGTCCCCCATGAAAATGGGTGTCCCACAAGGATCGATCTTGGGCCCATTATTATTCTTAGTATATATAAATGATCTCCCCTTTTATGCCAGTGAGTTATGTGATGTTGTACTGTTTGCTGACGACACATCGCTTATTTTTAAGGTTGACCGAAATGTATCGAATTATGACGACGTGAATAGTGCACTTTCGCGTATCCTCCCTGGTTTACCATTAATAATATGGTGTTAAATGCTAAAAAAACTAAATGCCTTCTTTTTGCCCTTCCCAACGTAAGAAGGCAAAGTTTTAGCTTAAAATTGAATAGCGTAACCCTTAATCCTGTTGAGTCCGCTGTATTCTTGGGAATCACAGTAGATTCAAAGCTCCAATGGAGTCCCCATCTATCATCTCTTGCGAATAGGTTAAGCTCCGCTGTTTTTGCAATTAGGAAGGTTAGGCAGCTATCAGACATCGACACTGCCAGACTTGTTTACTACAGTTATTTTCACAGCATCTTGTCGTACGGCATTTTGTTGTGGGGTAGTGCATCTGATATAAATTCAATATTTATTATTCAAAAAAGAGCTGTCCGAGCAATTTATAACATCGGAGCCCGGAATACACTCAGACATCTTTTTAAAGAGATTAATATACTCACTGTTGCGTCTCAATATATTTATTGTAATATTTTGTATGTTAAACAGAATATTAATAATTATCAAAAGAATAGTGACAGACATAAACTAAATACTAGAAATAAGGACAAACTAACTACGCCATTATTTCGCCTACAAAAAGTAAACAGATCGTTCATGGGGCAAAGTGTGCGCATGTATAATAAAATCCCACAGTCGATGTTAAGTCTGCCACTTGATGAATTTAAACGAAAAATTAAAAGTACACTTATGGCTAAAGCCTATTATACTATTGCCGAATATCTTGACGACGCCAATGTGTGGGGTTAATACTGTTGATACTCACGTAGGCTAAAACAAGACTATTGTACATGTACTATTATATTGTAAACTGATTTTTTTAAAAAGAGCAACTGTTGAGTTTCTTGCCGGTTTCTTCTCAACAGAAACTGCTTTCCGAACCGGTGGTACCTTACGAACGTGTTAATTTCTTGTAAAATTTTGACGTTTCATAAGAACGCGCAAGCGTCTATGTGAATAAAGATATTTTTATTTATTTAAAAACAAAGAGATTACTAGTGTACTCTATGTACGGAAGAATATAATTCGATTGTTATATCAAACTGCTCTTTACAGGCATGAATATCTCGCTGAGAGCGCAGAGTTGGAGAGCTGGATACAGGAGCAGTACGCCGCCGCTTCCAGCGAGGACTACGGCCAGGACTACGAACATCTTTTGGTGAGTGCTAAAAGTTGGATAAGATTGGCAGATGGAGCCTTAACAAGGTTTTTTATTCTTATCAATATTTAACTAAGAATTATCTCTGTAATGATGTTATATCATAACATTCAACTATAAGGGGACACTTCACTTATTTTTTAGAAAAAAAAGTTGCTGATAACAGGAAGAGCTCTTAAGTTTAGTCGTGGTGTTAATAAATAAATTTCTAACATTACAATTTGTAGAAAAAGTACGAAAAGTGTGTCCCTGCTGTGGGAATCAAACCCACGTCTTCGGCATTAGCGGCTCGACGCTTTAGCCACTAAGCTTCAAGGACATTAAGATTTTCTTTGGTACTTTTTCTACAAATTTTAATGTTTAATCTTGATAGATAGATAGATAGATAGATATTTTTATTTCATCGTAAGTTACATTGCACCACACAACAATCTATATAACATACAGTTAAACTATTATTTAATCAAACAGAAAAATGACACTATAGAAATTATTACATTATATGGAACAAAAGAAAAGAAAAAAACAAAACAAATTACTCTGTGTACTGTTATGGAGAAACAAATGAATTATTATTTACAAAATGTATATCAGTAGTAATAGCCGGGTAGTTTGTTAAATTTAAACATATCTAATTGGCGGTATCCTGGTAAAAATTCTTTACCTTCCGTGCTAGTCAACAGACTGTGTTACGGCAAGGTAAGGATTCTCGTTCCAGAAATACTTACTTTACGCTAATTGAAATAAGGACAGTTTTTTAATTGGATAATATTATTGAAGCCAACAAAACATTTTTCAAAAACATCTACTAATGAGTTTGGCGTAAACAAGTAGTATATTAACAAAATGCAGATAAAACTATTTTATTCTTAATTGAATTATTTTATAATATTGACATAAATGTTACATCTATTTGCAATCTTTTTTGTAGTATTCTTATATAGATATATACCAGTATAACATAGTAGTACATATATATTTAATAAATTATAGTTTTCTTATATATTATGTAATATTTGAAATGTAATTATATGATTATATATTTATTATTATATACGTACTTTAAAATATATATATATGTTTAAATTCAGTAGAGAAGATTTACTTGCATATTTGCATAATGTTTTCAGTCTGTTCGAAATCCAAACCACCCAGATATTCCTCCAGAGTCCTTTTACAAACAAATCTCGTCATGTTTTTCAAGGGCTTGACTTTACTTAGGCGATTATAAAGTAATGGGGCCAAAAAGTAAGAAAAACATTGAGCAAAAGTACTATTACACGATGGCACTTCATAGACCTCATGTGATCTCCTAATGGACTTATTAATACGATTTGAGGAGTGTTGTTTTAGAACAATGCTTTTAATGTAATGTTGGCGAATTGTTAAAACTTTAAACTCTTTATAGAGTTTTGACGTAGGGTACATGAACTGCTTATAATTAATTACCTTTAAGATACACCGCTGAGCTCTTTCTATTTTTATAAGAGTACTTTTCCGCACACCCCCCCAAGCGATGATGCCGTAAGTAACTATAGATTGACACAAGGTCAGGTAAACAGTCTTGTTTGTCTTCTGGTCCCTCAAGTTTCTAATCTTTTTGAATATAGGTATAAGTTTACGTATTCTAGACTTAAGCTTATTGATATGTGGATTCCAATTCAAATTTTTATCTATCTCAATACCTAAGTATTTTGTGCTATTTGTTGCAGATAACGTATAACAATTGGATTCTCTAGTAGTAACGGAACAATTAAAATCACATACGCTTTCATGTGCTTTCAGTGTGAAATCTATAGGAGGTTGCGAATTATTTTTATGCTAAATGTTATGTACTTTGTTTTATTTAAATTCAATGTAAGTAAGTTGTAATCAAGCCAGTTTATAATACTTTGAAGCCCTGTTTCAGCTGCTGTTTTAACTTGTGTCCATGATGAATGTTGGAATACAATTACAGTATCATCAGCGAATGTAATAATTTTTGAATGAGGTATCTCAATATTGCATAGATCATTTATATAAATAAGAAATAAGGTGGGCCCTAACACAGATCCTTGCGGAACACCGAAATTTATTTTTAGCTTAGCACTATAAAGATCCCCAATTTTCAAAGTCTGTGTCCTGTTAGAAATAAAATCTTTGAAAAGATCTAGTGGTACACCTCTAATGCCTGTTGACTCCAACTTACGAATAAGTAGGGGAATTGAGATAGTGTCAAAGGCCTTAGTTAAATCCAAAAAAGCACCGATGCTCTTTTTTTCTACAGTCAAGATTTCTCGCTATGTTAGTTACTAAGTCTTCTACTGCATCTGAAGTCGATTTATTTTTTCTGAAATCATATTGATTTATTGATAGAATGTTATTATTTTCTAAGTAACTGACAAGTCTTTTGTTCATGATTCTTTCTAAAATTTTAGAGAATATAGGCAGGAGAGAAATTGGACGATAGTTTGTAATGCTATCCTTATCCCCTGCTTTAAAGACAGGTATTACAATAGAGTCCTTCAACGCGTTTGGAAACCTTCCACAAGACAAACATAAATTAAAAATATGAGTGAGAGGTGCTTTAATAATTGTAACAAAATTTTTGATAAATTTGGATGATATACCATCCCAACCTGTAGAGTTGGTATTCTTCAATGACATAATGATATTTTGTACCTCCAGTTCATCTGCTTCCAACATCATGAATGACTTTAATGGAGTTTTATTGCACCTAAAGTTTTTAACTAATTCCTCTTCTGTAAGTTTTAATTTTTGTAAAATGTTATTCGATAGTTTAGCGCCTATATTAACAAAAAAACCATTAGCATAATCGATAGATTCCTGAGGTGTTGATTTGATTCTTAGTAATTCATTTGGAGCTTTGGCTTTATCTGACGTATTCAAATTACATACATCTTTTATAACATCCCATGTCTTTTTGATATCATTTTTGTTTAGATTTAGATTTCGTTTATCGTGCTCATTTTTTAAACTATGAAGAAGATTGTTACAATGGTTACGATAACGTTTGTAAGTAATTTCCAGATCTTTGTCATTTGGTGATTTTAGGTGTCTTTTATGTAATGTATCTCTGAATTTCATACAGCGTAGTAGTCCAGGAGTTATCCATTTATGACGAATTAGCTTTCGGTTAGGTATTGTTTTGATTTGTGTGCTTTTTTTTTAATGATCCTTGATAGAGTTTCAATAAATACTTCAGTTGCTGTATTTGGGTCTGTTAACGATATTATATTTGCAAAATCAATTTCATTCAATAGTTTGTAAGCCATATCATAATTAAGTTTTTTAAATGATTTTTTATATTTATGTACAGAATGTTGCTGCGTTAATGATAAATTCAAATATAAGCTGCTATGATCAGTTACGGACGACTTACAAATTACGGTTAACATTTTTGAATTTGACTTTACAAAACAGTGATCAATACATTTATCATGACGAGTCGGAAACAAATGACTCGGTACAAGACAGTGGTTTGCAAGAAGATCTAGGTACTCATCAGACTTTGGGTCATTACTATAGTTGCTAATATCAATATTAATGTCTCCAGTTAAATAAATGTTAGGTATATGCTTGAGCTTGAGCAACAACTCATCTAGAGAGCAAAGAAAGTTCGTTATGGAATTAAATGATGGTGATCTGTACAAACAAATTAAAGCGTTGTTTCTGTCTATTTCCACAACCAAGCAATCAGCGTCAACTATGTTAGGTTCGTATACTATGACATTTTCCAAGTTATTTTTTATATAAACGACCACACCACTGTTTTGGTTAATATGGGTACGGGTACTATAGGTGTTATATTGTTCTATTTTAGGGATTAAATCTGATTTTTGCAACCAGCACTCTGTTAGAATGATAATATCGTAATCTAAATTACTCCTTGCCATAAGAATTTTAAAGTCGTCTAAATTTTTGTTTATGCTACGAATGTTTTGTACGATCAATTTAAGAGATAGTTTATTATCAAGTCCGTAATGCAAAAGTGATTCTGGATCCTCAACCAAAAAGGAATTTCCTACGTTGATATTATTATCAACGTCGGAAATAATGTCTTCTAAACTGTTACCCATGGTGTAATTAATGAAATAAGAATTTGATATAGGATATTTGGTTGAGGATGATAGTTACTGATGTTTATGAGCGAACTAGGACATATGCAAGCAAGTGTTTGTTCATTATGAGCGGGAGGGATATAGATGGAGTATAATAATATAATAATATGATATATATATAAATGATACATATGATACATATGATATATAGATACAAAATATTTTTTGGGATAATAATACAGAAAAATTATTATCAAGTTATTAAGAATAACAGTTATTGTAGTAGTATGATATTCAGTACTATAAACTGAATTAGAACTAATGTAATAGCTAAAATTAATGTAATAGGTGTGACTATAGTGATAGAGTACAAAAACACAGATAGTAAAAAGAAAATTAAAATGTACCGTAGATTCTTGACGTATATGCCTGCAAATAGTCATTGCATATCTAAGTCTTTGATTTGATTTAGGCTTCTGATGACTATGGCAGACTGGCCCTCCTCTTTACGTAACAAAATATTGCCTCTTGACACCCAGCACTATTTATATTTCCATTCTTCACAAGTTCTCGAGCAGCTGCCAGCATCTTCTTCGACATCCGTGTTAGAGCTTCAGATATATAAACTCTTGAAGGTATTCCACTAACCCCTAACATTTCTGAGGTTATTGGTTTTTCCTTATTTTCTGTGTTATACTTTTTAGCAGCCTTTAAGAGTTCTTCTCTTTTTTTGATGTCCTGGTACTCCACAACAATGGGCCCATTTTGTTTACCTCTCCTATATATTTTTATTGTTTCGTCCAAACGCTTTATGTTTAATGTGTCATAAATATTATTGATAATTTTGTTTACGTCTTCTTTTTCTTCCCGTGGAATATTCCTTATTTCAATAACATTCTTGACGCATTGTTTTTGGAGTTCATTTAACTGAGATTCCAATTCATTAATCCGTGTCATATCTACTTCATATTTGGCTTCAAGAGTTTGTACTCTGGTCATAATTTCCTTGTAATTCGTAGCATTCTGCTCCAGGAATGTTATGATCTGCGAGTTAGACTCAATTATTTGATTATTTTGTTGTTTTATTTCACTAATTTGCGTGTTCAGCATTTGCTTAAAAGACTCCATGAGTTCTTCTTTTAGATCTGTTGCGTTTTCTTGTTCAGGATTTTTCCGTTTCCTTATGTTGAAGTTCCGAATAATATCCTGGTCTTGTGAATCAACTGACAGATCAGGTTGCGAAGAGAAACAAACTGTTTGTCTGGATGTTGGAGTACGCTGCATTTTATCTGACAAATTTGCTTATACTACAATGTGTTGAATCGCTTCGGATTAAGAATAGTGGTATTTTTAAAGAGATTTTAAACCTTATCCCTTTAAAAACAAAGTCAATTATTGGTTTTTAGGTATTCTAGATCAAAGTGAAACACGTCTGACTTCAACCAATATAGGAACGAGACTCTTGAGTGCAGAGATTAGCAATATAAAAAAATTTAATTTAAAATTTCTAACCTCACGTGATATTTCAACGCAATTCGTATTCTCCCCTCTCAGATCCTCCGTTCGAAGTTTGACGAGCTCCGCCACCGAGTGGAGAGCGGAGCGGAGAGGTTCAACCAGTGTGAGGAGCTGGCGAAGAAACTTCTTGCGTCCGACAGCCCATATATAGCGGACATCGAGCAGCGACAAGAGGCCTTGGGGTGAGTCGTTTTACGAACATCTGTGTAGCAAACATAGTCGACATTAAATTGATGTAGTTATAAAATTTATCAGGGCCATAAGAGCTTAAGTGTAGATGGATATTGATCTCTATAAAGTAATATTTGAGGGTGTTCTATTTAAATTTTAATAAAGGATGTATGATCATGCCATCTATTGACGATTTGTATAGAAAGATGGCAAAGTAATCTTAAATACGTCGTTATTAGCCGTCTGACGACGGCAGCGTGCAAAGCGTTCGTTATGCAGTGAGGAATTGCGTTCGCAGCGAGTCGTGGCAGCGGCTGGTGGAGCAGATCGGGCAGCGCGCTCAGCGGCTGCACGCGGCGGGCGAAATCCACCGGTTCCACCGCGACGCGGGCGAGCTGGTGGCGCGCGCGGCGGAGCGGGCCGCCCGGCTGGCCGCGCCCCCACCGCCGAGAGACCTGCGCGCCGCCGCCGCCCTGCTGCGCGACCACGACACGCAGGAGACTGACCTGCTGGCCGTCGACGCGCAGCTGCAGGTGCTGCAGGAGGAGGGCGCGCGCCTGCAGAGGCTCTGCCCCGGCGGCAACGAGCAGCAGATCGCGCTCCGCCAGCGGGCGCTCGCGGACGCGTGGACCGAGCTGCGCACGGCGGCCGACCAGCGCCGCCGGCTGCTGCAGCAGCACCTGGAGCTGCACCAGTTCCTCTCCGAGGTGGGCTTTCGCGTGATTGCATTTGTTTCTTATCCTTAGCGTACATAAATTGTCGCTACTACGATTACAAACTCGCGGGCGCAGGTGCGCGACGTGGCGAGCTGGTCGGCGGCGCTGCGCGGCGGCATGGCGGGCGCGGCGCGCGCGCGCTCGGCCGCCGCGGCGCAGGCGCAGCGCGCGCACCACGACGCGCTGCGGGCCGAGATCGACGCGCGCGACGACGGCTTCCGCGCCGCGCTCGACCGCGCGCAGCGGCTGCTGGACGCGGGCCACCCGGCCGCGCAGGAGATCAACGAGCGGTGCGAGGCGCTGCTGGAGGAGCGCGCGCTGCTGCACGGCGCGTGGGCGGCCCGCCAGGTGGCGCTCGACCAGCTGCACGACCTGCACTGCTTCCTGCGCGACGCCAAGCAGCTGCACGAGCTCTGCGCCTCGCAGGAGGCGGCGCTGGGTCGGTACACCCGCAGAGCCTGTTCTACTATCTCAGTCATATACGGATTAGGATAAGGACCGTTGCGTGGCGGTAGTGAGATTGCGGTAATGCTATTGAAATGCTGTGGAAATCGAACCCACGTCTTCGGCTTTCGCGGCCTGACGCTCTAGCCAATGAGCTAAACGGCTGATAGCCACACCGACGAAAATCTTAACGTCTTTTTCTACATTGTTTCTTCATTTGAAGCAATGCTTGGCGCATCCATTGTTATATCCTTTCTAGCATACAAACAATTTCGAATATCGTTTTTTAGAAATTTAAATTGTTTATAGTGCTAATCTTTGCACTTAAGATTGAACATTAAAATATGTAGGAAAAATACGAAAAGAACGTAGTTTAGAATTCACAAAGTTATTGAAAAAAGTCTGAAATTTTCTAATTTAAGACGTGTGTACAGGACAACGTCTGTCCGGTCTGCTAGTATAAATCTATTTCGATTAAAAGAAATAAGAGATTGAATCGTTTCGTTTGCAGGCACGGAGATCTCGCCAACATGCAGCGTAGAGGAAGTGGACAACCAGCTCAGGAAGCACGAGGCCTTCGAGAAGCTCCTCGCAACGCAGGTACATACAGTCTTGTCTAAAGCACGACACTATTTGTTTGTATTAATCTATCTTTCAGTTTCTTCCTCTTGGACTGAAGGATTTGTAGACTATATAACGCTTCATCAAGTTAATATCGGAAAGACTATGTTTCTATCGGCTTAATAATTATTGGATTAGTCTCGAATACCTGATTTTCTGTCGCAGGACGAAAAACTAACGACCTTGAACAGCCACGGCGACAAACTGCTGCAGCAGAACCACGTGGAGAGCCAGCGCATCGCTGACGAATTGCAGGAGATCAACGTCAGGAGGAAGAAGGTAAATGGTGGATTATTATGTAATTGATTGTTTTTGAGTTAATCTTTATATATACCATATCTATGTTGGTTCGCTTTAAAAGTAAAGATAAAAAGCACGGCTTAAGTAAGGTTGTATGTAACATTGAACTGTGGTAGGACCACGCAGCAGTCATCGCTGACAGTCGTCAGACAGGTCCGTCCGGGGAAGTACCATCACAGAAGACTGGTATAAGGTGGTAGTGTTATACTTCTGTAACGCATTTCTGCCTCTGTATAGAGCAGGCCTTTACCCAGCAAGTGGATTACCAGCTGTTACTTTACTTTACTGTAACGCTTTAGAGCCTGGCTTGAAGGAATTTAGCACGAGGGACTGAACTGTCCACAGCTGTACGCGGCGGCGAGCGAGCGCCGCGCGCAGCTGGTGCAGGCGCGCGCGCGTGCGCAGTTCGCGCGCGACGCTGCGGAGGCGCGCGCCTGGGTGGCCGACAAGCTGGCGCAGCTGCCCGCGCACTCCGGTAGGGGGCGTCCTTGTACTCCACTTTTTTTCCTTTCAATTACTGACCATAAACAAGATGTCATGGTGACTCCGCGGCGCAGTTGCCGAGCTATTGGCTTTGGAGCCGGGGATCATGGGTTCGATCCCAACACGAGACAACTATTTGAGCAGCAGATAATTTTCTCAGTGTGCAAAAAGTCCTACACCACAGAATAATGTTATCCTACAGTAAGGGGGTAAGGGTTAACTAAAAAACTGGTAAATTCTCAAAGGAAAGACTACAATAGATCTTCTATTTTGTAGTGGTTGTTGGGACTTACTACTCCCTTCCACACAATACAATAAACAAGAAGATATTTCAATTTATTTAACGGTTAAAACCATATTGATACTAAAAGTATGCACCCCGTGTAAACATTTCAATAATGCTATTTTCGACTCCATCAGTATGTGCGTAATATATAAGAGTTCCCGATTAAACCGCAGGCGAGGTGACCGACCTGGAGGACAAGATCCGCAAGCTGAAGAAGCACCAGGCGTTCACGGCCGAGCTGGCCGCGCACCGCGCTCGTCTGCAGGAGCTGCAGCTGCTCGCCGCGCAGCTGGCGCCCGCGCCCGACGTGGCGCAGCAGCTGCAGCAGCTGCAGGACGACTGGCGCCTGCTGGAGACGGCGGCCGAGCAGCGCGGTGAGCCACGATCCTGTTCGATAAGATCCGGTAACGTGACGCACGGGCGTTGCAAAGGTGGCAACTTAGTCTTATATAACAACTACTAATAACGGCTGATACACGTTTGGGAAATGGGGGGGAGGAGAGGCTTACAAACCTGCTGCAGTCAGATGTCCAGCATTATTTTTTTATGTGAGACAATAGCATGCCACTTGCAACGCGACTACAGATGCTTTACAAACGTCTAAAAGTGTGCACTCCGGTTACTTCACCAGTGTGATGAAACTCGGAAATATACCACTTCACACACATCTGTGAGGCTGTGGTAATCATGTGATAATCAGCTAAGCGTGACATCTACAATGTGACTACAGATGCTTTACAAACGTTTAAGTGTGTACTCCAATTGTGTGACTAGTAAGATTAAACTTGAAAGTATAATACTTCTACTACACACTGTTAGGATCTGATGCTAGTGTGGTACTCGGCTAGGCGTGACTATTTTGCGTTTATTAAAAGCTGTAGGGTAACGCACGGACAGTCTTCAAGCACACTCGGAAAGTGAAGAAAGAGAGACGGACATCAGGAAAGAACTGTCTAAATTGACAAAGTTACAAATACATCAGCCTATAATGCAATCATAACTAAGTCAGTGTCTAATATTGACTTTTTAATCCTTAGGTCGTGGTCTGGAAGAGGCGCAGGACATACTGGAGTTCAACCAACACCTAGACAAAATCGAAGCCTGGATCAGGGACAAAGAGATGATGGTACGATGAAGATCATCAAGGAATAGTCATTAAATTTGTTTCTTTGTGTAAAATAGTAAACACGGCATTATGAGATTGAATTCACTTGTAAAGACACAACATATTAGCAGTTATTGGACATTATCCTTACAAGATGCGAAGTAATTAATATTTCATACATGGAAACCTTGATGTATCATGAGTCATGCTTCGATGAAATAAATAAAATGTAATAAAAAGCCGTTCCAGCCGTTCAGGAGGAGTTTAGTGACATTCATGTACAGAAGAATTATATAAAGCATACGCAATTTTTTATGTAAATATATGAGATTTCCACTGATAATTGACTCATCACGGAACTATATGAAATAATTGAAATATCTCTGGAACCATAAGGCGTAGAGACTTGAAATTTGGTTTGGACTTGAATATTCGTTTCGCCGAGTAGCGGTCAGCTAAGAAGGGATTTAAAAGTGATATAAATTTGTGCGGTGCCGCAGGTCCAGGCGCACGAGCTGGGCAGAGACTACGAGCACTGCAGCGCGCTGCTGCGCAAGCTGGACGACCTGGACAGCGACATGAAGGTGGACGACAAGCACGTGCGCGCCGTCTGTGCGTTGGCCGACCGCCTGCTCAAGCAGGTGCGATCTGCTGGCAACGCCTCGCCTTTTGTATGAAGAAAGCCCATAAGCGCTTTGGTTGATAGCGGTGCTGCCTAAAGTGATAAAATTATTCATTCAATCTCCACTTGCTTCGAATAATACTTTCGATGTTTTTCAAATGCATTATAAATTGTAAGTACCCATATTTGGTATTGATGTAGTTCTATAGTAAAAGTAGCCTGTGTGTCAGTGAAAGTCCCGTCAAAATCGGTCAAGCCGTTTCAGATATTAACCGGAGCAAACATACAGACAGACAGACAAAAATTGTAAAAAATATTATTTTGTCACATATACCGTGTATAAATCCATAAGCATTTAGTAAAAAGCGGTTAGTTTGATATTACAAACAACCACTCCAATTTAATAGTATAGACCGACTAATGATGAATGATGTAGGGTCCGAGCGCGCAGGCCGACGGCGTGGCCGCGCGGCGGGACGCCGTGCTGGGGCGCTGGCGGGCGCTCAGCGGAGCCCTGCAGGCCTACAGGGACCGCCTCGACGCCGCGCTGCTGCTGCACTCCTTCAACAGGTATCGGAGAGCCGGACATCAAACACAAAAGTCTTACAAACTTCTATGTGGACGATGGTTGGGTTCTGCCATTTTTCACGTTGGTGGGGTCACGTAGCGGCCTCGGTTGTTACAGGAATGGGTAGACTCGTGGGTAAGTACCCCGACCTCACAGAACACCGGCGTTAAGTGGAAGTGTAATACCTTCTCGTTTCGTCTGATGAGTGAGGTGGCCGGAGCTCAATTTTCAAAAGGTTGTCAATGCATCGGGTTGTCATCGTCAATCCAGTCGATGGTAGCCTGGATTGACATTTACTTATTAAAAATATTTTTAATATTATAAATATTTTAGGACACATTTTTACACAACACTTTCTAGTCCCAAACTAAGCAACGTTTGTACTATGGTAACTGATAAGCCAACATAATCGTAAATAAATAAATATTATACATATACAGCGTGTCGTTACCATCGCGACAATAAATGTAGACACGTCTAACGCTACTTGCCAATAATCATAAAAAAATATTAACGTTAAACAAAATCCATAGTTAAAAAAAAATATTTTTCTAACAAACTAATTAAGTAAAAAAGAAACAAAATTTGTAACATCCTATACAACTCGCGCCACAGCGTCGTATTACAAGCCTCTCCTTCTAACAGTATGTTTTTTGTCTCTTTTAAATTCATTCAACCCATTCATATGCTTTGTGACCTTTACAAATGAACTTTACGTTACGCTTTTATAGGTAAGGATGTTCTAAAATTCTTTGTTTTGGAAAATTTAATAACTCTGTAAATATTGATGTTTAAAGAATTTAAATGTTTAATACAACTTTAAAAGTTATCCCCTATATGTGTGTTCATTTATTGTCGCGATGGTAACGACACGCTGTATAAACACCCAGACACTGGATAAACACTATGTTCATCACACAATATTTTTCCAGTAGTGGGGGTCGAACCCGGGTATCCCGACAATAACGATCTCCGATAAATGACTTGTGGTTCGAGAGTAACGCTAAAGCGTCGAGTGTCGCAGGGACGTGGAGGAGACGGAGGAGCGCATCGCGAAGAAGGCGGCGCTGTTCTCGAGCGCGGAGCGGGGCCGCGAGCTGGCCGCCGCCGAGGAGCTGCGCCGCCGCCACCTGGCGCGCTGGGCCGAGGCGGGCGCCGTGGCCGACCGGCTCGTGGCGCTGCGCAGCGACGGACGCAGCCTAGCTGCCAGGTAACATCCTACTACTCCAATCCTCCTTTGAATGTATATCGCCACTGTTACTTAATTGTGTAAATTGTACTTTCTTCTTTGAAATTGTCTTTCTAAGACGGTACCACACTAAAAGTGCACCATATCTCATGGCATGCCCCTCCGCAGCCACCCGAGAGCGCGGCGCAGATCGAGGCCAGCCTGCAGAAGCTGGACTCTGCGTGGGACAAGCTGCAGCAGCTGGCGGCGAGCCGCACCGCTCTGCTCGACGACGCCATCGCCCACCACAAGTTCGACGAGAGCCTCAAGGTGCGCCCCTACCACTCCTCACCCCATCCCCCACCCCGCCCACAACCACCACTTTATGAAACGGTGTTGTAAACAGTTAGCAAAAAGAAGAATGTAACAAAGTAGGTACTTCCTCACCCATATTAACTATGATTTCCAATTAAAAACCACACACTCTGAAACAAAATGATCTATGAACGCTCATCATCCGCTCTGATAACCCTCAGGAACTGGAACTGTGGGTGTCGGAGACCGTCAAGCGGATGGACAGCGCCGCACCGCCGGAGAGCGTGGTGGAGGCCCGGGCTCTGCTGGAGCTGCACCACGAGACCAAGGTGGGTCGATGTTGATTATACTTCATAATTCATATGCATTCTACGAAATTTCCTCAATATGTCAATGATTTTGGACTGTGAAAGATACAAATCCAGCACTAGATTACTAATTTTCAACAGTCTGAGCAAGATGGAAAGTATATAGATTGAATTATATTGTCCGAGAACGGTGCATTGCAATGCAAACTACAATGCCTTAATATTTCAAGTTAAAAATAAGTAGCAAGGGCAACAACCTTATTGTTAAGTATAATTTTTAATTGTACCTTATCAATTAAATATAAATTTTCAAAAATCTTATAAAAAAATAGCTTTTTTTGGATGCAATGAATGTTCATTGGACCGCTTATCTATCTCGTATATTTTATTTATTTTATCAATGGCTTGTATGGTAAATGTCTTGCCTACACCGTTCATTGTAATAAAAATTCTTAAATATGTCAAATAATAATTTAAATGTTAATATTTGAGTTATTTTGGAAGTGACTCTCCTGACTCTCTTTGCTTAATCTGTAGGCGGAGATCGACGGGAGAAAGAAGGCAATAGCGTCCCTCCAGAAGGAGGCGGAGGCAGCTGACCAGCCGGAGAAGATCCAGCGCGTCGCCAATCTGGCCACGAGCCTCGACCAGGCCTGGCTGCAGAGGAAACAGTTCCTCACGCAGGTGATGCCCTCTACTAGTTTGGTAGTGTTCTAATATCGAGTTGAATCTAGCTTAAATGTGCCTGGCAGCTTTTGATAAAAAAAATCTTCATTAAAGTCATCTTTTTTAGCAGTGCTTCAATTAAAATGCAACGAAGAACGTTAGCTTAGTTCGTGTAGGATCTGGGTGCGAAACCGGAAGATAAACTTTTTTTCTTTATTTAATTACAAAAATCACATTTTAAGATTCATCTTGAGTGTAGAGACTAGCATTAAAAAATTTAAAGTGAATTCTAAATTCATTAAAAGAATTAAGAGATCTCTCTGACCGAGACAATGGAATTCAATTTTAACCTCTTAAGAGACAGGGTGAGCAAAGTTAAAACTTTTACTTTTCATTTGAAAGATACTGGAATTTCACAAAAATCTTCTGTTTGCAGGCTCTCGAGCTGCAGCTGTTCGAAGAACAGGCTCAACAGACTGAAGACTGGCTGGCTTCCAAGGAGGCCTTCCTCAACAATGACGACCTCGGGGAGAACCTGGACGGTGGGCGAACATTTCTACTTATTTTCATTTGATTTAAAAAGAGTGACTTGTTTGGAAATTAGAGATGTTGACAAATTAATCGAAGATGAGAATGTCCTGTTCTCATGATTTTTTAGTTATCTTTTAGTTTTCATTTGTGGTTTGTTTATGATTTATATTTTTTTTGTACAAGTTTTAAAGAAAACGTTGCAATTTGTGTTACTTTACAAGCGCTGCGGATCGGTTGTGTATTTCGTGATATGCGGATGATGGTAGCGTTAGGTTGACGGCTTCTGGATACCTACTGCGGATAGAGTAGGAGAGACAGAGCCGTAACAAAGTGCATTTTAAGTAATAAGCTCGGGAATGTACCGCAGCCGTGGAGGCGCTGATCCGCAAGCAGGCGGAGTTCGCGAAGCTGCTGGAGTCGCAGCTGGGGCGCGTGGAGGAGGTGCGCGCCTTCGCCGAGGGCCTGCTCGAGGCGGGCCACGCCCACGCCGCCCACATCGGGCGCCGCGTCGACCACCTGCTCGCCAGGACCAAGCGCCTCAAGGTGCCCCTCCAGCTCTCCTCTCTCTTTTTTTTTAAACATTAACTCTGGTCACGCAATAGTGTATACTGTTGCACGAATGGGCAGGTCCATCCGGGTAAGATCCACGACCTCACATGAAACCGATGTGAAGTGCAAGTGTTACAGTTGAGCGTTTCGTGTGGCGAGTGAGGCAGCCGGGGCCCACTTTATTTAACGGTGGCACGTATTTGCAACTCTTCGGGTGTTGCGTATGTTCATGGGCGGCGATTATCACCTGTTCGCTGCCAGTAGTAAAACATTAGTTATAACCTATCTATAGCATTACCACAAAAAACTCACAGCTCCAGCTCAAACAAATCTTCCATGGAGTTTAGAAACGGAGAATCTTACGTGAATTTTAACCGGAGCATTGTCTTGCAGGAGAGATGCAGCGAGCGCGAAGCGATACTGCTGCAGGCTCGGCAGTTGCAGCAGTTCCGACGCAACCTCGCCCACGAGAGGGAGTGGATCGAGCTCAAGATGCAGATCGCCAACGACCAGAGCTACAGGTACACCTTACCCACAGCCCCTATGGGGCTTTATTCTTCCCTCATGGACCTTTAGCCCAGAGCAATTAGTAACAGTCGTCAGAGCTACCAGCGATAGCTCCAAGATTCTCATTTCCATTACCTATGGAAATGAGGATGTAATACAGAGTAGACATAGAAATTTTGCGTTCTTATATTAGGTCTTGCAACTTCCCTGGCCTGCCCTGCTAAAATCGTGGTGTTAACAATTCATTCTCCTCTCCAGGGAGCTGTCCAACCTGCAGAGCAAGATCCAGAAACACGCCGCGTTCGAGTCCGAGCTGGCCGCAAACAAGAAGCGAATCGACGACGTAGCAAACACCGGGGAGGAGCTAATCGGTGAGACATTGAGAAATGTCAATTTCAGTTTTCTACACGTCTCTTTCCCTGTATTTTTACATAGACAAAGCTACAATAGTGTAGCTTTGTGTATGTAAAAATATACTGTGTGCTCTGTGACGATTAATTTTGTGATAAATTCAAAACTTCCGCAGTCAAAGACTAAAAATTACCCGCAATCTTAAAGTAATTTTTATTAAAATTAAGTTCACCGTATCTCCGGAGTGCATGTCTGTTATCAGACTGTGATAACTTGGGATAGATGAAAATAATAGCGATAGATGAGAAGATAGTTTTGCATAAGACAAAGGACCATGATCATCACTCAATCTGATATTGCAGAAGAGAAGCACTACGCGTCGCAGGAGATCGCGCAGCACGTCGAAGACCTGGAGAACCTATGGAGGGAGCTTCAGGTACTGATATGTAATTTTAAACCTACTTCAAAAAGGACACTCTCATCTTATGTTTTATTTCATGTTTGTTAACTCAGAACTGGCATCATTTATTTTTTGATTTATTAATTTGATACGAAAAAAAACCACGTTGTATTAAGAAATCAAAGTACTAAAATTTATATACCACACTAAAGCCAATTACTGCTGAATGGGCTGCACAATCAGGGGAAGTACCACAACCACAAAGGAGTAGAAAAAGCTTTTCAAAAGCGACAAACTTAGAATTCTTCACCTATTTTGCGTCGACGACTCACTGGTAAATTGCTTCGGTAGGCGGCTGCCAAGCTGCGACGCGAGCGGCTCCAGGAGGCGTACCAGGCGAGGGTTTACCTCCGAGGGCTGGACGACTTCACCGCCTGGCTGGACGACGTGGAGGCGCAGCTGCTCAGCGAGGACCACGGTGCGTGTTTGCTCTTGGCTCGCTGGTGGTTCTGGTCTTGGTCCAGTGGGAAGGCTCGAATTACTCGGATACAATAACGTGGTGGACCTTTGGCGCTTTTAACCTTATTCTAAGGGTCTGTGCTTTGAAAGGCGATAAGCGAGCTGGTAATTTTCCAGTTTTTAAGCGATTACCACCCTCTATGGACGTCCACGACCATGGAGTATCAATGCGCTCCTCAAAGTCAAAGTGAAATTCATCTCCTCCTCAAAGTCAAAATGAAATCAGGTCAGGTTCATTGAACTTGACCTGAGAAGAGAAGAACCGCTTTTCTGTTTGTTTCTATGCTTGAGTTAAGCATTACAAATATGCATTCCGTCCCATGCAGGCAAGGACCTGACCTCGGTGACTGGTCTGCTGAAGAGGCACACGCGGCTGGAGCAGCAGGTGGCCAGCAAGGCCGACACGGCCGCTCAGCTCGAGGACACGGCGCGCCAGCTGGCCGACAACGGACACTTCATGGCCGACGACATCCTGCAGAGGGCCGACAGGGCTGTCACCAGGTGACCACACACACACACACACACACACACAGAACAGATTATACTAACATGTGCTAGGAAAATTAGAGCATAAAACACATTTAGAGCTGTCCGTATCAATATGCGCACGTTCATAAGTTAGCATGTAGAAAGAGACAAAAAAGGTCCGTTCGCACTTTTAGGTATACACGCACGAGCACAGTTTCAACTCGGAAGAAGTTGCATAAACGAAACGCAACATCCACCCAATGCCTAATGGAATAGTGAAACGTCTAAACTAAGTCTAAACAAGCGTAATCGGTGCTTAGTTAGTTACTACTAGTTTCGGACCTTACACGATGTCCTTCATCAGCTTGAGTTCACGGTCGTGACAAGTATTAGCATTTTTATTATTCCGTTAATAATATCTCATGAAAGTTTTAATAATTTCCATCCCTAATGATAAGGAGCAACCAACAAACTCAATTCAGCCTAATACGTGTACTACGCAAACAAGAACACACAGTCGTGGACAGATATAGTTTGTAAAACTTTGGCATTGGTAGTACCCGCATAAACAGTTACACTAAGCTCAATTCTTAAAGTGTGAGTTAAACATTTTAGTCAATTCTGAAATATTTCAAGGCCTTATTGATGCCAAATCGGAGAAGAGAAAGTTACTAGCCTGAGCTACATCGTTGGCACCGGTCTCCGCAGGTACCGGCAGCTGCAGGAGCCGATGCAGATCCGGCGCGACAACCTGGAGGACGCCGCGCTGCTGCACCGCTGGCACCGCGACGCCGACGAGGAGTTCGACTGGTGAGCGCCCAGCGGTGGGACTCTGGTCCACACATTTACTACGGTTCCGTACCCAAAGGGTAAAACGGGACCCTATTATCAATCAAGACTGCTGTCTGCCTGTCAGCAAGCTCATGAGCCGTGATTGTTAAATAATTGAAATTTTCACAGATGATGTATTTCTGTTGGTACCATAACAACAAATGCGAATAAACAAAATTAAAAAATGTTTAAGTGGGACCTTTTTATAGATAATGGAATGGTTGTCTTTTTATATTTATTGGGCATACCAGCAGTATATGCATTAATAAATTTAGGGATATAACATTTTATTATGTTCTTATAATAATGTAAACCAATGACTTCAACAAATATGCCACGCGCCTGTAAAATTAGAAAATAATTTATCATTGTGCAGGTTGCTCCAGCGCGCGGGCCCGCTGGAGCAGGAGGACGCGCCGCTCGGCGACAGCCTGCCGGAGACGCAGGCGCTGCTCAAGGAGCACCAGGTGCTGGAGGCCGAGCTGCTGGCCAGGTACGGCGAATTCACCTGGGTTGCTTTGTGGACCATTTGATATATGGTATGGTATGCAAAATACATGCATACTTGTTTGATTTTTATGTATACGTATGTGTACTGGAGTAAGATGACCAACATTCATGTGTGAGTAATCATTTATTATAGGAGAGTTGTTCGTGCTAATAACCACCAGCATAGTATTGGCATGTTATTTCCATTAGCAATGCCCTACGAGGAGAGTCAATCTTATTACCACAACGCCACTAATAATGTATCTTTAGTAACGCAATCGCATTGGGCGTATAAATATCAGGGAGCCGTCGGTGAAGGCGCTGGGCGCGCGCGCGACGGCCCTGTCGCGGCGCGGCCACTTCGCCGGCGGGGCGCTGGCGGCGCGCGCGGCCGAGCTGGCGCGCCGGCTGCAGGCGATCGGCGCGGCGGGCGCGGTGCGAGGGAGACGGCTGCGCGCGCGCGAGGCGCTGCTCGCGCTGGCGGCGGAGGGCGCCGAGGCGGGCGGCTGGCTGGCGGCGCGCCGGCCGCCGCTCGCCGCCAGCGAGCTGGGCCGCGACGAGGAGGACGTGCTGGCGCTGGCGCGGCGGCTGGACGCGCAGCGGCGCGAGCTGCCCGCCTTCGACGCCACGCTCGCGCGCCTCGAGAAGGCGGCCGCTGCGGCGCTCGCCTCGCCCGTCAGTAGCGCCGCTCTCGGCGCTTCTCTCCATAGTTTACTTTCAACGTCCCTGTTTACGTTATGACGTATCTCATGTTACGGATCGATTTTACTAGATGGCGCCACTCAAGTTTAGAGGAATTCAAGGATGGAAAGGAATGCTCTTGGCCAAAGTTAAAAATAAATATAGAGAACTCATACAAATCAAGCGAATGCTGTGTTTGCGCGTGATTACCAATCAGTACATCACATTGGTCTTCTTGTGATTCTCCTTCAACATCCCGAAAGAAATTAAAAAAAAGTATAAAAGAATCCTAGTAATCAAGTGAATCCTTGTTTATATGTGGTTACCACTTGATTTCTTATAATAACAAATAATTGTTCAATGAGTTTGGCGTACCTTTGTAGATAAACCCCATTAAAATAAAATGTAATGAAAAAAAAAAAACAATGAAATAGTTAACACACAAGGATGTTTGTAATCTTACACTATTGCCAAGGTGAAGTTATCGAGGAGAGTACAGTAGCCCCTGCTTGTACTCTCTATTCAGATTATAACAACCATCATTAACTTAATTGTATCAAACACATGGCATATTGTTACTCGTTCAGCCATACCATGTCACTCCATTTTCTCCTCATATTGTCATTCAAAACATATTAAAACCCCCTATAGTAACTTACCAATATTCACAGGATCGGTCTCCCGAAGACGAAGAAGCGGTGAAGAAAATGATGGACGACCTAAAGAACACCTATGAGGAGCTGAAACTGCTCGCGGCGAGGAGGCAGCAGCGCCTGCAGCAGAGCCTTAAATACTTCAAGTGCGTACTATTCCAAAGTGTCAAGGCCTCTTTTGGCAAATGCACCATAAAGCACCTATGATATGACGGTGCGCCATTCCCGCAGGTTCGTCCAGGAGTGCGGCGAGGCGCAGGAGTGGATCGGCGAGCAGATGGCGGCTGCGGCCAGCGAGGAGTACGGCCTCGACGTGGAACACGTGGACACGCTGCAGCAGGCCTTCGACAACTTCATGGCGCAGTTGCACGGTTAGTGAATTGAGTACCGTCGAATGCGAAGGGGAGACTCTGGTCGGAGCAGGCAACGAGGGGACATCATGTCAAGGTTAAGGTTAAAATTAAATTTTGAATTGCCGCCAAAGCGATAGAAAAAGCCAAGAAAGAAATGTTATACTCCAATTTCAAAAAAAGAACAAGCTATGGATGCTTTTTTTAAATGTTTTGTCCAAGCGGCCAGTAACAGAAAATAAACTCCTACATGTGTAAGATTCATTTTGTAATTAAAAGTAAGATATGTTTTATATTTTATGCATTTAATGAGTTTTTTATTTGAGTGGCTATATTATTGCATGATTATTAATTATTGTGTGTATATTTTATGAACATTTGTATGTTTAAGTTATACTTTCTTTATTCATAATAAATGTTTATAATTATATGACCACCATTGTACATTATACTTAGGATTCGAAGCTCAATATAGAATTTTGAAAGTTTTTATGCTTTTAATATTGGCTGATGATATATAAAACCCAATGCTTTATCAATGTAATTGTCAAATACCAATTTCTTCTTACACCGAGTTCCTCTAAGATTGTTTTCTCTCGCAGCCAACGAGGGCCGCATCGAGGCAGTGTGCGAGGCGGGCAACGCCCTGCTGGAGGAGAACACGCCCGAAGCAGATCGCGTGAGGCAGAGGATCGACGACATCCGGGGGCTGTGGGACGACCTCAAGGAGCTGGCAGTGGCTCGCCACGAGGTGAGGAACGGGAACATTGTTTCACTCAGACTTATCAGCGCTATGCAAAGTTAAGTAAAATCAATCAATACTTTCTTTGTTATCTGGAGTACTATACTTGGGATTATTTATATGAGTTTCGATGATTAATTATAATTATATTTAATATTTTTTGTGCGTTAAAGGAATTCATTGACTTCAGTTGCAACATCTCTTCTATCCTTAATTGATTTAAAAGTGTGGTGGGACACGCAGTATATGCCACAATATACAAAGAAGAGCCTCGTCGTCAAAGCATAGAAGGTTGTTCTTAACGACCTTGAAGTATTTTGTATTCTTTGGGGAAGGGGTTGGTTAGTAAGTCCCAACCAACAACCACTGTGACCTAGAAGATCTATTGTAGTTTGTCCTTCGAAATATCCTGTGTTGTAAGGACGTTTTAAATATAAAATTCCATGTGGACGAACACACAGATTAAACTACCCCACGGAGCCACCGACGGGCTGTCGTGGTCCGTCCATTCGTCCAGATGATGGTCCGTTGCAGGCGCTGGCCGGGGCGCGGCAGGTGCACGAGTTCGACCGCGCCGCCGAGGAGACGGCCGCGTGGGTGGCCGAGAAGGAGGCCGCGCTGCAGCTGCACCGCCAGCGGCACCAGCTGCGCGCGCTCAGGGCCGACCTGCTCGCCATCCGCGACGCGCATCACCACCTCAAGGAGGAGGCCGAACGGTCCGTGCATCTCATCGACCCTCTGTTCCAAGCTTCGTCAGAAGAAGCGAACACGTGGGTTCGAGTCCCGCGGCGGCGAAAAGCTTTTCGTCCGTATCCTCACGTCTGATCTTAAGCAGGCTGGGCGCGGCGTTCCCCGACGCGCGCGAGCACGTGAGCGCCAAGCTGGAGGACGTGACCGAGGCGCTGGACGCGCTCACCGCCCACGCCGCCCACTGCGACCAGCAGCTCGAGCTGGCCGACCAGCTGCAGGCCTACTTCCACACCTACCAGGACCTGCTGTGAGTCTCTTGTACTGTAACTGTGTACATATTATGCATGGGTAAACTGAACACACACGAAACAAATTATGTTACAAGTTATGTAAGTATTAATGCATCAAATACATAAATAATACTCAAAAAAGTTTATTCAGAATAAATCAAAACCTGTATGTACTTCTAAAAGGATAGCTTTTATAAAATTTAAATAAAACCGTTTAAAAACTTTTAAGTTGAACAGTTTTATTTTCTATTTTTTTTTTTGTGCACTAAAAACTACAATATTGTATTGTCATCTAAATTAAATGTGTGTACCAAATTTCAGATCAATCTGACAACGGGAAGGTGCTTAAATTTCAATTTCTAATTTTGACCCAAATAAACAAATAAATTCCGTACGTGTCGAGCTAAATAAAACCGTTTAAATAGATGGTAGTCATGTTTCAACAATTTGTTTTTCATACCACAAAGTAGATAACAAAGTTACTTACTTCTCACTTTAATATAGTTTGTCTTTAATATAGTCTTCTCTGATCTACGGTTGGTACAAAAATTTAAACATACTACTAAATTTGGATGTGTGTTTAGTGATACAACTCTCTGAGAGTAGATGGTTAACGAGGAATTCCCTCCCAGCGCGTGGACCAACGAGATGGTGGCCAGGGTGACGGCGCCAGGGCTGGCCACCGACGTGGCAGGCGGCGAGCGGCTCCTCGCCCGCCACACAGATCTGCGCGCAGAGATCCAAGCCAAGGACGACGATTTCCGCACCCTCTACGCAGACGGTAACCGCTGCCTGCCCTCTCTGCCACGCAGTGCCACACTCACCACTCTCGTTCTATAGCCATTCACCAGTATCGATCACTACCTTAAAACTCTCCGTATACTTATAGTAACTTGATTCTTAAGCTTCTTGATTCTTACAACTTTATGTTGCCCATATATCACCATACCACCGTAATTCCCCCATACTCTCATCACTTAAGCTTATGTTGTGAACTCTTAAATCCTCTATGACCTAACACCAACCACTATAACAGTCCCCAGTGTGACATTGTACCATTTCATAATCTCACAACTGCACCATAACATCAAACCATCATCCGAGAGGTGTCAGTTACAACTACACTCTCTCTGGCAATGGACGGTCATAATGGATGGTGGATGGCTTTTACAGCCCCCTTCCACCATCCATTATGACAGTTCTGCTAGCACTAAAAGACTTTTCCATATTTATGATATACAACCAAAGTTATACACGACTTTTCTAAACTAGATCAGTGTGCAAGTAGTAGTTAAAAAGTACAGTTACCTATGTGATGCAATGACTGGTTTGTATGCTTTTCAAAATAAATGATAAATTATGATAACTTTAGCATAGAAACATTAGTATATCTCCTATATCAGGTGAGAAACTGGTCCGCGAGGGTCACTTTATGGCGAACGAGATCGAAGAACGGATGGCCACCTTACGCTCCAGGAAGCAGGCCCTGGACTCGGCGTGGGAGGCCAGGGCCACGGTCTACGAGCAGCACCTCGACGCCCTCGTCTTCCTGCGGGACGCCGACACCCTGGAGCACTGGATACTCACCAGGTGACCCCCCACCCTAACTGATCACTCCTCACTCACTCAACTCCTGTATTCACGCACTCGCTTTAGCCATTCAGAACTTTAAAGCAATAAATATATGGAATGTATACAGGGAGGATTTTCTAAGTGTACCCATTTTTTTTTAAATTAAATTCTATATTCAAATAATGTTACATAAAAAAATATAAATATTCGAAATCACTAATCTCAAAAAGTGCGCGATTTATACGCAACTCATTTATTTTACGCGCGATCATTCATAACTAACACGCACGCAAGTTCGTTTGTGTGGGTGAACAGTAAAATTTAGGTATTCATGAATGACTACCGCGTTGTCAACAAGTTCCGTTTTTTAGGGAATACAATATAAAAAAAAGTTTGTAAAATAAAATTGTCGCAGGATGCCGCTGGTGCGCGACGGCAAGTACGGCGAGAGCGTGGCGCAGACGGAGGAGCTGATCAACCGGCACCGCGACCTCGAGGAGACCATCGAGGCGCAGCGGGACAGGTTCGACGCGCTGCGCCGCATCACGCTGGTGAGGGGGCTACTGTACTGACCTGGTACCTCGGTTGCAAATGGGGCAATCTACCTGACATAGTCGCTATGTTCAATTCACATTCTGAAATATGGTATAGCTCTCCGATATCTAATAATATGCATACGTATTTCTACGCGTGGGCATGCTAATGTTTCACAATTTATAATATACAAAAGGTTCTGAATTGATCATGCTAATCATTAAGATCAATTCAGAGAGTTAAACTATCCTTTTGGCAACTTAAATAACATTTGGAAAGTCATTTGACAGGTGAATTAGTTAACATCTGCAATGATCAGTGTTTCAGAAAGAGGCTGTGTTGCTATTGCTATGTGGGATGAAGGGACAGTTACAGACGTGTTAAGCAAGGAGTAAAAGTTCATAACGCCGTTCCCTTGTGTTTTGGCAGATTGAGCAAGCGTTCAAGCAGCAGCAGGACCAGGAGGAGGCCGCGAGGAAGAAGTACGCCGAGAAGCAGGAGGCCGAGCGGCTGCAGCAGTACAGGAGAAGGGAGATGGAGAGGATCACGGAAGAGCGCAGACGGGAGACGGCCCCGCCGGTGCAGCTGGTCAGAGAGGTTAGAGATGGAGAATATCCCTTCAGCACGCAGCGTTTGGAATAATTTTGGATTTAGATTCTTTCCGAGTGTTGCAGAAATAAGTTGTGTGTTTATAGGAACGCAATGACATTGTATATCATACAACGTTATTATAGATATTTCTACTTAATATCTTATAAATATGATATTTCAGGGAATAGTTTATATATATATATATATATATATATATATATATATATATATATATACAGATCCTGACTTCCTTGTGGCCTTGCACAGGAGTCAGAATTAAACAATATTGTACTTTATTTCTTCCAATTTTACAAATGTCAATGAATTTAGTAAGTTTTTTTTGTTGTATCGGTTGTATAAACAAATGGAATTTAGTAGCAGTACCGAATGTTTAGATCGAGATTCGTGTCGCTCATGAAGCGCGTATGCACCAGGTGGAGCGGCTGGGCGCCAGCGGCTCGCCGCCCGCGTCCGCCCCGGCGGCGGGTTCGAAGCCGTCGGCCGCCTCGGAGGAGGAGACGCTCTCGCCGGCGCCGCACTTCGAGCGCCTGCCGCGCCCCGAGACGCACGTCAAGCGCGCAGAGAGCATGAGCGTTAGTTCGCCCGTCTCGCTCTCCCTTCCGGGGGAGAGGGAGTAGACCTGTCAGACATAAGGACACGTGCATACGCCCATACATACAGACGTTTGTTTGCATGTGTATTAGTGACCGTGAGAGTCGGTTCGAGATCGTTTCATATCGAAATCCTTTCTGTCAAAACTGGGAAATGCCTAGGGAATGATGTCATCGATTGTTTGTCGAATACACGACAAACGTTTGCCAAAATAAAATAAAAATTAATGGAACGGCCTGTATACAGGGTGATTTATTAGACGAAGTACATACTTTGACATAATGTTAATTGAGCATTCCATAATTCAAAAAAAAAATTAATATTTTATTTTGACAAGACTCTGTTAACATGTCTATCGTCTATAAAATCATCCCGTATATCCCACTACTGGGCAAAGATACAACGGCATATTCCATCACGCGATCCCACTGCCGAATGGCTGACGATCGCGATGTGATCTTTGAAACATTTTTTTTGTTACTACTTCGAAAACACGCAGGTATCCTCACGACGTTTTCCTTCACCGCTAATCACGCGATTAACAATTCTATTGGTGCCTACACCGGGGGAAACGACCTCGGCTCGAGTATATTGACCTACCACTGAGCTACCACGGCCCTACTGTGAACATTCCACATGTTTACATGCAGGTGGTGAAGACGCCGAAGCGCACGCCCTCGTTCACCACCCGCCGCCGCACGCAGAGCTTCCGCCGCCACCGCCACGAGATGGACCACCTGCCGCCGGTCGAGATCGAAGGTGACCACCACTCACCGATCCCCACCGTCGACAGATCGACACACGCCACCCCTCGTAGTGCCTTTCATTTTAGAGTTTATGTTGAAGGAATCAAGTGCGGGATTTCATCATCATCATTTCAGCATGTTCGAGTCCACCGCTGAACATAGGCCTCCCCCACAGACTGTCACGAAGTATGATCCTGAACTCCATCTAGTGGGGGTCGCCCCACATTGTGGTGGATTTTCATGATTCTTCCTCTGGGAATTTTTGTCTTATATTTTGTTAGGTTACTGTTGTAGATAGGAGGATTTTGACAGCAATCGCCAAGGGACTTTCTCCTCAGCCGTTGTAGCGTGCGGAATCTCTACTCGAATTAATAACTGTCGTGTCGGTCACTTAGAATTATAATTAAACTAAGTTCTTTTTAAAACTCAGTTATCTTTTCTATTTCTTAGATTACTTTACAGCCGAACACTCTCGGACGAAGGAAGGCCGAAGCCAATTGAATTAAATCTGAAACAGTCGGCAACCAATATCCGTATATCCTCGCAGGGTACGTGGAGCGAAAGCAGGAGGCGGGCTGCGGCGGCGTGCGGGCGACGGTGCGCTCGTGGCGGAGCTACTACGCGGTGCTCTGCGGGCAGCTGCTCTGCTTCTTCCGCGACCAGAGCGACTTCGGCAGCGCCAAGGCGGCCGCGCCGCCGGTCGCCATCCTGCACGTGAGCGCCGCATCTGCCCTCTCGCTCCCGCCGAGATCGGAACATCTCAACTCTTAGGGCCACGCGAATAGGCAGCTCCGTCGGCCGAAGACCGGCGTCAACTGGAAGTGTTACAATTTAGTTTTTCGTCTGGTCAGCGAGGTAGCCGGGGCCGACTTTGTTTATAGGTGATAACACATTTGCAACATTACGGGTGTTGGAAATGTGCATGGGCGGCGTTTATGATAAAAAAAAAAACTTTTATTCGTTGGCATAAGAATCTTACATTTCACGGTGCCACGCAGCAACATCGGCTGTTGCGCGAATGGACTGGCCCGTCCGGGTAAGTACCACGACCTCACAGGAGACCAGCGTAAAGGATGGATGTATAACAAATACTTTCGCGTTTCGTCTGGTGAGTGAGGTGGCCGGTGCCCAATTTTCAAAAGGTTGTCAACGCATCTGCAACCCTCGGGTGAAGCAGATGTCCATGGGCGGCGGTATTCACTCACCATCAGGTGCTCGTTTGGTAACTTTTCACATTAAAAAAAATCTGTCGAGTCATATAGTTTTTTCTTAATCCACCACCGTTTCACCAGCGTATACACCGCCCCGTGGACGAGTCACTCGCCGTATGTAGTCTAATAACTCGCCCCTCCCGTCGCTCGCAGGCCCGCTGCGAGGTGGCGAGCGACTACACGAAGCGCGCGAACGTGTTCCGGCTGTCGTGCGCCGACGGGGCGGAGTACCTGTTCGCGTGCGGCTCCGCGCAGCTGATGGCCGACTGGGTGGCCAAGCTGGCCTTCCACGCCGACCTGCCGCCGGAGCTGCAGCTGACGCCGTACAGCGCCGCCGCCGCCGCGGACGCCGACCGCCTCGCCACCGACGAGCTGAGGAGGCGGCTGCACGAGTGAGTCGACCACGAACCACCGCCCATCGACGTGTGCAGCACCCGTGGGGCTGCACCTACCTAAATCACCCACTTCCACTTCACATCGTAGAAGAACGACCTACGATCCAAGGTCAAATGTAGAAGTGACAGGAGAAAGGAGTAGAAAAAGCTGCAAAACTTGTAAAAATACTACTTCGTCAGTCAATGGACTTTGGCTAGTGTTCAGAATTTCCTGAGTTTCAATAGTAGACCTGACGAGTTAATACTTTTGTAGTTTTTTTATGACCCAAAAAACTTCAACACGATAGGAACGCGTCGTCATCATCGTCGGCCGCCTCGACGCCGGAGCCGGCACGCAAACCGCGCAGCCAGGCCGAGATACTCCACGAGCACAGGATCTCACAGAACGCGGCTGCCACGGCTGCCACCGCTGCCACGACCGCCACCACTGTCACGACAACCACCACCACAGAGAGAAATATAGGTAAATGTTTGTACATATGCAATTGTTTTACAGTTTGCATCTGGCCGCTGCCACGTCTGCTCCCATTGCCACTAAACCATGGTAGACAAGGCTAGGCATAGAGATTTTTTTCTACAATTATTTTGTATATGTCTTAAAGGACCTCAAAGGAAAAGATCTCACTCACCAACTGACCATAAAAATAGTATTTGCCAACGATCGAAGGGATATTTCAATAATTGTTTCCGTGGCAGAATCCGCGGTGCTGCCATCGCTGCCACCGCGCCAGCCGCCCCAGCCACCGCAAGATGAAGCGGCTGACATCGTACTAAGGTAGTTTAATATTCTGATTTGAGATGTTTAACCTGGAATGTTTTTTCGGCCGAAAAGAAAAAGTTAAAGCTAAATGCTTATCGCATTAACCTTGATGTACTATTGACGACTCTGTTGATAACTATAATATTAACAGTGGTCACTTTAATAAGGTCCTATTGAAAATATTAGGTTGAAATGAAAGAAATAATTTCAAACATCATAACATTCACATAAACTCACAGCACAATTCATTCCTTATTACATATAAACCTAACATTTTTTCCCCTCAAAGGTTTCTGTCTTGTTTGATTCTTTATCAATAATTCTTATATTTGTGTACTTATATTTTTTTTCCTTTTTTTTTAACTTGTTTTTTTTTTTTTTGTTAATAGGATGTTTTGTTTTTTTTTATTTATCATTATTTTTTTATGTTCATGTCATTTATTTTTGAATTTTTTTGTGCTGTTTGTTGCTTGTCAAAATAAAGTTTGTCTAAAAAAAAAACATGACCAATCTTCTTTAAGTTCTCACAAGCCTTCTTGATACGTTATAGAATCTAAAATAATCTTGATTATTACCCCCTACAATACTATGAGCTTAGCTACTACTATGAGCTTACAATACTATGTTATATACACAAATGTTAAAAAACTTTCCGACTTTTTGACCGTTTCCAGGAACCAGACGGAGCGCAGCGGCAGCCCGTGGGGCCGGTCCCGCTTCTCCAACGGGCGGGACCTCAACGCAGAGTTCCTCCGCTCGCAGAGAGAGGGTAAGCGGCGGCCCAGCGGACCACGCGTAGCCCACCGCTGGGCGTGGGCCCCGCGCCTATCTGCACGCCGTATGGGATGCGATCGGAAGCCCACGCCCAACGTTGGGATGATAATTCGATAACATTGACAATAGATTGTAAATTAATTTACAGCCATTATAGTATTTCAAAGGTGAAAGTTGTGATTGTATGTTTACTATATATGTATCGTGTCCAGTCCGTCTTTGTGTCGTCTCTGCTTCCATCGCCGTACAGTCTATCAAACACGTGGAAGATTTCTCTAGTAATAAATCCGTCGCGACGAGTCATGGCTTTGACCTGTCCATCGAGTAAGCAGCAGATGTGAGGCCGTAACGCGATGTGCCTGTGGGCAGCAGTCGACGCGCCGCCGCCGCTGCCCGAGAGGGGCGAGAGGGGCGAGAGGGGCGAGCGCGGCGCGCAGCAGTCGGTCACCGCGCTGGTGAACAGCTACCAGCAGAAGATGAGCAGGAGCTGGCAGGAGCGGCCCGCCGACCACAACAGGAACCCCGCGTGGCAGCACGAGCGCCAGAACAACAACTGGCAGCCGGTCGAGACCACCACGCACTTCTACTCGGCCAGCGAGCTCGGTCAGTCGCGTGGTAGCCAGTCCGGACCTCGGATGTCGTGTGGGGGCTCACTTTGATACGGCCGTGAATAGTTTCTCGAAGAACTAACGCTTAATGAGAAAAAAGTTATAGTTCTGATTGGAATTAACACTGAAATTGTAATACACAAAAATCCAATTTTACTCAACTATTAATCTATAACAAAAATAAGCATTTTTTTATTACAAACTGACACCACATAGACATTTAATATTTGTAAAGCATTCCACTTTCAAAATACTTCAATTTTTCATTTCACCCTTAATTCCATAAATCAAGAAAGGTTTTTGTCCACTTGCTCTCTGCAGCAAAGGAAATATTAAAAATTATCATAAATACAAGGAGCCTGATCCATTGACTTTCCCTAAAAGCAGTTTGAAATTTGCATTTGAACCAATTGTGATTGTTGATCTCATTCAAAGACCTTGAATTAAGACTTAACTGGATAGGAATGGCCGTGCTCTTCGAGAAACTCCCACACTGGCATTTGAAACTAGTCTTAGCGATATCATGTATTTGTGCTCTATTTAAGCAAACCTTTCTTTTACTAAAAGGCTTCAACGCACATTTAGAATTATATTGACCTATTTAAAAATATCAATTTATGGGAAATGTAAAATAAAGACTTGTGAATTTGTGAGAAAACATGGTGATTGGAGGGAAGTGAAATTGACCGAAGTATATGTTAGTATTTCTAAAATCGGCTAATAAAGAATTTTAAGAGTCGAAAAAGGTAGTTGTTTAGGTTGTTTCCTGACGTAAAGTCCAAATTATGATTTTCTTAATGAGGTCACTTTAATTCCAAAGGTGCGATAAATTAACAACAATAGTATATAATTATTTCGCATTCTATGACTTTGTTTGAAATATATAGTGAAGCAACTTGCAGGCTGTTGCCATAATTCCTTGCGACTAAGACAATGCTTTGTTGCATTTTCTGAAATAAATAATGAATCCAAAAACATTAAGTAAGAGGTTATTTGGATATAAGGAATTCATTGGCATTAGGTTGTAATATTGGAATAAGATTTAAGCTTTTATATTATGTTTCTTATAAAAAATAGATTGAAAGGTGTGGGCAGAAATATATAAGTATGTAATTAAGTATTTCACTAATATATAGTATAGAAACAATTGTAAACAGAAAACAAAAATAGATAGTTCCAAGTAAAAAGTAATACATTAATTTAAACTTTAGAGTGCAATTATAACTTACTTCTATTATATCATTAAATAATTTAATGACATAGTGTTAGGAAATTCATATCCTAATACATTATATTTTATGTATTAATAGCAGATTTCCAAAATCAGCTAAACAAACTTGTTCAAAAATAAATTAGCAACGGTCAGTTTGAAGCTAACTGGGACTAGTTTTAAAACCACAGTAAAGTAATTCCCAAGCTTAATCACATCTTGTTAAAAGTCAACTCGTCTGTTACAAAATTATTTCTTTAATTAACACCATCATAATTATTGTCGCCCGTATGCGACTGTGTGATATAGTATGAAAGTATGTACGTAATCTTTTGATTTGATTATATACGTAATTCGTGGACGCAGTACTTTAATCGATCCTAAGTGTAGTAGTAAAGATGTAACAATGACCAGATAGTTTTTTTTATCAACAAGTAGTATGATTACTCTTAAGAATTAGTATTTAATCTTGTAAAAGACGAAGTTAGATTTAAGAAGTTGATTTTATATAACTACATTTAAGTTTTCTTTAATCTATCTTCTATGTATTGTTTATTATCTAAGTATCTGTGCGGCGGGAGAGAGCATACGTGATTGTACACAACTAAGATGATTTTTATATCCCTTTCGTATATAATCATTGACAGCACTATGGTAGTATGGTTATTGAACTTTTTTGGTCCTTCTAACCGGACTTGTGTCTTGATCTCTCGCGATGAAGGTCTTATAAATAAACAGTCCAGTTTTCTCTCCCCCGCCCACAGTGTTTCGTCGAATACTCATGTTATATATATTATATACTAACGCTTTCCGCGGTGTCGGTTGAGCAGGCTCCAGCCACTTGCTGTACGTGCTCCACAAACTGCAGTGTACGTCTTTTACGTTGTCTACGCTACCCATGACTACGCTTCGCATTTTCGTAGTCTGCAGTGTGGCTTCGGCTTTATTACGGTCTACTTGCTATTTCTGTGTCCTTCTAGCTGCCGCTTTTCGTTCTTCTTCGTTGGTTTGAGCTGTTCTCGTTCTTTTGTGTTCTGTGTTCTGTGTTCCTGCTTGTTAGGTTTTTTCGCTTCTGTAGTGTAGTCCTCTATGTAGTGTTGCTCTGTCGGTGATTGGTTTAGTCATATGGCTCGTGTCGCTGTGTGTCGTGTGATGTTTGTGTTATTATTTACTTTATTACGATAATGCAAAACGATAGCTTCTGTTGCACGAGTGGGCAGGCTCGTCCGGGGCTGTGTAACGGCCTCAGAAGACCAGCGTGGAGTAGATGTATTATACTTTGCGTTTCGTCTAGTAGAAGAGTTAGCCGGAGCCTACTACTTGTAAAGGTTGACAATGCAATCCCTTCTGATCAGGTGATGTAGTTCTCCGCCTATTTCACTTATCATCAAAAGAACAAAAATTAAATTCATTGCAGTATTCTTTCGTATTTAAATAACTACGGAGATTTCCAATTTCAGAAGAAAGCTATACGTCACCATCGTAGTGCTTAAATACTACAAGTCGCGCTAAAGGAAAGAATCGACGTTATTAAAATAATGTAGTGTATATAACGTCCATCTCTCTCTGGGCGTGCCATTCAATAACGGGCCTTGCGCTGTACAGCATACGGCGAGGGCAGCGGCGGAACGCGGCCGGCGTCCGTGGCCGGCAGCGGCGGCTCCCCGGCCCTCGACCAGAGGCCAGCCTCCAGGTGAGAGGAGGAGAGAGCAGATCGTCAAAAATGAACAAGAAAAGAAAGAGAGCAACTGTACCACCAGCATACCACATAGTGCAGTGGGCGAAGTAACAGGGGCTCACTTTTAAGGGTTAAATATTTCTGGAAAGTGCCACGGCCACGTGGATCCACGGCGATCCGCCTCTCGTCTGCCGACTGAGGTAACGGGGACCCACTATTTAAAGGTGTTGTAGATGTCCATGAGCGGCGGTTATCACTTAACATCATGTGAACCGCCAGTTCGCTCGGCAATTTATCACATAAAAATGCATCCGTGGTATGTTTAACGTATCTTGCTCTCTTTTTGCGACACTTTCCACTTGTGAAAGGTTCTTCGAATAGATAGAAACAGCAAGCAATCTTTTTGTGGATTAAACGATTGTCCAATGATGGATATAGATAAAATCTATCGGTCTAATCTAGGGGTCTATCTTATTAAATGAATAGACAATGATTCGCCAGCCGTGTACCATGTGTGGAGTGTCTGTTTGTAATATACAAAACATGTACATATACCAAAATAACATTTTTCTAAAAAATTTTTGTCTGTTTGTTTGTTCTGGCTAATCTGAAACGGCTGGACCGATTTTGAAGGGAGTTTCACTGGTAGATAGCTGATTTAATAAGGATTAACTTTGGCTACTTTTATTTTATTCATTTTAAATTCCACGCAAAGCCGCGGTTACAGCTAGTAACTAAGTAAAAATGTTACATTCAGATCCTCCGGGGAGTCGGAGTTATCCGTTAGCAGCGTTACGAAGGACAAGAAGGACAAGAAAGGAGTTTTCGGGGGTCTGTTCAGCAGGAAGAAACGCCCCCAGAGTCACATGTAACTCGCTTGTTAACATGCAAATTGGCAACAATGGATCAAGGAACTGTTCAAGCGGGGGGTGGCCAAAATTATATTCACTTGACCAAGTTATATACTAACTTGAATCATGAAAAATAGGAGTCTATTTTAGAACCTGGAATATAGCGTTTGTTCTATATTATCTCACCACGTTTACTACGTTTATGACGTAACGTTCGCGACATATTTTTAATTTAAAAAGGAGATCTAATAAAGGAAAGAAAAATGGCCACCCCCTCTTTAGTTTTGTATTATAAAATCTGAAATCCCCAAATCGGAAGAAAAAAAGGAAAGTATAAGTATCTGTCTTGAGATTTGTCAAATGCCAGTGTTGCCATTTCGTTGTTAACACGTCTTCTGCATGCTGACAAGTTTTTGTTTTAGAAATCGTGTTTCATCGTTCTTTCTATACACTTGTTGAGAATTTTATGTATATGTTGTTGAAAGGTCCAATATTTGGTTTAAATACGTGCCTTAAAGTTTACAGTAGGTGTAATGACAATAAGTAGCCGTTGCTAGTGCATTATAGGTGGTTGTTTTAAAGTAACTCCTACAAAAAAAATCAAATCATCAATGTTTAATATTACCTTATATGCAACAATAATGCTATATTTTATTTTACTATTAAGATACACGTGAAACTATTTTTCCAATGAATTGATACATTCCGCCCAAGTCACAAACGTTCTATGAAATCGGGACCAATTAATACAAAATTTACTATACCGGTATTCATGTTTAGTGTTATTTTACAACAACTAAACTATCTACAAAGACTAAATAATAAGCATTCCAAATAAAAAATACTTCAAAATTATATTTCAATGTTCACAGTTGATTTATCGGATTGCTTAGTTTTTAATTTTTATACATCTTTGAAATATATTAGTCTTTATGACCATATGTTATAGTAATAAAAAGTTTTTGTGTGTCAGAAGCAATAATCCATAATAAGTGTATTGTCTAGTTCGAGATAATGTCTTCTATTTAATCGATGGTTTTATTATAGTTTGTAACAATATGTTTTTATCTTTCGTAACATATCCCATTATAGTCATGTAAGTTTAATTTTTGGTATTTCTCTGCTGTTTTGTTGTGAAATCTATAATGAAATTCGGCCATTAATAAAAGTAATTATTCCGATTATTATAATTAATTTCCCTAGTTTGTAAGTTTTAGAGCGAGAAGACAGGGACAGTTTTCTTGAGACGGTGGTGTCCAATACCCGTTCTGTCCCTACTTATTCAATAGTGTAAGCGGTTGTCTAGAATCGAACCGAAAGCGCGGCGGTGTCGTCCCAACGTCACGTCCACTGCCCACTTAAAGTACAACGCACTCCCCCACACCTTACACCGTACAGTAGATATAAAATCGTTGATTTTGCATAAGTTTATTCTATGTTTATTGATCGTTGTTGTTTATTTTTTTTTATATAATTATTGTCTGATGATGTTTGGCTGGCGCTTTCGGTTCGTGTTGAGATTAGATTGTTCCACAATTGGGCGGGAATATTGACGGCCGCAAAAGCGTGAATATCGCCCGATAGTTGACAGTTGACACCCGTCAGAAATTTATAAGAGGCGAAAGTTGACAGCTGTCAGTCTGCAAGTCTCAGGGAAAGTGACGTCTGTCACTGACTTTAAAGCGGGATAATTGATAATTTTGTCAATTTTTTAAATGTCATTCCGGCTTCTGAACATAATCATGTCGTTGAACACACTCAACACTTCGTGTTAATGCTTCAAATTAGTTATTTTGATAAAATATATTTTTGCATAATTACAACGGCGTTATCAATTATTTCCCCACTCCTTGGTAGATATCGCAGTGTCCTTCTGCCCTTTGTAGATATCGCAGTAAGAAATGCTGTATCGCAGTAAGTCTATCGTACTTCTGAAATCCTGTAGAGAGCTGGCGCTAAGTTTCACCAAGCTGTAACTATGTCTTTTAAACAATTTAAAAATTACTCATTTAAAAAAGCGAAGTATGAACTTTGAATGAAATCAAAATATTTTTTAATTTGAACCTTTCGTAGTGATTTAATTAAATGTTTGGTAAAGTAGTGGCATTCTACATTACTGACTTTTTTTCTACGGTAAAGTAGCCTGGCATTCTACATTACTGACTTTTTTTTTCGAAATATATATATTTTTTTTGTTATTATTTCGTAGGTTTCCTCACGATTTTTCCTTCACCGTGGAGCCGGTATATACGTTTTTAAAGGCGAGCGCCCGGACACTGAGCTATCACGGCTCAGTATTATTCTACGTATAGTTGCCGGTATATACGTTTTTGAAATTAAATTGATTTAATAATGAATTTACCATTAAAAGGTTTCAACTAGAAACTTAGTTACATAATTTAGTGTTTCCCGAAGTAAAAAAAGTGTAAACATAGACTTATAACAAACGATACATAATTCATAATATTGCATAATATGTTCAAAACAATAACCATAAATAAGTATATTTCTTGTAATATAAATTAACCATTATTTTGAAATATTAATTAACAGCTTTATATTCTTTCTCTTATTATATTCTACAAAAATCAACAGTATGAAAATTTCTTCTATTTTATGAACCTTACAAACCTTCACTTAACTAAGTATATAGAAGATTCGAAGCCATTTGAGATGAGATCTTGACGGCAAAGAATCGAAATGAGGGTTGCATAATACAAAAATCAATTTCAATAGGAATAATCTGTGCAAATATGAGATGAAAGATCCTCCTATTAAAAAAATTATCAACTTTTGGGGAACGTAAAATAAAGATCAGTGAACTCATAAACAAACGCGGCGATTGGAGGGGAGTGAGAGAGATCGAAGTATACGTTATGTAGCTTTCTAAAATCGTCCCTTGTTTGAATAAGGGTCTTCCTAATTAATGATATTCTTAATTAGTTTCCTTCAATTTTAAGGTGCGCTCAGATGTCGGATATAGTTTTTATAACGCCGAAATAGAAGGGCGACGGGACGAGGGGGTTGTAGTTGGCCCCGTAGCGGCGAACCACCTCGATGTTGCCAGTCTGGAAGATCCTCTCGAGGGCGAGACGCGCCTCCGCCGCGCCCACCGCCGAGGGCCGTCTGTTCGTGCCCGGTTTGTTCTTCACGTAGTAGCTGATGTCCTGCATCGGGTCCTCGGACTCGCGGATGGTGAGGCGATCGTAACCTACCGAGCGTCTCCGCACCGATTTCAACCCATCGTTTCTAAACGATTTATCTTTGAGACGACGCGAGTGCTCGACTGGGTGTACTCCAAATTTCGCTTTTGAATACTCGTCAAATAGTGGACGGTGTACGTCATCGCGCGCCGATCTCTTCTGAACAGTTTAGGTACAGATATATCGTTGTCGACGCTAAAATCGCTTTTTGCCAATTCGCCCGCGTTGGATCCGTCCCATAACTTGTGTTTCACATAATATTTGATTACTTTCAACGCGGGCTCGTCTACGTCGCTCAGAGAGCGTTTCCGAACCGATTTGACAGCCCCGCGAAAGGGCGCCAATTTTGACATTTGGTTGTCTTCAACCGTATCGAGCGTTTCTAAAGATGGCGGACTTGATGTCGATGGCCCAGTGTCCGAATCAGAAGTTGCATTTGAAGATTTTAATGGTACCGAGTCATTGTTCTCTGTAAAAAGTAAAGGATTTGTGAATTTCATTTAAGTAAATTATCATAAGTTTTAAGATGGAGTTGTAAAACAGATTGTACACATTTTTTTTTGTATTTGATATCGCTCAAAATCAAAATATCGCGCAAAATCAAAATTTAAGAATATCAAAAGTCGTTAGAGTAATTTGTAACAAATCTAGAATTAGTAGATTCCAGTTCGGTAGATATAACAAATTATATAAATAATCTTTGTCTTGATGAGATACATGCACTGAAAGACCTGTATCCTATAAACTAGCTTTCCTAACCTGGAATGCTGAGAGCCATGCGTAACAGAGGCGGCAGCTGAACTGGAATGGCGCAGCGCTCTGTTGCTGGAACACTGGAGTTCTGCTGGAGGCAGCTGATCATCTGCAGCTTCACTTCTTCCGGCACGGGCAGCGCCAGCGGATTTAATGGCGCCTCCGTGCTACTCCGTTGTCTGTCCCTCTCCGATGATGCCCCTTTCTCTTTGACAAACTTGTCCGCGTTGGGATCGAACCCAGTCACCTGCGCTAGCTGCTCCAGAAACCAGGCCAGGCGAACTAGCAGCTCTATCTCTTCGTCGTCGTGGCCCTGGATGGGAGGAAATACTTTTTTTTATGGAAAAAGACCGTGGACACTCGCAACAAAGGAGCAGTCATAATTGATGAAGTCTCGGATTGTACAGACTCATGTCTGGAAAACGATAATTAGCAGTTTATAAAGCTCTGTTAGTTAATAATTTTAATGGTGGATGGATTTAGCAAATATGTTGGTATGTATGGTAAGTGGTTACCACCTCCGACGAGATGTAAGAGTGACGACCTTACTCATGCACCATATGATAAACCATTTCATGGCGCAAACAAAATGGGGATAGGCAGGAATTTAAAACGTTTTGATGCCCGAAAAATTACACAAATGTCGATCCAGTCATGCTATTGTGTCAGTTTAGTGAAGATTGCATGTATAAAATAATAAAAAAAATATTTAAGGACATATTTTTACACAATTCGATCTATCCTCAAACTAGAAAAGGGTTGTACTGTAGATGCTAGCTGATAAACAAATTGAGACAGTTCTCTTTTTTAAATAAATGCAAGTTATAGATATCCACAATATAGGTAGAAACGTACTTCGTAGCTTCCTTTCATGGCTCTATCTTGCAGCTGCCTCGTGGTCCACAGAGCCAGGTCCGCCAGCCTCCGCACTTTCTCCCTCTCCCTCGTGGCGTTCGCGCATCTCCCTCTATCCAAACCCTCGCCAGGAAGAGTAGACCCCACCGGAGGCAAAGGATTAGAGCTGTTGAGCCCCAACATTGCTGCGCTGATGTTAAGGATCTGAGGCCACGATGGATTGGAGTCCAGGCCCTGCACCCAGCTGGAGTTCCACGAGCCCAGAGTTGTCCCGTTCCAGCTCAATCCAGGGTACTAATGGTGGAAAATTACTTCGACGTAATAAAAGAGAGAGGCAATAAGTATATCTTGTATTGTTTGGATCAATATGATTTATGCCCGCATAGGGAATGCCACGATCAATGTTGGCTCTTTTGGCAAATTTTCTCCTCAAACCATTCCGCTAACTATACAGTCATAGGAGCAGCTATGCCAGAAAAGTAGAATTATAATTTATCGCCAGCCTTAAGAAGGCAGATATGTTAATCCCGATATGGTGAATAAATAAATATTGTTTTTATGTGAGAAGGTGGCAAAGGAGCTGGCGGTTCACCTGATGTTAAGGGATAACCGCCGCCCATGGATATTTGCAACACCCGTAGGGTTAGAGATGCGCTGCCACCTTTCAGTAAAGTGGGCCCCCGACTACCTCACCCACCAGCCGAAACGCAGAAGTGTGGCACTTGCACTTTCCGCCGGCCTTGCCCATTCGTGCAACTGTGAAGGCTATTCCGTTGCGTTTCTTCTGTCCACTGATTTGCGTTGTCATAATCTTATAAACAGTTTAACTACCTGAGTGAAGTTTGCCCTACTGCAGTTCTCTACGGTCAGCTTGAAGTTCTCTATGGCCAACTTCAGACCGTCTAGATACTCTGTGCCGTTCCTCACTATTCCGTGCACCTGCAAACGAAAATGATGATGTCTTGTACGTCGTCGTATACCTACATCGTATAGTCTGGTAATAAATTAGTTTACATGGATAAGTTATAAGGTAATTGTTAATGTGAAATTTGTTTATAGCAACACTTTGAAGAATCGACAGATTTCATATTTTACCTAAAGAAGGAAACAAAAACATAATTGCTGAGCAGATATTTATATACCACATATTTCTTACGTTATATTTCGACAATGTTTCCTCGACGGAGTTTTGTTGTTGAGATTCGCTCCGGCCCTAAAGTCGCGAGTTCGATTCCCATACGGGAGAATATTAGTGTAACATTCGGTTCCGAATGTTGGTGTTTATTCCAAAGGAGGGTTGACGCCGGGCAGGTCGTAAACGACCCAACCAATACCATTAATAACCTGATTCGTAATTTTTCGTAGATCTGCTGCATAGCACCTAAATGTTCAAATCTTTGAGATCACTTTAAGAAACGCCTATGAGTCTTCTGTTTTCCGACAGCTGTACCTGTGTTTAATACTTAAAACTTACGTAATGCAAATATTAACCTACCTTCCTCTCCATATAACTTTCGTAGGCGTAACCGTCCGCGTAGTGATCCCCGCTTCGCCCGTCGACCAGGCCCCCGTAGTCGTAAGAGTCTTCATGCCTACTCAAATGCTGCTCCAACTCCTTTCTTCTCTGGTCGTCGAAGAACTTTCTCACTTCCTCCAGATCGATCGTCCAAGCAGCTACCTTCGTGAACGCAACAACACCGCACAGACAATACAAGTACGCACTGATACCTGTCATATTTCCCGCGCTAAATGATGTTTTTTTTTTTCTAAATCGAACAATCAACGACCTTTATTATGCCTGCATGATTTGAACGGTTCTTTGTCCGCGTAATGTATTTAAATTATCGAGCGATTAACAAATACATATAACAAAATGCTCTGCGGATTGCGTATGAATTAATATTTTATCAGTTCTATCTATTATTTTAATTTTAGGAAATTAAAATTTAATTAATTGTTTTGTTATTTATTTTATGGAAATTATTACTAAATTACGTATTAAATTTATAAATCAGTAATAATTTTTGAACTTTATATTCCACTTATTATATTAGACTTCGTATCTAAATATCAAAATATAGACTCACTATAACTCTCATAGATAGTGTCAAACTAGCAGGCAATAGCTAATAACAATGTAGGATCTAATTATTATTAACTTCCTTAAAGTTATCAAACAAAATCTAGATTAGTAGGTATTACCGAGGCAATAGGCACTTTGTATATACATCTAAAATATACATGAGACATCACAGATGCGTTGCTCACCACCACACATCAGTGAACCGCGAAATTAACAATTTCCTACCTACTTCCGTGGACGACCCTACCTATTCGTCAAACCTGCTGAACTATTTCTCTCGAACTCAAAATCGGAATTATTTCTTTTATTTCAGGAACTGCACCGTTAAGAACTCATTGCACAACGAATTTGAAAACATCATCTTCTGGTAGTCGATATTTACGGAAATATAAGGTCACCTTATTTAACAATAATCCGGTACACTAACACTTGGGAAATTGATTAAACGGACACATCATGTCCTAACACTATTATAAGCCCTTTTATTTACGTGCAAATTACACAAACAAAACTATATTAGTTCATAAAATACGATGTCAGTAATAATTGAAAGTTGATAATAGACATGCACCACGATCGCACAGCCGCACGTCTCTGAAGCGGACTTTAATTGCACTCGCTGTCGGCGGATATCCAGCCGTGGTTTTTGCTTAATCGTCGGAGGATGCGCGTTTCTCAATTGTTGTTAACACCACGCTTACGTGCAACAGCGCTACGCTTGGTCGCGGCCGGCTTAGAGTACTTTAGTCAAGCGCAGCTGGGAAAACTCTTATGCATCATATTGAACTACGAATGCAAACAACAAAACATATTTATAACCGAGTGCCCGCAGACGCAACTATGTACAGTTTACAGCAAGCACAGTCCAAAGGAGGTAATTATTTGTTTTTTCGAACATATGGTACCAAACAAATTCAGCAATAAATATAGCTCGAGGTCACTATAACACATATTTGTGCCCCATAGACCGCATACAATTATAATGAGCTATTTTTAAAATATCAATTTTTGGGAAACGTAAGATAATGATTTGTGCACTTATGAACAAACGCGGTGATTGGAGGGAAGTGAAAGAGACAGAAGTATACGTTATGTGGGTTTCTAAAAGTAGTTGTGGGTTTTTGAGGTGGGTTTTTGAGGCACTTTTGGTCGTTTCAAAGTCAAAATCAAGATTTTCTTAATTAGGCCCCTTCAATTCTAAAGATGCGATTATATCTGACGATACAAGTAATACACACACACAGCCACTTTTTAATTCGAATTGCGTTGTAAGGTTCAATAAACTTTTATTTCACCATTTCCAGTAGTGTCGTATCGAACTGTTCCATCCTAGAGCATGCAATGCGATCCTGAACTCGTCTGTAAACCAAACCATTGCCAGTTGTTCACGAGCAGGGCCAAATTTAGAAATGTGGAGGACTCGGGAAACAAAGGAGTGGAGGCCCCTTGGTCCCAAATTATTGTCCAAATAAAATGAACAATTTTTTATTCGACCGTCGAAACCAAGTATGGATTCTTTTATTATTTAACGTACATATAAATGTAATCTAAAACATGAACTATCTGAAATTAAAAGTTGTTTACTAGTCTGAATTTTAATTTTTTTTCCGAAGTCTCTATTGTGGGGGGCCCCGGGCCGGGGCTGTGGCCCCGGTTGCCCTCCCCTAAATCCGGCCCTGCTCATGAGAGCAGTTAGCATCAAGCCGACATCGCGCCGCTCTGTGATGTGCCCCACTGGTCTTCAGGCTTTTAAATTAACATCTCCCATGCGGTTTTTTTGTGATGTACCTATTGTTTTCTCTTAGCCCGGTGGCTTTGACAGCCTCGGCGGAATAGGTCCGCGGGCAGACGACCCACGGACACGGAAGAACAACGTAGCTGATGCACGACGACTCGGTCCGACCAACGACACGGTTCCTATAAAACTTTAAAACACGAAGCAAAATGCACCTCAAGTTTCTTTATTACCCTCTTAAGATTAACATAAACATTATTTTTGCTTACCCACAATATAAGAACGAATTAAGACATTTAAAAAATTGTTATAGTAAGTTTGGCCAAGTTTCCGCGCCGCTTGGTGTAGTAAATATGATTTTTTTTTAATTTGATTATGACTGCTTTAATTAGTCACATTATCCTGAATACTGCAGATACTTGAATAATTCTGAAAGTAAAAAGAAAATAGGTACCCGAACCTTACAATATATCATGAAATCACAAAGAAGGTAACGAAGCGTGGCCTAGATACACGAAGCCAAAGAAATTTATTTATTTTATTCTGCTAATCTCTGCACTTAAGATAAACATTAAAATTTGTAGAAAAAGTACGAAAACAAATTTTGCAGAGATTAGCACTATAAAAAATGTAAATTTCTTAAAAGCAATGGCGACATCTCTGGTTCTAATTATCGTTATAAAACGATATTCGAAATTGTTTGTATGCTGGAAAGGATATAGCAATGGATGCGTCAAGCATTGCTACAAATGCTAGAAAAAAAAACAATGTAGATAACAGACGTTAAGATTTTCGTCGATGTGGCAATAATCCGTTTAGCTTAGTGGCTAAAGCGTGAGGCTGCGAATGCCGGAGACGTGGGTTCGATTCCCACAGCGGCGACAAACTTTTCGTACTTTTTCTACAAATTTTAACTACTTAGATACGCTCTATAAACTTAAAAACAAAAATGTGTTAAGTTATCGTCTTTGTTTACACGAAAATCTAACTATCAGGTATACTAAATAGGTTTGATGGAATTCCATTCGCATAATGCTCTCGCAAATCTAACATTCATAAACGAATGTGACTATCCCATGAAAAATGCATGAATCGTCGCAAAAAGTAACAATATGTCGGCGTGGAAACTCTCCGGCGAAAACTCGCATGAACATATTTGATGTGAATTGAATAGTTTTTTCGAATTGTTCAATTTTTTCACATTTACTTTTCAATATTTCACCTTCAATCAACTGTGTGTAAACTATTATTAGTCAGACGGTACATTGGTAATAAGTTGTGTAACGTTTCTGTATTGGATGGTGTAGTTAATGATGGGGAGATTTAATAAAAGATTTATTAGCAGTTAAGAAGTTGTATTCATCCCTCCAGTTTAAAGTTACAATCCCTGGACTAGCTCAGAAACAATATATTTTCAAAATATAACAATAATAATGAGTTGGGCGCCTTGTCTGTTAGGAACAGACTGTTGTAATAAATACAATTAAGTATCTCAGGGAGTCGTGAGTACATAGGACCTACACATTACTTTGTGCGACCATAAAAGGTTAAATAATTAAATTAATTTGAGATTATGAAAGTTATGCAATTCAATTCAAAAAACAAAGTCCAAACAGGTAGTTATTTAAAATCTATGTCACCGCAGACACCAGCCCTGTGTGCACAGGTCAGCGTTGAGCTCAGAACCAGTAGATAAAGTCAGGCCAAGTGTAGTGTGTACAGCCACACTGTTGGGGGGTATGTAGGAGACCTCCAACTGGAGGTAAAAAACAATATTTAATCAAGCAGCAGCTCAGACCAGCTTGCCAGCCACCTATGCCTTCAGCATCCACCACGAGGGATAACAAATCCAGCACAGAGTTTCGCAGACAGCAATCACAAATAATACGACCAGGAATGTGTTCTGATTTCAACCTCTAGCCATGCACGGTCGAAGATAATAGATCCACAAAAACTAATTTATCCAATGTCAATTCGAACCGGCGGCAATCTCCAATGACAAGTACGACCAAATGAAGTTAACTTTTTGATTCGACCTCTCGAAAAGGCAAAGGTTCTTATGACATGCAGCCTAGTCTTTAGAAAAACGACAATTTCGACAAAGTGATGAAATCACACGTTACAGTTCTATTTCGGTTTTTTCAGTTATCGAAGGGTAGTTAATGGTCGTCAAAAAAATGTAGTGGTTACATTCTACTACTACACTTTGCTTGTGGTGGTATGGATTCACTTGTGCCATAGTTCTTTATAATTATGGTTTTGTCGCGCTATTTTGGTGCACTTTAGTGCATGGAGTACTTAGCGTAAAGCTCCATCTAGTGTTTACATACAAATACTTATGGTAGATACTCAACTAAAAAAACTATTTTCATTTGGATAAATTACCAATAGATGGCATTACCATACATAAAATTTTAACCGTTTTTTATAAAAATCCTTTTTTGTAAAGGCCCATTTACACGATGCCATTTTCTTGTACATACAAGAGCAATAATTGAATGCAATAAATTGCGCGCAATAAATTGCGCGCAATAATTGGTTAGACCATCTGTTGTTTAGACCATGCAACTCATTTATTGCTTCAATTAAATTGTATACAACAGGCAAGAAACTAGCACCATGTAAATGGGCCTTAATAATCTAATGTTCACCAATAACAACAAACACAATTCTATTGGTGAAACTTTAATTTTAATGTTTAAAGTAAAAGTTAAAATGCAACTTACCATTACAGTAATATAGTCTATTGCTTCTTTTCACATAAAATCAGGTGAATTGCCTGCTCGTTTGAGAACTTTTCACATAAGCCATAGAAGACTTGACCAGTTTACCGAGCACTAACTTCGTAAAAAGGTCCTTACTTCGTCAAAATACGTTCCACTCCTTTGCACGCACACAAAACAGAGTTTTAGGTGGGGAAGACAAGTAAAACGCATATTTATTAGTACATTATTATAATTTATTAACATACACATTACCTAAACAACTTACAATGGTAGGGTGTGCTTAAGCTTTCCATTAGTCCATCAGTGAGTTAAATTTTACCTTCCTGCCATGGGCATCTCGCGGAACAAGGTTCGATCCCCTACTGGGTCCAATTGTCCGAGAAACACAGTGATAAGAGGACAATGAACACAATCTTCAATCACCCTCAGACAACTGGCATAAATACAATTAGGTAAAAATAATCTTGACACCAGTTATATAATATCTAATTATAATTCAGTAATTAAATACTGCATTTGCTTGAGAGAAAATTTTCAAATATTTTCTTCTCAATCATCAGAGCCATACCCTACTTGAAAAGCGTCAGTTGCCCGGTTGCCAGACATTTGCCAGGTGTTCGCTTGGCAACAGAAGCACAGCAGCAGCGGAATACATAGCAAATCACTAAGCAGACAACAGTTCCGGAATAAAGAGAGAAACGAAATAAATGCCTTGAACATTCGAGAAGATATCTCTGCTCGGATAAGACGAAGGGCACTGGTTCGAAGACGCGTCTGGGATGGGAGAGGGCAATTAACCCATCCTGGGACGGCCCATGCCGCGCCCCGGCATCTGTGGCGGCGCCTCTCCCTTCACGTTCTTTATGGTCTCGTCAACAGAAAGGATCTGGAACGATTAAAGCACGGACCAGTGAAACTGCTCCACCACCTTTAGGGTGATGGCATGAAATCAAACAGTATCAAAAGGTCTCTAGTAATTCATATAACACTAAAAGGCCATCCTATCTTAACATTTCTAGTATTTCGGAAACAGCTCAAGCGAGTTGGACCCAATTATGTATTTAAATCAGGACATAAATGGTATTTAAATAGGCGAATTTCCTGAAAAAGGCGACTTCACACTCAAAAAAAAAAAAAAAAAACATTTTCGGGCAGTCACAAAGTTTATAGTGCCATATCGTATGTTTAAGTATTGTTTTGCTATTGGACGTGACGAAAATCAGACCAGTACAGGCCAGACAAGCGGGTCGTGGTGGTGGTGGTAGTGGGGTTGTGGCCGTTACCTGTGTGGCCGCCTCGCAGGCCGCCGTCACCGCGTTGATCTTCACCACGGCCGGCTCCCAGACGCAGTTGACGTAATTGTCCGCGATGTCCTCCTTCTGTATGTCGATGCCGAACCACACGTCGCCTGCGTACGAGAAAAATGAGCCAAGGCCGTAGAGCAAGGGGGAGTAGCGTTTAACTGTGGTAGGGCCACGCAACAGTCCCCACTGTTGCAGGCTGTTCCGTCCGTGCGTAGATTGGCGTGAAGTGGAACTGTTTAGATGCTTTTGCGTTTCGCTTGGTGATTGATGTAGGCCCACTTTGTTATAGGCGTCCGCCACTCTACCAGTGTAGCAAATGTCCACGGGCGGCGGTTATCACTAAAATCTGGTGAACCGCCAGCTCATTCCCCACTTCCTAACATAAAAAAGGCGAGTGGGGGCCGTAGTGGCAGTTGGTTGTAAGGTTTCGGCGGGGTTTGGGGGCGTAAGGCCCAATGGGAGCGTAGGAGCCAGTGGGGGCGTAGGGGCCAGAGGGGGCGTGGGTGCAAGGTTTCGGCGGGGCGTAGGGGCCAAAGGGCGCGTAGGGGCCAGTGGTGGCGTGGGAGCAAGGTTTGGATAGGCACCCGCGTGGTGGCGCTGGCGCAGCTTGTTGAGCAGGCCCGTGGCGTCGAGGCCCGCGTTGTCCGCCAGCTGCCTGGGGATCGCCTCGAAGGCGCGCGCCGCCGCCGCCACCAGCAGCTGCTCCTTGCCGGCCACGCCGCGCGAGTGGTCGCGCAGCCGCTTCGAGATCTCCATGTCGATGGCGCCGCCGCCTGCAATTCGTTCGCATCGAAAGTTTTAACATCTAACACGAAAACCAAATTCTTGTTGTGAAATAAAAGGCAATGAAGAACCCAGTTAACATCGATCCAGCCGAAGACAGACAAAGAAACTTAGAATTGCTTATTTTATCAAATAAGAAGCTGAACTGAACTGACATTAAAAATAGGCACTTCAATTTTGTTTATCTGTATATATGATAATTGCCACATGGACCAAGACTTAGCCATACTACGACAAAGAGAGAGTTGGAGAGAGACAAAGAATCTATATGAGATGCTGACCTGCCACCACTGCATCATTCTTGATGGTCCTGCGCACGATCATGATTGCGTCGTGGAGCGAGCGCTCCGTCTCCTCGAGGAACTGCTCGGCACCTCCCCTCAGCACCACGGTGCACGCCTTGGCGGCCGGGCACCCTGCAAGCACAACATTTATTTGCTAGAATAGATCCGGCTTTTTGAAGTTGTACATGCAACACACAGATTTTGTTTTGTATATACTTACATATACATTGATATTCAATTTTATCTCTACAAAAATTCTGATGACATTACCCTTACAAAAAATACAATTTACTCATAACGAAAAAAATCACTAATCTGTTTCATAATGTACTAAGTACATACTTTTGTTTTTAACAACAAAATATGTATTAGACTTTAGAACGAAGATGCATTGTACTAGAGGGTAAATGATATACTACCCTGCGTGTTTGCTCAATTATTCTAATCAAAAACTATATCTATTACCTCCTAACTTAAAATACTTAATTTATATTAACACTACAAAAACTAACATGTCATAAATAGACAAGATTGACAATTTAACTTCAGACTTTACTAAGCTCGGAAACTTTAGATAAATTCTCTCACCATCTGGCGCGCCTGTGTTGTAACCTAATAACCAAAAATTCTAGTAATCATTATGGGAATATTACCAGTATATCTTGATATAATTTAAAAACCTATAGTTTTAACCTTAGGGATACTGTGTGCTTAGGGAGCATCTTTGGAGTGTAAATAAGAGTAATTATGTTTTAATTATTTCTTAATCCATAATTAAATAAAAAGCCTAAACCACCACAGATGTGTCGATTCATAATGTTAAGGACGTCGTGTTTTCTTTCAGTATTTAAAATTATTTCTCTACTTTCAGACTTAATAGAGTGTTCCTTAGTTTTTTTTATGTTACAAACTTTGGACAGGCGGTTCAGGCACCTAATTTGAAATAAACACCATCACCCATGAACATCTGTAAGATCTTAAGCTCACAGGTGCGTTATTGTGTTTCATGCCGGTCTCTTTGCAACAGAAACAGCTGTGGTAACTTACTTATAAACTTTGTATAAATTTTCATAAGAACGCGCAAGCGTCTATTTGAATAAAGATGTTTTGAGTTTGAATTTGAGTTGACAACCTTAAAAATAGTTGTTCCCGGTCACCCCACTGACCAGACGAAACGCGGTTCTCTGTCGTCCACTTAACAACACTAGCTGTCACTGTAAACACTACTGTATTGTGCGGTTAACTGTCACTTTCACTACTGTTAGTTACCGTATCCACCGTGAATGAATGTGGGCACTCACCGGTGAATATGTTGTACCGCTCGCCGCCCACCTGGCGCTCGGTGAATTGAGCGCAGCGGCCGAGCGACTCGGGCTTCATGTCGCGCACCGAGCTGAGAACGGCGCCGCCGCACGCGCGCTGCGTCCTGCGCAGGTCCTCGGCCACCACGCGGCCCGCGCAGAACATGTCGCTGGAACGGCGGTTAAAAACTTAATGCTGATCGGGAGTGAGGCGTACTTGTCGTAACAGGTGTAAATAACGATGGCAACTCACGAACGTATTAATTTTTAGGTGAAATTTTGACATTTCATAAGAACGCGCAAGCGTCTATTTGTTAGATACCAGCTGTTAACCGCGGCTTCGCCCGCGCGGCCAAAGAGAATTTACAATGAGTTTTTTATTATACACCAGAATATCTCGCAGATGGTTGAATTTTTTCCTACACAATATCTTTATAAATTTTAAATACATATATTTTAATTTGATTTGATAGCAGACTGTACCTGTTCCACATAATTTGCTCATTAACACGCTGTCACAATATTTTCTTCATTCATGCTTATGACTGTTACCTTAGTTAGGAAGACATAAAAACTGTTACTCATTGTCAAAGTCGTTACTGAACACTGTCAATGTTACAAGCTCTTTCTTTTCCTTGCATGGGTCTTATAGCTTTATTAGAAAGGGAAACAAACATGAGGTAACATACTGTAACAGCTGTTACTATGATAACAGTCATACAAATTGTCACAACATAGAATGAAATAACAGGCTGTTATTTTGTAACAGGTATTTTTCACTGTTACTTTTAAGGAACATGAACAGGCATAACAGGTACTCAATTTAACCTAGTATAACTCACTCCTAATACTGATGAGGATTAGTCTATGTGGAAAAGTTCCCAAGATGTTGAACTACAAAAATAATTATAATGAATAAACATGTCGACTGTCTGACTTCGTGGCACAGTCGATAAGTGATTTGCTTCTGGGTTCGTCCAAATGAAATTTGTATTTGTAAAACATCCTTCCAACACAGTCTAAGGGCATATTTTTTTTTAATAATAAAGAAAAAAAACTTACATTACAGAAGCAACAAGCACTATTTTTATGTGTATTCTCCACCTCTAATATTTATAAAGCACTTACTATATTACAGAGATGGTGTTTACACCATCCCTCTAACAGTGTGCCACATCATTATTGGAACCTCGCTGCAAGACCATCACTCTTCTACTGAATTAAGGGGAACTTTAGCTGAAGTTGGTTCGCCATTAGCAGTCGAAGCTTCCTCGAGCAGCGAAGAGAAATCTGCATACCCAAATGCAGCAAAGAGGACTCACCGATCAGCAAAGTACTGTGTAGCTACATCCCCAATGGGAAGCATGCTGAGCACCACATTGGCACCGCTCTCGTGTAACGCTGCCAGCTTCTCATAAAGAATCTGCCACTCGGCGTCCACCACCTTCTGGTACTCCCTCACATTGTCCAGACGGATCTAAGGCATAAAAGTGTATGAGATATTGCTCGGTAGTTGACCTATATTAATAGGGTTGTCAACAGTTGTCATATTTTAATAGGGTTATCAACAGAACCGTCTGCAATTGGATCCGTTTGGTATAATCATATTAAGGGAGGTAATATATATAAGCTATCTCATTAATGCTATTATTACTGTAATTTTAAGGAAGAAACAATATTTATGATTAACCGACTTCTATATTTTATAGTGCTAATCTGACTAAAGATGAAACAATAAAATTTGTTTAGTCATTTGTTGTATATTTCCAGTTTCGCGCCCAGAATTTTCGTCCTTTTCTCTACAAATTTTAAGGAAACAACATGTTATTATAACAGTACCTGTGTAGTTAGGGTATTAGAGAGATGACGCAGAGACAATGTAATGGGACCCCAATCCGAATTATGTAGCTTCACATATCAAATTCAGACATGCGGGTTCCACATACCTGAGCATTATCCCTCTCTGCTTTCAACTCCAACTCAATGTTGAGCAGGGCAATCTTGCAGTCATTGTAACTCTTGGGCTGCATCTCGAAACCGGCATATGAGAAGGTCTTCTTAAAGGCCACCCCGGAGACGAGGAAGGAGTCCTCTAGAGCGCCACCAGACACTTTCTTGATGCCTAACAACAAGTATAAATAAAAGTTATGATATAAAACACGTGTCGTGTTTATTTCTTGAAATATATTTATAAAAAGGGTAATTAATATAGTTAAAGTTAAGAGTCTCCATTTATTTCGCTGTTTTTGATCGCTAGTATTAAATATTTACGAGTGCCAAACCTTGAGATTTGTCTGAAGCTGAATATTTATCCCACTAGAGTTTAGTTTTAGCTTTGCTTACTTGATAAATAACATGAATACATGTTTTTATGAGAATGTGTGACATGTTTTTAATAATAATAATAATAATAATATACTTTATTGTACACCAAAAAATCAAAATGAAAAAGTACAAAAAAACAAAATATTTAACAAAATATTGGTCATCAAAAGGCGACCTTATTGCTACACAGCAATTTCTTCCAGGCAACCTCAAATATTTACCAAAAGGAATTGTTGATGGGTAGGATGTACATGAAGGAAAAAAAAAATAATAATAATAAAAAGAAAGTAGCAATTAAAATAATAAGAAAAACATACTTCAAGTGAGTGATCATAGAGTTAAGGGTGAAATTAAAAGGGGTAGAGAGAGACGTTGAAAGATTGAGAGGAGCTAGACAGACAGATAATGCTCCTTAACCTGTTTTTTAAAAGAGTCTAGGGTTTTAGCACGTTTTATAGCCAAAGGTAAAGATTTCCAGAGTTTAACAGCAACAGCAGAGAAGGATTTATAGTAAAAACTAGAGGATTGCATAGGATGTTTAAGGAAGAGGTTTTCATTTGAACGTAAAGTAAGATTATGAGAGGAGCAAAGAAATTGAAAACGTTCCTTCAAATATTGCGGACTTGATACGTTAAATAAGACGCAGTAAAGAGCAGAAAGAATGTGAGTATTTCGGCGAAAACGAATCGGAAGCCACTTGAGCTTAATGCGATATTCTGATACATGGTCGTATTTACGGAGCCCAAATATGAACCGTATACATAGGTTTTGGAGTCGCTCAAGTTTATTAAGCTGCTCCTCAGTGATGTCGATAACATATGTCAGCATAATCAAGGATTGGGAGCAGCAAAGAATGAGCGAGCGTAATTTTGGTGGAAATGGGTAAAAAGTAGTTCAACCGCCTGAGCGAACTACATGCTGCAAACATTTTACGGGCGACTGCATTAATTTGAGGTGTCCAAGAGAAACTGGAGTCCATCAGTATACCCAAATTTTTAACACTGTCCTTATAAGGGATTACCGTGCCATTAAAAGTAACTGGATTTATTTGGTTCTTATTTAATTTTGTGATTAATCTTGAACTTCCAATTATTATGGCTTGAGATTTTATAGGGTTAACAGTCAAACCATATCGTCGACTCCAGTCGAGAATACAAGCCAAATCCCTATTAACATTATCCACAGCTTTTGGAAGATTCTCTACAGTGGATTGAGTGTAAATCTGGAGGTCATCTGCATACAAGTGGTAAAGAGAAGATATTTGGGAAGTAATAGAATTAATGAAAACTGCAAATAGCAGTGGGGATAACACGCCACCTTGCGGAACACCAGCTACTGTATCAAGCCATGTAGAAAATCTATCCTAAACTCGAATACGCTGCCGGCGTCCAGACAAGTAACTACGAAACCAGGAAATTGCAGTTGGAGATATGTTACGAGAACACAGTACACCTAACAGAATATCTACAGTATTAAAGGCGTTGCTGAAATCCAGCAAGATCAATACTGTGACTAGACGTCTGTCCATTGCGAGACGAATGTCGTCAGTGATTTTTAATAGTGTAGTAGTCGTACTATGACCAGACCTAAAACCAGACTGAAATGGATCAAGGATATTGCTTTTAGTGCAAAAGGAATAAATTTGTTCGTGCACAAGGCGTTCAAGGACTTTAGAGAGGAATGGGAGGATCGAAATAGGACGGTATTCGGAAAAACTCGAAGGATTTGCTTTTTTGGGTAAAGGAATCACTTGTGCATCTTTCCAAAAGGAGGGAAAGGAAGATATCGATATGGAAAAATTTAGGATGTGCGTTATGATAGGTGTAAGGATGTCAAGCAAAGGCATGATCATTTTACGACTAACGTCATCACTCCACACAGCGTCGGAATGAATGAATAGAGTGTACGTGTCTCTTAACATCACAATCTGCAAATTGCCTAAACACAAAAGGAGGATAGCCAGGAGTGGGAAGTAGAGAAAGTTGCGTAAGTGTATCTAATTTAGCATCATTATCAATGCAAGATGAAGAAGAAAAATGCTGGTTAAGCAGATTTAAATCTAAATCATTTGGGAATGAGTTTGAGCGTGACTTCCCAACTCCTATTGACCTTAAGAATTTCCAAACACGACTTGGATCTTCATTTTGTACAGATTTATGGATATGGCGACGTCGTAAATCTCTACACATCTTGTTGCATTGATTCCGAAGGAGCCTGTATTTTTCCTTAATTTTTTCATTATTGGGATTTATCTAACATTTAAGTTATGTATCAATTCAGTTCTTGTGGCACATCGTGTATAATTGATATTTCAACATCGCCTCATGTCTACTATCACAATCCACACATAGCATTCAGCAATTGGATCCGTTTGTTTTAATCATAGGCGTATGCAACCCAGCACAATTCCGAGAAATAATTTCAGATGGCAGTAGAATATTCCTCACCAATCATATCGAGGGGCAGAAGTGGAGCGTCCAGGGACAGCACAGCGTCCACAACAATCTTGGAGAAGTGGTCCTTCTGCTGATGAATCAGCTTGGAGGACATGGCGGTGGCCGCGCACTTGCGCAGGAGCTCTCTGAAATTGAAACATAACCTTAAGATTATGCCTTCGACAAGCTTACATCACATTCTGATGTGTTAATAACATCAGAATGTGAGATACACTACAAATTAGCAATTATGGTTACACTGATAGCATCTGAATAACTGACTACAACTTGTGTGGGCCATAAATATGTTTTGTCCACCTCTTTCTTTTTTGTAGTAGCATTTCTCATCACCTCATATTTTTCATGTTCCTCACTACTATTCAGCAATTGGATCCGTTGATTTTAATCATTGGCAACATGAAATGCTCTTTTGCAAAAAATTGTTCATGACAAGAGTTTCTTTTTTAAAACAAATGAGTATCTGGTAGGACTATATTCGTATGGTCGTAAGTCAGCACAACACAACCACTGTAACCAAGAAAGATCTAATGTAGTCTTCCCTACAAAAACGTTGCACCTTTACTGTAGGTTGACATTATCCTGTGTTGTGTAAGGATGTTTTGCATACATAAATTTCATCTGAACTAAACAATTATTTCGAACCTACCACCCCTGGAGCCAAAGCCAATACCTTGGTAGCTGCGCCACGGAGTAATCAGCTTATGAGTGTTTTTAAGTGAGAGTTTGTTCTTCTTTTATAAGAAATGAGTACCCGGTAGGACTTACTTTTGCTCCTCCGGTGACTGGCTCTCGATCTTCACCGCCAACTCCTGGATGCGCTCGATCGCCAAGCGCGAAACTGTGCGCAGCGCCCTGATGATGATGCGGGGGTGGACACCTGGCGACAAAGAGGCGATCGTTCATTGTTATAAAAACGGCAAGCTTTGTATTTCATACTAAATGTTTATTTGAAATGTTTCATTTGTAATCCCATCCAATGCACAATTTCAACATTCCTAAGACTTAAAAGTAACCCAAACTAACTCCTAATCTAATAGAAATTGATCTATTCTGTAAAATACGCATAAAAATTTTAAATATAGCTTATAATGTGACTTGGCCATTATGATTGAAAATCTTTAACCCCCCCCTAATTAACACATCACAAAGTATGAATGCATGTACAATTCTATTATGCTATTTTTTTACATTAAACTCGAATCATGCTAACAATGGTTATGTTAAAATTCAATTTAACATCAATAATTGTCTTGTATATTGTATTAACTGATGTTTTTATCTTTCAGTCCCGAGACTATTAAAGCTTCGTCTGACGCAGAACCGGTGGGCTAGCCAGAACCCACAGGTTTGGGCCCTCCGCTGTAGGTAGGGCCGCGCATGTGCTCATGCGTGCGTTTAACCCCAATGGCCGTCGACTGTGCGATTAGCTAATCGGTGGCTGGGAGCGGTGAGAACCGCCCCGGAACGCGGGTGTACCTTGTGTACGCGTTGTGTTGGTCTCGCCGTGCTCGGAGGCGAGGATGAACTATTTTGTGTTTGTTGTTGCACTAACTGTGGGTGTAGTGTTCAGGTCGTTGTAATCCGGCGGGTTCATCGATAATTGCTCAACTCAATGATGGTCAAAGCCACTGGCAAAAGAAAGTTGTGGTTATGTAACATCTAAGAATGGACCAGAATAGATAGGGTAGCTGGACTGTTCCGGGAAGACTTTATCAAGCTGATAGCTACCACTCCCTTCACTAGTTGGAGGCACCATAAGAGGAAGTATGGCTCAACAAACCCTAAGCTAGAATAGTATTTCTCTTCCATTGCTAAAATCTGAAATTTATCCAACAGAAATTAACTTAACACTTACCATCCTCAACAAAAGGCTTCAGCCTCTTAAGAAGCTCACCAGCAAGAATCACAACAGATGTGGTTCCATCACCAACCTGGAAAGGAAATCTCTGGTAAATATTTTATGGTTACATGTAAAAAATTAATCTTGCTTATTGAAACATCATTTTAAAAGATTCTCCTCAATTCAATTAGGAAATTGGATCCGTTTTTTTAATCATATGTCCATAGAGATTGATTAATGTGTATTGATAATATCCAGAATACAATGTAACATTACAGGAAGGTCATACATATTAAGTCTTGATTATATCAGGTTGTTTGCAACTTTTTGTTGACACACATTTACAATTACAAATATATTGTCTCATAATTTGCATGCCACTTGGCATAGGCCTCCACCATCTCTTTCCACCGAGCTTTATCCTCTGCTACCCTGGTCCAGCATGGACCCAGGGTTAGGCAGATATCGTCTTTCCACCTTGTTTCAAGTTGCAAAATATTACCTTATAAACAGGTCTTTAACACCCGTTGGGGATTAGGATAACGCTTTTTTTGCAGTTTGTTATATCAGCATCATAAATGCTTCTCAAATGCTGCTATTAACACAGTACTAGGTATCAATAATACTTGAACCGTGCATTCATTTTCCCTGGGAATCAGGCATGTTGCAACTAAGCCCAATAACAACGCAACTAAGAGGTTCCAATAAAAATGCTACAAACCTCGGCGTCTTGCGACTTGGCAATGTCCACCAGTGTCTTGGCCGCAGGGTGAACAATATCCAAAAGCTGTAACAATGATATTCTTACATTCATACCAAATCATAACTGAATACTAGTTAAATAATAACAGAAAAACTAGCCCCTGCTGAAAGAATGAGATTGTAACAATGTATTGTATTTTGTGTAGAAGGGGTTGAGGAGGAAGTCCCAACAACTACTGCAACCTAGAAGATCTATTGTAGTCTTCCTTTCGAAAACATTGCCTGTTACTGTATGCTAATGCTATCCTATTTTGTAAGGATGTTTTACATACATACATTTCATACAGATAAGCACCCAGATCCGAAACAATTATCTGAGGGTCACATAAAAAGTTGTCTTGTGTGAAAGAATTGAGATTGAACCAACGCCATCCGGCGCCGAAGCTAATACCTTTGCTACTGCCCCATGGAGTCACCAAAGTTATCACTTTGGTGACTCCGAGGTATCCCTCTAATGGCCAAGACCAGCTAGTACACTTAATCTAGTGATTGGAGATAAAGGACATGCAATTTTTTTGCAACGGTTGGCAACCTTACTGTACTGTACTGTATACCCACAGGTATTGTGAATGTCATGTAGTGAATTGCCTCAACCCTAATGAAAATATTTAAATATTTTGGCTGTTCCCTCAACTAAATTGATAGAAACAGATTTTTGTTGGCACCTCTCCTTACTTACAATCAAACAAAAAGTATTACGAAAAAAAGTCCTTTTACAGGTAACGCCAATAAATGTTCGGAAACAGATGCCTCATATCTACTATCATGATCCACACAGATGCTTCAGCAATTGGATCCGTTGATTTAAATCATAGGCATAGCAAGTCACAAAGACATTTCACGATATTATCTCCTGTGGATATTCCTGTGAAAGTACCTTCATTATGGTGGCACCATCGTTTGATATGACAGCCTTGCCACCGTGATCCACGATAAGCTTGTCCATGCCGCGAGGGCCCAATGTGGTGCGAACCTGGGATCAATCAATATTACATTACACATATTATATACAAAAATAAATAAAAAAATACTTACAATTTTAATGACAGAAGTGTTGATCAAAATAAAAGAGCAAATTTATCACTTCCATAAACAAATCACAAATAAGAAGTGGAGAAATATGTAAGTGTAATATATTTCATGTATCCCAATTTATTACTATTTATTATTTACACAGATTTCATGTGCACAAAAGACAGCAAACTTTATTAAAAAAAAAAATTCTTTTATGGTTTCCGATTATTATAAATAAAATAATTAACGATATCATATATCAGTAAACAATTTTGAGAGTTCTCTAACAATTCAGATATGTTAAAAAGGCATCAAATTAAATTCCCATCTGCCTCATATACAGTCTGTCTTCATCCTCAATTCAGAAATTGGAACGAATATTGTATAATCATGGGCATTGTCACCACATAGGCAATTGGAGTAGGACCATATAAGCTCATTAACCTCCGGAACTCAACAAATATGATGGTGCTACATAGATGTATTTAAATAACTAATAAGGCACTAACTAAAATTCTATATTCACACCCTAGTAATTTGTTTCTATAAAGCGTGTCGTTACCATCGCGACAGTAAATACACATACGTCTAACGCTAATTGCCAATAATCATAAAAAATATTAACGTTAAACAAAATCCATAATTAAAAAAAATATATTTTTCAAACAAAGTAATTAAGTAAAAAGCATCGCATTACAAGCCTCTCCTTCTAACAGTATGTTTTGTCTCTTTTAAATTCATTCAACCCATTCATATGCTTTGTGACCTTTACAAATGAACTTTACGTAAGGATGTTCTAAAATTGTTTGTTTTGAAAAATTTAATAACTCGGTAAATATTGATGTTTGAAGAATATAAATGTTTAATACAATTTTAAAAAGTTATCCTCTATATGTGTGTTCATTTATTGTCACGATGGTAACATCACACTGTATGTGAATATAATCATGTTATTCTCATATTCAACACTTCTATACACTCTATGTACAAAACTTATATATTTTTTTACAATCATCCAAGTAGATTTACAAACAAATTACATTTTCTGTACCAACATACTTCTACATTTTGTTTAATGGAAATTGTTTCATAATGAAATACATAAATACAATTATTACAGAAATGAGTAACAAAATCAAAAAATATGTAACACATTTCATCACAAAAACAGATATGATTCACACCAAACATCTTTTGATTAATCAAAATGATAAATCTGTTATAGCCAGTCAGTCTATATATAGTCAATGAACTTACCGCATCCACAACTAGCTGACATGCATTGATGTTGGAAATAAGCTGCGGCTTGCCCTGGGACTGATCCGTCCCCTCCTTCAGCACTAGGATCTGTGGTTGCTGGAACATTTCAAATGGCAAATTACTATAATGAAGCTTATCAACTACTGTGGACCTAATTACTAAGGAAATGTTTCATTTTAAAAAGTAGTTTACCAAGGTAGTGAAAGAAGTAACTGTTATGAATACTTTTTATGTGATAGAAGTGAAGATTGACAATAGATAGGTATTAGAATAAAAAGAAAACAAAAACAATTGAAAACGACAGGGAAAAAAAATGAGTTACTTGGAGTGTTACATCATTAAGCATTAAGTTACCCTTAAGGCCTATTTACACGGTGCCAGTTTCTTGCCTGTTGTATACAATTAAATTGAAGCAATAAATGAGTTGCATGGTCTAAACAACAAATGGTCTTAACAATTATTGCGCGCAATTTATTGCATTCAATTATTGCTCTTGTATGTACAAGAAAATGGCATCGTGTAAATGGGCCTTTACGCAGATACTTGCCGTTGTAATATAAATCAGACAAGAGATGGGGCATAGTCTTTTAATCTTATTTAATTACTGGCCATAAATTTTTTAAACATTTTGAAAAGAGAAGTAGCCGTAATTCGAGTTTATAGTCGATGTATTCATGTACATCAATCAATTACAAACTTATCACTAAGTTTTGGTTGTTGATGAGTAATATAACCTAAATTCATTAAATTTCTTACATTTAAAATACATAATTTAATGAATCAAATTATAAACATATAAAGGTTTTGTATCTAATCATTTAACGTCATTATCTAAATGCTTAAAGCTATTTTTGGATGTAAGATAGTATTTGACTAAACATTTAACAAAAATAAAATCAGATGGCCGGTAGACACTACAACAAATGAACACAATTTTAAACGGAATAAAATTTTTACTTACAAAGCCAAGAAAACATTTTAATTTAAATTCACACGGGATATTTTAGAGTAAAAAGTAGTTTCTCCAATTTTAACCTGTTTTAAATATTTTTTTACTCATCTACGCTACTCATATTTTCAATAATATAATTACAAAAATATACTTAACACACTAAGGAATCTATTTTTTGAGTTAGAATTGCTATATTTCATATGATTAGTAAGAAATTTTCAAATTTATTTACCATCTTGAATTCTTTTCTTTTAAACTAAAAACACAAATTTCACAGACTAAATCCTTTTTTTTTATTTTTTTTCGTCAAATGACTTTACAACGACAAAACTTTTGTTTCATGTACAGATAATGAAAAGGTATAAATTCAATTCACTTTAAAAAACTTTTATAATGCTATATAGAACTTATGAATATCATACGTTAATAAAAAATTGTAATTATATTGTTTTAAAATCGAGAAAAAGAAGAAAGAAATAAAATCAATTTTTAAATGGCTGCTGACAGTTTTGACAGTAGCAATAGTTGTCCAAAAGTTATTATTTTTCTTTATCTAATATATATAATCTATATTTCTTGTTAAACTGAATCTGAATGTAAAGTCTGAAACTTGGAACTGCACGTGTAGTTACAGATTTATAGAATCAGTGCAGCTTCTTAGAACATAGGAAAAAGTTTAAAATGAGCCGGCAAGTAGATATCAAGGCTATAGTTTCCCACGTTGTGAGAGGAGATGGTATAAATAGATGTCGAATATGTATGGGAGACACGACGGAAGGTCAAGTATTTCTTGGCGATACTGTAATGCTTGATGGAGAACAGCCCGTGACGTTGTCAGAACTATTGGAGACTATAACAGGAGTTGAGGTCAGTACATATATTATGTCAAAGTTATTGTTCACTGCGAAAAACGGAACGGCGTCTTTTATTTTTGTGTCAGGTCAAGATGGCGCCTTGCTGTATAACAGAAATTTTTGATGAAAATTTATATACAATATAGGCTAATTAGCTAGATATAACTCTTACTAAGTTACTTATAATATACAACCAACTAAATATTTATCATAATATTATATATTCTTGTAAATCATCTGTAAATTACTGGCATGAACCGCTTGTTAGTGTTTACGGAGTAAATTTAGCGTTAAATTGCAAATATGCGTGTCACAATAACGACGTAAGCATTAAATAAACTTTTATGGAATCTCAGACTCACAGTGTATTAATTTCACACAAAAGTTTCCCCTATCTAATGAGATTCGAAATTAGGATGGCGATGGTCGAGTTTCCTTGTTGTATACAATATGATGTATTTGGTTGTTAGTAAATTTGGTCATTCATCCATAAATATTCGTCAATAATAATACAACTACAAATGTTTTTATGATTCAATCTAAAATGATATGAATAAACATAAAATGCAAAGAAACATCTGTTGGAAATTGTTTTGTAATTGTAGTTTGTATGTTTTTAAATATGTAAAAAAGAATTATACTTAATAAATTACCAAAAATTGCAATAGGCTCGTCATATTGGTAATTTATTGTTGTTGAAAAGTGGATTGTATAGTTTCATCATCAGCCGCAAGTATTTCAATGTTGGACATAGGTCTGCCACTTGGATTGCCACCACGAGCATTTCATTGTCTACAATTGTTAAATCCATTGGATTTTTTGTCATGAAGGTAGTTTTCTTTCAAGCATTGATGGCTAGTGCCATTCATATTAAAGAAACTTTAAACTGAAGCAACAACCCCATTCACATTTCCGCAACTAGATCACACCACTGCCAAAGATTTTTTATCCATTTTCATAACTAAAATATTACCAAAATCCATAAGCAATTCTAAGAATCTTTTAAAAAAATGTTTAGAAAGTTATAAATAAGTGCCTTGTAATTAATTTTAATGATGATCATGACGATGAATACAATTGAAGCAATACAAGTACTTCATAATCATTTTTATTTTAAAATGTGCATCAAGTTGTCTCTCTTCTTTATATGCTAACGGTGCAGCCAATTGAATTATGTATATATAAAAATATGTCGATAGGTTCCTACAGGCTGTTGTCTCATCTCTGGATGGTGGTAGAATTTAATGATTAAAAGAGTGGCTATATTAAAAAAATAATTTTGACTCGTTTTTAGAAGTTATACAGAACATGCAACAAGTACCTATAAAAATGCATTAGCAACAATTAATTTTTCCCTATAAAAATTACCATTTACTGAATAAGTACCAGGTAAAACATACATATTGAGACTGAATTAAATGGACACATATTAGTCAAGAACGATTTTACTTCTTCTCTAAAAGACTACAACTTTATAATTTTTATATTATCTCAAAGTAGTGCTCTGCACTTGTATGTTATAATTATGATTGAGGGAACCTAAAATTACAACAAATATTATGAAACAATACATTATAGCATCTCACTGAACTTTGCAAAACATATGTGACTATATACAGTTCAAAATAAGGAACTCTCAAGGAGAAAAGCGGAGGCTTTTGCCCAGTAGTAGTAAAATTAGCGTACCTAAAAAAGACAGAAATATAAAGACTTGTCATCTGTTTTATACAAGTTAACTGGATTGCTTCACTGGACCCTGTTTCATCAAAGTAATTGAATGAAGAGAACTGGATTTTGTCTCGCAGCAATGGGGTTTTATACTAACAACTCTGAGTTCTGCTTATAAGTATTTCCAATCATCCTGTGTTTAATACGGAATGCTATATCATGGCTATTTGACAGACACGGTGGTTACAGATGCCGTTGTCAGAAGATCTGCCAGTCAGCCTGTGCTCGACTTGCTCGGTGTCGGCACTGAGCGCGGCCGACTTTCGGACAGTGTGTCGGCAGGCCGCCCACAAGTGGGCCGCCATGCTGCAATTGCTGGGCACCCTGCCCGAGGACGGGAACGAGTGCAAGGCACTGCTCGCCGTCATGGAGTCCGACCAAATGGTCATGTTTGAAGAATACGAGAGCGTCACGAGTGCCGAGTCGGCCGCGACGAGGCTCACACTCAGACTGAATCCCAAAGAGAAGGAGACAACCGCTAACCGACCACCGACAGGCTACCGCTGCCAATGCCCCGACTGCGGCAAGAAGTTCCCGTACGTGCAGCAACTGTACCAGCACCTGAAGGAGTCAACGGACCTAAAGCGCGCGTGCTACGTTTGCGCGAAGATCATGAGCCGCGACGAGCTGGTTTCCCACCTGCGGACGGATCACAACCGGAACCCGCACGACTGCAAAGAGTGCCCGGCGCTGCTGCCCTCCCGCGGGCACTACGAGCAGCACATGAGGAAGGCGCACGCCCCGGGCGCCTGCACCTGCGGCGACTGCGGCCGCAGCTTCCGAACCTCGAACGCCTTCCGCGCACACCTGTCCGTGCACACGGCTAAGACGTGCCCCGCCTGCAAACGGCCGTTCCGCAACCAGACCTGCTATCTACACCACGTGCGCCAGTGCTGCGAATTGGGCGGCGGAAAGGGCGCCACCGTCGTGCAGAGCGGTGGCCGCCGGGTCAAAGTCGGGCTGCGCGGGAGGGCGGACAAGGAGTGCGTTTGCGACTACTGCGGCAAACGCTTCGCCGGCAAGAAGTTCGTATGCGCCCACATCCAGATCGTCCACACGAAAAGCACCCACCGGCCGTGCGCGTACTGCGGCAAGTCGCTCGCGGCCGCCCACATGACGGAGCACGTCAAAAAGCACGAGACGGTCAGCGCCTTCACTTGCGAGCTGTGCGGCGTCGTGCTGAGGACGAGGCTCGGTTACGTTCAGCACTTGAGGCTCCACAGCGGCGAGCGGCCGTACGCGTGCCGCCACTGCGGGGAGACCTTCTCGGCGTCGTCCAGACGCTCGGAGCACGTGCGGAAGGCCCACGGCCCTGAGGCGGTGCCGAAGCACGCGTGCGATCGGTGCCCAGCTAGATTCAGGCTGCCGTACCGTCTGAAGAAGCACGTCGCGTCCGTACACGGCACCGGGCAGCGGGATCCCAGCTTCGAGTGCAGCGAGTGCGGCGAGCGGTTCGGCAGCTGCCGCGGCCTCCTGCACCACAGTAGGACGCACCAGCGCGCAGCACCGGCTCGGGTGGCAGTGCAGAAAAAGAGGCAGATGGAGTGCCGCGTGTACAGCGAGCCAACAAGAAACTCGACCGGTCCGGATGGGAACCAGTTGACTTCAGTTACTATGTGACGATGTGTTGCGATGCAGAGATTCAGTTTTAGCGTATTTGCGATAACGAAAAGAACGTCAGTGAATGTTTAGTAGTTTTAGTTGATATAGCAATCTTAGCATTAAACCAAGATTTCATGCCATTGCGGGATGTAGGAATAGTTGAATACTTGATGAATATTTATCTTGGTCAAATGATATACAGCGTGTCTTTACAATCGCGACAATAAAAGAACACACATGTAGGATAACTTTTTAAAATTGTATTAAACATTTACATTCTTTAAACATCAATATTTACAGACTTATTAAATTTTCCAAAACAAAGAATTTTAGAACATCCTTACGTATAAAACTGTAAAGATCATTTATAAAGGTCACAAAGCACATGAATGGGTTGAATGAATTTAAATGAGACAAAACATACTGTTAGGAGAGGCTTGTAATGCGACGCTGTGTCGCGAGTTGTATAGGATGTTACAATTTTTGTTTCTTTTTTACTTAATTAGTTTGTTTGAAAAAAAATTTTTTTACGTATGGTTGACATTTATTATATCAATCTTTCGTTTTTCACATTTTGGCCATCTTGTCTGGCATCTTCATGTATGCTCATCAGTTAGATGCTCTTAGAATCTTTAGTACTGCACAATCTAGATATCAAAAAAAAATCTTAATAATTAGTTTGGCCTGTTTATTAATAAAGGGCACAACATAAATAAACCAAAAACTTCTTTAAACTTTGTCCTAGCAAGATCTAATCATGGACTCCAATGATTTGGATCGCGTTCATTAGCGTTTGCCATTTACGTGTTGAAAGTAGGGCCATCGGGTTTACCCGGAACGGACTGACTGATCGCGTGGTTTCAGGTGGAGGAGGCGGCGGACTTTCCGCACGGCGTTTGCTCCAACTGCACAAAGATGGCACTCGCCGCGATGCATTTCCGTAAGGTCTGCCTCGAGTCGGCCAAGCAATGGGCACGCGTTGCCTCCCAACTCGCGCACGCCTCCGCGCCCGGTCCACGAGACAGGGCGCTTTTCGTCTTCTACGACGACACGAATATCAAAGTGCTAAGGGAGCGCAACCAAGTGGTGACAGTAGCCCTCGCCGTAAACAGACTGAACCAAAGGCTCCGACCGTCCAGCGCGAGCAAAGCTATCCCCAAGGTGAGGAAACCGCGCAAAGGCAAGCGCTGGCGGTGCCAAGACTGCGGCAAGGAGTTCACGCTGCCGTGCTACTTGAACCAGCACCTCAAGATGACGATGAAGAGGGCCTGCACCCACTGCGGCGCGATCGTCAGCAGGGAGAAGCTGCAACAGCACCTGCTGAGGCACCACGGTCAGCGCCTGTTCCGCTGCAAGACCTGCCACCAGCTCTTCCACCGCGAACGGGAGCTGACGAGCACAACGAAACCGCCCACGGCGCTCAGTCGCACGCGTGTCGCGTCTGCCACAACGGCTTCACAAACGACCGCGCCCTCCGCGCCCACATGTACGCGCACACATTGTTCCACTGCCACGCCTGCAGCTCGAGCTTCGAGAACCGCCGCTGCTACAAGTACCACGTCGGCCGCTGCGGGGGACCTAAGCTGCAGCCGGGGTCAGCCTACGAGTGCCACGACTGCGGCAGCAGATACTCTAAGAAGGAGTCGCTGAGGACCCACATCGAGCAGAAGCATTTAAACGTGTTGCCGTTCGTCTGCCAGGAGTGCGGCAAGCGGAGCTCGACCCTGGGCCACCACCGAGCGCACGAGGCGATACACTTGCCGAGGAGGAAGGTGTACCAGTGCTACTGCGGCGCCAAGCTGCTCACCGAGCTCGGCTTCAGCCTGCACAGCAGGATCCATTCGGGGGAGAGGCCATACGAGTGCCCAGAGTGCGGGGACCGGTTCCTCTCCTCCTCCAGACGGCTGGACCACATAAAGCGGCGGCACACGAGCCTGAAAGACATGCCCCACCCGTGCAAGCAGTGCCCGGCCACGTTCCTCAGGCCCTCGCAGCTGAAGAAGCACTGCCTGGTCATCCACGGTGTTTCCAGCTGAGATGCGCAGATCCTTTTTTTTTATGTAGGTAAAGGATAAGACAGCCTTTAAATACGACTAAAATCCACTTATCTTATACCGCGAATGTATATATGTATATACAAGAATTGTTCGTTTAAAGAATAAGATATATTCGGAATCTCGGAAACGGCTCCAGCGATCTTCATAAAATTTAGTATGTGTAAATTCGGGGGTGAAAAATCGATCTAGCTAGGTTTCATTTTTAGAAAATGTCGTTTTATCCCTGTTTTCAGGGAATGAAAAATATCATTCGAATACGACGGTAAATTTCGCCTAATTTATAATAGCTCGGTCGGTAATCGGGCGGCCCCAAAACAGAAGGCCGTGGTTCGTGTCAAGATCATTTACACACTTATTTTTTTTACTTTTTTTCGATTCCAGATCAGCTTTTTTATTTTTAATTTTTTGTCGATCCAGATGATTCTATTTTTTTCCCTTTTTTTTAAAAGTTCTTTCCTTTGTGAAAAACACCAGTTCATATTTTCTTATTACTACGTCGGTAAGAACGAAAAATATTATGCATATCTCATTACTTAGTCATTTGTATCTAAATGTAATTTCCAAAATACACGATTTACCAAAAAAAAACCGACCAAAACCGAGCAGCCTACACATATCCCACTTCTGTGCAAAGGCCTTCTCTTTTACAGAGGCCCATTGACATTCGCAACACTCGTGGGGTTGCAGGTGCGTTGCCTTTCAATAAAGTCGGCCCCGGCTACCTCACTGCCGAAACTGTCGCGTATAATGTTAATTATCGATGTTAATGAATATTGAAATCTCTTTCTCTAATAAATCAAATCGAGTCATCTTCATTTCAAATATGGTAAATAAAACTTTCCAATATCGATAAAAAGTACAGACATCTTTCGCCTTATTTGCATGCAAATATAGCACAAATAATATAAATAATAAAATCAAAATCTAATAACAAATGATATCAAGTACAGTAAATTAAAATAAAATAAGACCTCAAGTTATAACATCAAACCCTCCTTTCAATTTAAGTCCCCCACCAAAAATAGTACATTTTTGTGAGTTAGATCTCATTATCTTCAAAAAATACTTAAGCTGCGATTTGGTATCTTCCGCCGTACCATATACGGTCATCTATCGGTACAAAAAAACCTACAACTAAAAAATTATCGTTATATTTTCCAAAAATGCGTCAGTTATTAAATATTGTAAATAAGAATAGTCAACACATCAAGACTTCAAGACAAGTGCTTTTACATCCTAACGCATTAGGAACGCATTATGAACTTGCTACGCTACTAGTAGTAATTATTCATGAATTAATAAAATTAAGTCGCTTATCAACAAATAAATTAATTATAATTAAATTAGAGGATTTTAGATTAATTTTAAATAAATTTTTATAATGTATAAGCACTAGTCTTGGCTATTCTTATTTACAATATATTCTTAAGCAATTTTCTAAATAATAGCGCTAAAAACAAGTTATAATTAAATCGCATATCAATAAGAGGGGAAGATCTTATATTTTCTAATCGATTTTAGTGGAATCTAGTTTGGCGGCCGCGCTATTGTCTATAAATATCGACTGACATTTCTAAAACCATTTTAGCCGAACTTGTTTCAAAAGCTAGGTACCAGCGCCAATTCAATCGTTCGTTAAGAATGTCTAAGTAAAAGAAACCGGTATCAAGAAGAATGAAATGAACCACATTACTACTTTTCGTTCAATATTTACAAAAAAAAACCTTTTTTCTTTTTTTAACAATGGTATGTGGTTGTCGCGTTGAACTTGAATCGTTTACTCGACCGATTAATCTCATATTACCAGACTACAAATTAGAACGCAGGAAGCTGTGTCCGGTACGCGAGACGATTATTTATTATACTGGCCGACACTTCAAATCAACCATTTCCTCATTTCACAACATTATCTAAAGAGAAAAAGAATCGGGCTATCTAACAAATGCAACGTGATGTAATATCATAGATCCTTAAGTATTGCATGTTTTTTCTAGTTGAGCGTACAAATACATATAGATAGCCTTATATTAATAAATAGTAAGTTGAGAAATTACAGAAGAACAAAAAAGTTAAAAAGTAAAAAAAAAGTATCAATTAACAGTGGTATTAAAACCGCAGGTTTCATAACAGATCGTTCCTAATGTGGTTATTGATGAGAGTATTCACGCCGCGCTTGCGTTGCAGATGACGGAGGAGGCGCTCTGCCCGCGGGGGCTGTGTGTCGCGTGCACGGACGTGGCCATCAGCGCGTTCGAGTTCCGCGTGATGGTGCGCAACTCGCAGAAGATTTGGTCCAACTGCCTTGCCAGCATTGACTGCGCCGCCGAGTCCTGCGTGCCGCCGCGCTCCTTCTACGCGGTGATGAGAGCAGACCTCTCGATGTCGTCCGTGAACGAGTTCGTCGGCGACTCCAAGTCCCTCTTGAACCATTTGTTCAACCGCCTTTCCAAAAAGAAGCCCGTGGCTACGGAGAGGAGGCCAAGGGCCGCGCGCACCGGGCCCCCCTGCGGCTGCACCGACTGCGGCAAGCGCTTCCTCAGCCCCTACTACTTGAACCTGCACCTGAAGAACAGTGGTCAGAAGGAGGCCTGCATGCTCTGCGGCTCCGTGGTGATCAGGGGGCTGGAGATGAAGGAGCACCTGCAGACCGCCCACGGGGAGCAGGCCCACCTCTGCAACGACTGTCCAATGCTGTTCGCGGACGAACTCGAGCTGAGGAAGCACGCGAAGAAGTCGCACAGGGCGGGCGCGCTGACCTGCGGCGACTGCGGCCGCACCTTCCCGCGCCACACCTCCTTCGAGGTGCACTCGCAGATGCACGCGGTGCGCACGTGCCGCGCGTGCGGCGCCCAGTTCACGAACCGCGGCTGCTACCGGGAGCACCGCTCCAAGTGCGAGCCCGAGGCGAAGCCCGACATAAAGTCGGTGCCGCGCAGCCGCCGCTCGAACATCCGCGACCCGGCCACCTTCATATGCGACCACTGCGGCAAGACGTACCACTCGCGGCCCCAGCTGAAGAACCACATCGTGTGGATCCACATGGACATCCGGCCGCACCAGTGCCAGTGGTGCGGCAAGCGGTTCTACACGCCCACCCGCCTGGCGGAGCACAGCGTGGTGCACACGCGCGAGCGCAACTTCGAGTGCGACATATGCGGCGCCAAGCTGGTCTCCAAGATGGCGGCCGTGTACCACAGGCGGCGGCACACGGGCGAGAAACCCTACGAGTGCGACGAGTGCGGCGAGAGATTCATATCGTCGTCGCGCCGCTCGGAGCACGCGAAGCGCCGCCACGGCAAAGGCGTCAGGATGCAGTGCATGGAGTGCCCGGCGAGCTTCGTGCGCAGCCACGAGCTGAGGAAGCACATTGAGCGCGCGCACAGGACGCACGGACCGCAGATGATGGTGAAGGTGAAGGCCTAGCCGGAAGCCGACCAGAGACAATTGGGCTCGACTTTCGAGTTGCCGCTCGACGGCGACTTCAGTTCTGCCTTTTGTAGGTGATGGACACATAAATTGTGAATTAATTTAAAAAAAAATTGTTGTGAAATGCATTGTTGATGTGAATGGTTTTTAGTAAAATTGTATTCATTGTATAAAAAATTATGTACTTGATGTCACATACCATACTTATTGCATACCGTAGTCTTTTCTAATTTTCCCATCCATGAAATTACTGCTCTAGTTAAGGACAAACTGGTGCAAACCCACTAATAGTAGTCCTATTTTTTTTTACTCTTTTATTTCCTGTAATAGTACTAATAGCAGGAAAACCCGCTTAAGTGGCTTCTGGGTTAGTTGGGAACTTAGTGTCACGACTGTGGTCCGAATTTATAATGAGTTTTTTCACAAGCATCAATAAACCCTTGTCTGGAAATAATTAAACCTCATTAACTAGGACCTTTAACTTGTGATACGAATTATAGAACTAAAAACTTAGATTTCATTAGTACAAATGCGTATTGTGCAGGCAGCAACCTATCTACATAATAATAATTATTGTGTTATACTTTGTTTGGAAGGGATTGGTTAATAAGTCGACCTAAAAGAACTATCGTAGTCGAAAATATTTCCCGCTTGCTGCAGTGTTTATTCCTTAGGAATGTTTTCCATAAATTAACCAAACAATTCCTCAGAGAACTCCTCATGATATATTCGATAGAAAATGCAAATGGATGCAACATCACTGAGCTGGCCTGGTGTAAGTCCAGCCCGAGAGGGCCGCTCCGAGTGGGCTTATTGAGCCCACTCTGGATGCGTGCTGGAGGGTACAGAGGACAGGTTGAGGGTGGTAGAGGTGGAACCATTCTCCCTGTCTTCTGCTACCGAGGAGGAGTCGCGGGGGGGAAGAGGAGTGTCTTTATTGCGATGCGCCGTTCTCCCTACCCTCCGCGGCCGAAACGTGGTGAGTGGCTGAGCCACAGACCAGGTCCGCCGCTGGGGGCTGGGAGGCTTGATGCTTATTAGATGATGATGCTTATTAGCACTGGCTCTCCTGGCTATCATGGCCGCGAGGGCGGGTATGCGTAGGCATTTCCCCCACCTGTAGCCTTTTTGATCTGGTCTGACAAGTGGCAGCACAATAAACTTGTCAAGCCTAAAGGACCCGATTCCAGGGCCGTTAAACTAATAAAAAATCAACTTGTCATTAAAGATTTTGGCATTGACAGTTGAATTTACTTCGATCCGACCAGATTGTTAGCTTTTGGTTTCGGTTTTTAAATGAAACGTCGACCGCAGCCATGTCTTTTCACAGTGATTTGAGGCAGCTACTCAAGCCTTACTATTGGATAAATATTTTACTCAGCCTATCATACGTAACATGCAAGAGGACCGGAGTCATTTGCAACTTCCTATTTCCCGAGGCGGACTGCGAGCTAGACAGCCGCGAGACGGAAATACTATTCTTCTTAATCATTGTTGTAATGTTGAGGACGAGGAAGGCGGGAAGCGTGACGATGGTTAATTATTTGTCGGCTTCTTTCGTCTACACGAAGATCGCAAACCTAATACTTTGGCTCTACGCCGATGTAAGGTAAATATTTGGTATAACCACCTTTATAGCCTTTTAAAATTAGCGGCTATATAGCTTATTACTATTCTGAGATGACTGTGGTAGGGCCGCGTAGAAGTTATTGCTGTTGCATGAATGAGCAGACTCGTCCGATGAAGTACCATGACCTCGCAGAAGACGGGTCTGAAGTGGAAGTGGGATACCTCTGCGTTTCGCTGGTGAGTGAGGTAGCTGGGGTCCAATTGAGTTGCAGATGCTTATGGGCACAGATTATCAGTTAATATCAGGTGAACTACCAGTTCACTTAACACCTTTTCGCATAAAATTTGTTTGCTGACACAGGTCCAAATAAGCATACATGTTCATAAAATTTTCAAATAAATTCAATTTTGACTACACCAACTTTCAAGTTCTATTATGACAAGAATTTACTAGAAGAGACCTTGAATATCCTCAATTTTAGGCCGGGTTTGGACCTTAATTACAACTTGTTTATAGGTATGGCCTTCCATATGGGGCAATCTTAGTCTTATCTGCTCTTCTACTCCCGGAGCCAACTTACTCCGGTCCAGAGCATGTCACCTATTTCCGGGGCCTCCAGACCCTAGAAGATGAACTTAAACATCACAGGAATGTTACCTGGATTGTGTGCCTGTATGCTGCATGGCATCCAGCCTGTGTCAACTTTGCACCAGTATTTGCTGAGCTCTCTGCCAGCTATGGATTGGACAATTTAAAATTTGGAAAGGTTGACGTAGGCAGGTGTGTATGTTCTCAAGTTAAATTTTAAAATTATTTGTTGTGCCTCTTGAATGGTAGATGTGGCTAATGGGATCACTTTCAAACCAAAAAGACACTTATGGACTGATTAAAAAACTATTTATTTTAACTTAAACATTTTTGAATTTATTTTTGATGAAACATAATTTATATAAAATACATAACATTATGAAATTTATACAGGATGGTTTTTCTAAAAATGCCCAAATTCACACAGGAGGTTCAGACTTGGTAGTATAATTGTTTATTGAAATAAAAACAAACTTTTTTTTTTTTTTCAAAAATAAAATGCCATTCCATTCCCTAAAGAACAGAACTTGTTCACAATACGGTAGTCACTCATAAATGCGTTGTATACTTTGAAACGAACTTGTGTGCATGTTAGTTATGAATGATCACCCTAAAAATGATTAAAATAAATGAGTTGCCCATAAATCACGCACTTTATTGAGTTTCAAATGAATGTATTTAAATAATTACGAGTGATTTTAAATATGTATCATTTTTTATATAACATTATTTTTGTCTCGAACTTAATGAAAAAAAAGGAAACACTTAGAAAAGCCTCCCTGAATAAAATACAAGAGTTAGGTCAGATAACTAGACATACTTCTACTACTTCAACTAGCGATTTTCACAGAATCGTCATAATTCAGTCTGAACAAATAAAAATGACCTTCCAAATTTAAAGTAATTCAAACATAATACATAAACGAAAAAAAGAGTATGTATAATCTGAGATTACCAATCAACAGTGCCTATAGGGCTATGGTGTTTTCTTACTTCTGTGCATATCCTCATAACTTTTGTCTAAATGGCCCGTTTTAACTTGGGTAGTACTGATGCAATTCAGAAGATTAGAAGCAAAGCCCCACCTCTTAGTGATTTGTAAGGGGGTATACAAATATTATGTAAGCAAAATTTAAATGATTAATGATCTTAAATAAGGTACAAATAAGTAAAACATAAACTCTCCTCTTTCTTCAAATCCTGATATATATGAGATATGTTTCAGAAAAAAACTCTTTATTTTAAGATTTTTTCCAAACCTTAATTTTACTCTAAAAAAATTACTTTTATTCATATTTTAAAATATGCAACTTATTTACATATTGCTAATTTCGCCATAAAGACTATGGAAAATGTAAGCCCGAGAGAGGTTAAAAAAAACCTCCACGATCTTGCTTAAGTAATACTTGAATGTAAAATGTAATACCTAACGACAGCAACCCCACAGATATTGTATAGTAATTATTAAATATTAAGTGCTACACTTGAAAAGTCTCATATTCAGCTTTAAACCTTGTGCAACAATCACATGAAGCTGGCCTAGGCAAAGGCCACTAGATATTTTAAAGCTAGATTTATTGTTATAGATGTTAGGGTTTGAATTCACATTGTTATGATAGTCTATACAGATTTTGCTAATAATAGTACAAATAGATACAAATGACATGATGTATAACCACTTAGTGTGGAGATTCTAAGCGATTCGCTAATTAAATGTGATGAAATGCCATTGAAGTGAGAAATGTAGGTCATTTGGTGGTAATTTATTGTATTGGTGTGGAGGTTTGTCTAAATCAGCAGATTCCCTCTGGAATTGTAACTCTCACAATATTTAATGCTTTGTTCTCCTAACATCTATTTCTACAGGGTGGCTTTTCTAAAGGTGCCCAAATTCACACAGGCGGTTCAGACTCGGTAGTATAATCGTTTATTCATACGAAATAAAAACATTTTTTTTAAATTGCCATTCCATTCCCCAAAAAACAGAACTTGTTGACAATGCGGTAGTCAGTGATATAAATTCGTCGTATACTTTTGAAACCAACTTGTGTGCCTGTTACTTATGAATGATCGCGCGTAAAATAAATGAGTTGCCCATAAATCACGCACTTTTTGAGATAAGTGCAAATGAATGTATTTAATTAATTATGAGTGATTTTAAATATTTACCATTTTTTATGTAACATTATTTATGTGTAGAACTCAATTTAAAAAATGGATACACTTAGTAAAGCCTCCCTGTATAGAAGATGGTAATCACCGAAAAATGTTACGTTTGAGTCATGTCCCGAGTCGAATAAGAAATTTTCAGGCTGTACAATTTTCAGATACCCAGAAGCTGCCGCAAAGTACAGGGTACAGGATGGCCCCACTAGCAGACAGCTGCCCACTGTCCTTATCCTAAGCGAAGGTCAGGAGAAGATGAGGAGGCCCCAACCCGATCACAGCGGCAAGCTACAAAAGTCAGTGCTTCTTATACACACTTTTCTTAGCTTTATCCATATGTATCTTATTAGTTTTTTACTCTTATTAATCATAAATGTCAACACAAGTTCACCTTGTGTTTTATAGTTATCAATAAGGCCATTATTTAACAGATATAAAGAAAAAACAATTCATCATTGCTTATTAAACATACCCAAGAATGTTTTTAAGTAAATAATTATTTATTGATAAGGAAACAATATTTCTCCGCCCAGAGAAGCAAGCATGTGACCAAGTGATAGATTTTAATTGTTGTTGCCTTTGTGATCGAATCAAGATATTAAGATGTTGAAAAATAATCATTTGTTCTGGTGCAATCTTCTTATTTTATTTACCAAAAGTACAAAGATAGACTGTTTTGATTTGCCACTACCATAATGATCCATTGTATTAGTCTATGTAAATAGTTTACTTTATTATATCTCCCGTAAACTCCCTCACTGGACAGAATGCAAAAGTACAAATGCTTCAAATTCGCGCCGTCTTTTGGAGTTCGCCACACAAGCCCTTCCACGTCTGCTACAGAGGCCGCTGCGTGGCAAAAACAACGCTACACTGTTGGCAACTATGACCATGAACACTGATAGTTGACCGTCTGTTCCCAACGCTTATGTCTTTGGATGTCGTTTCCAGATTCCTGTTCTCGAAAGACAACGTGAAGGCAGCCTTCGACCTGGACGGCCTTCACCAAGAGTGCAAAGAGAAACTTGCCACGGCGAAGTCCACTAAGAAAACTGAAAAGACCGAGTAGACCAAAGTCTTTTTCTTACATTGTCTAATTAATGTAAAAGCGCCACATGTTAGAAGTACGTATGCAAATTAAAATGGGTATATCCAGAAGAATTGCATTTATATGATTGCTTTTTATAATTTAAGACTAAATGTTTTATATTTGAAGATCTGATTTTGTGTTTGTATAATTTTTATGACGAAGACGGTGACCTGTCATTACCTAGTCCTAACCCTGCCAGCCCAATATGGTGTTAACTTTTTATTGTTATATATCTTTATAAACAACACTCGGACAAACCATGTTGTTACGAAAAAACTTCAAAGAGTAAACTTATCAGTGTTAGTATTTTTAATGAAATTTAAGTATTTATTTCTAATCTCTTGTGAGTTTTACAACGTTTATTCTGCAGCGCTTGCAGCTGCTGTTTCTTAATATATCGCAGATTTTGTATAATAAATGTTACAAATTGAAAACTGTTTTATTTCATGTATAAGTATTTTTATGTACAATCCAGCGTCGCAGTGGATCTGGGTGTTTATTTACTATGGGAGTTGACGTGACAGAGTTGATAGGTGACGTGCGGCCGGTAGTAAAAAATCAAATGCGAGTGGGACTCGATACGAAGGTTACACCATCACGATAGTATAAAACAAAGTCGCGCCGCCGTCTGTCTGTCCCTATGTACGCTTAGATCTTTAAAACTACGCAACGGATCTTGATGCGGTTTTTTTACTAGATATATTAATTCAAGAGGAAGGTTTATATCTATAATACATTGCACTCGTGCGGAGCCGGGGTGGGTCGCTAGTTATCTATAAAAACGGTAAAAAAATCATGTCTGTTGCACGGGAGACCCACTTAAATGTTTTTTTATTCTATTTTTTTTTAGTATTTGTTGTTATAGCAGCAACAGATACAGCCTGGTGACAGACAGACAGCGGAGTCTCAGTAATAGGGTCCCGTTTTAGCCTTTGGGTACAGAATCCTAGTTAGTCCATACCATCTACAAAACTTTTCATATGAAGGGCCTACCCGTACCCATATTCCATAACGTTGGTAGGGCCACGCAAGTGTTCGCTGTTGCACGAATGGGCACGACCTTCCGGGTAAGTACCACGACCTCACAGAAGAGCGGTGTAAAGTAGACGTAACACTTCTACTTTACACTTCTGCTTTTCGTTTGGTGAGTGAGGTAGCCGGGGCCCACTTTATTAAAAGGTGGCAACGCATCTGCGACCCTACATGTGTATGACAAATTTCAATGGACGGCGGTTAACACCAGGTGAACCGCCAGCTCGTCTGCCACCTCACATAAAAAAAGCTATTAAAAGCCTAGCTATTTTAGTCCCAAACTTTACGCATACACAATAATTATAATCCCGAACACATTGCGTAAATAAAACACACAGGTCACGACTAGAACATTCTTTATTATTAATTAATAATAAATATATAAAACTAGCATCGCCACAGTTCCGATATTTATAAACTAAACTAAAATAGTCAGTCATGCAGAGCTGCCCTCATAGCAAATTAGTTTTACACCCTTTGACCATATACTTCTCAAGTATATAATCGAGACAACTATATATCAAAGTTTACACCATTGGGTCTCCAATTAAAGACAATTAAAACTATACAGAACAACTAGTGTTAAATTGCATAATTGGCAGACAATTACTATTTTTTTCTTATTATATTTACATCTCGACTTCTGCGATTGAATACTATTAAAGGAAATACAATTCTTTAATTCTAGCATAGTTAATCTTACGTTTTTAATCTTTTTATCTTTCACAATCTGCTTAAGAAATCGATAACAATAACATTGTTATCTGTTTGTTTTCGGACACATTTTTACACAACGTTCTCTAGTCCCAAGCTAAGCAACGCTTGTACTATGGGTACCAGAAAACTGATAGACATACTTAAACATACTTTTCTTTTGTAAATAAATACACATTATACATATATAAACACCCAGACACTAGAAAAACACTATGTTCATCACACAATATTTTTCCAGTAGTGGGGATCGAACCCACACCCTCTGGCGCAGAACGCAGGTACACTACCGACTACGCCATTCGGGTCAAATCTATGTTTAACTTTGTAGAAAGAGTGCCTCTTTTGAGTTGTGTAGATACCCTAAATATGTTTAGCCTATAACACTAGTGCCCATATAAGAAAGAATTCTTTGAATTGTAAAAGCAACACCAACTATATGGTGTTAAAATCAATGATGTATAATAAACATGACTCATGACCATACTGCGCGGCGTTTAAAATTGTTCCGCTTTGCGATATATGACATTAAGTGAATGTGATAGATGATATAGAACATTTGATGCGGAAAGAGATAACAGTCTATAGAATTGCACTCTAATTACACTGTAACTAGTGTAATTTGAGAGAGTTTCGGCGCGCTAGACAAGAACTACATTGGCAACTTATAACAATTCTTTGACATTTATCTGTAAGTACCCGGAGGACCGAGCTTTGCTCAGTTTGTTTTTTTTTTTTTTGATAAATCGTGTATTTTGGAAATTACATTTAGATACAAATTACTGAGTAATGAAATATGCATAATATTTTTCGATCTCACCGGCGTAATAATAAGAAAATATGAACTGATGTTTTTCACAAAAGAAAGAACTTTAAAAAAAAAGGAAAAAAGTAACGAAATAACAAATCGACAAAAAATTAAAAATAAAGAACGCAATGATCTGGAATCGAAAAAAAAGTAAAAAATTAATGTGATCGTGACGCGAACCACGGCCGTCTGTTTTGGGGCCGCCCGATTACCTACCGAGCTATTATGACATTTTCTCTTGCGGCGAAATTTACCATCATATTCGAATTATATTTTTCATTCCCTGAAAACAGGGATAAAAGGGCATTTTCTAAAAATGAAACCTAGCTAGGTCGATTTTTCGCCCCCGAATCTACGCACATACTAAATTTCATGAAAATCGCTGGAGCCGTTTCCGAGATTCCGATTATATATATACAAGAATTGCTCGTTTAAAGGATAAGATTCTAATTTACTTAATTAAACTGTTTTCAATAATTAACTGCTATTGTTAATGTCTTTTATCATAAACAAAGAGTACTGGCAGACAGGGTAAACTTTTTATTTATTTTTTCTTTTGATACGGTGGAGAATTATAGCTTCTTACGTGCGTACATAAGTATAGACTATAGACTCACGTTTTATTTTTTTATTTCGAAAATATGTAGGTTTCCTCGCGATATTTTCCTTCACCACGGAGCTCGTGATAAATCAGCACTCAAAATGAACACAAGAATGCTATATTAAAAGTGGGTGCCTGGACACTGAGCTATACAGCTACAAATTACATAATATTTAATAATTACAAATTACTTCATTGCTTATTGCATAAAGAAAAAGGTAGACTGGTGTTATATAAAATTGTAGCAAAGTGAAAAAGACACAAAGTGTTACTTCTTATGGAAAAATGAAGAAAACAATGGTAGAATGGAGAATCTTCTATCAATTATCAATAGTTGAATAATTTAGCTAATACTATTAATAACCTAAATTCATACATGACTAATCACTAATGTTCAGATTGAGAGTGATTCTTTAAACGCAGTTAATACGTGCGGTAATCTTACAGATCTTAACTGCATGTCTTTTTACTTTCCTGGGCACAGGAAGCAGTTTAGGACTTTCTGCAATAAAGTCGCAGAAAATCCCAAACTGCTTCACGTCTTTCACAGTCTACTGATGGAGTTTGGAAGAGAGTAATAAACATAAGGCATAATCATAGCTTCATAGTTTCAACCATACGCAGCTGAGAATTTAAAATCTAGATACAAGCATGCCGAGGATACTTATAGGACAAACATCTCAAATATCATGTCCAACACATTCAGCAGCTTTAGGAACCTCGGCTTGCTCTCATCTTCGCCCTTCGCCTGTGTCGACTTCTCTTTACCTATCTTCTCCTTGTCTGAAAGGTGAACATTATTTCTGATAATAACAGATAAAGTGAGTGATCGTTTATGAATTATTCAATACCGTGAGCTGAAGGATGATACTCAGGTACTTCTTTTACATTCTTTCAAACCAATAGGTGGCGATACATAACCTAGGAAATAATACAAAGCCATCATTGATAGCCTTGATTTCAGCAATGGCAATTTCAAAAGCCCTGTGAAAACTTAACTTTTTCTGCTGTAGCGTTCTGACAGATTTAGTGTTAGATGAGGCAAAAGTGGCGAGGCCTATACAGCGTGTCGTTACAACCGCGAAATGAACACACATAAAGAGGATAACTTTTTAAAATTGTATTAAGCATGTACATTCTTTAAACATCAATATTTACAGAGTTATTAAATTTTCCAAAACAAACTTAAAAAATTTTAGAACACCCTTACGTATAAAACTGTAACGTAACGTTCATTTGTAAAGGTCACAAAGCATATGAATGGGTTGAATGAATTTAAAAGAGGCTTGTAATGCGATGCTGTGGCAACAAATGAAAACGTCCCTGAATGTATGAATCAGTCAGTTGTAGTTATATAGGATGTTACAAATTTTGTTTCTATTTTATTTAATTAGCTTATTTGAAAAATATATTTTTTTAATTATGGATCTATTTAATGTTTTATATTTTTTTTAGATTATTGGTAAGTAGTGTTAGACGTGTGTTCATTTATCTGGTTATTGTCGCGGTTGTAACTTCACTCTGTATATGTCAATAATATGCCAACTTTTTTGGAACAAAAACAACAATATCCAGAAAAAACATCATTGTGTAAAAACTTCATATCAATCGATAAGATGCCTCCATACTTGCTTGAGGCAACAAATAGAACTAATTAGTTTGCATGCTATGATGATAAAGTGATTTTCCAATGAATACTTTCAGATAAATACTGACGGCTTGAAATTTCCTGGTGTGCAGAAGGATCTCAGTTCTCACCTAACCTCTCGGTAGCGCTATGCTTTATGCTGTGCTCCATCTGGCTTTCGGCATTCATTTTTGAGGTGTCGAGGAACACCTGGATGCTGTACTCTGTTACGGCGTGGGACCAGTGACCGAATACGCCGATGCCTGGAAGGAGAAAAGATAAACATACAGGGTGGCTTTTCTAAGTGTATCCATTTTTTTATTAAATTCTAGACATCAATAATGTTATATAAAAATGATAAATATTTAAAATCACTCCTAAGTTATTAATTACATTCGTTTGAACTTGACTCAAAATGTGCTTGATTAGTGCCATAAACTCATTTATTTTATGCGTGATCATTCATAACACGCACACAAGTTCGTTTCAAAAGTATATGACGCATTTATGAATGACTACCGCATTGTCAACAAGTTCTGTTTTTTAGGGCACAGAATAGGCATTTTTTTTAAAAATCAGTTTGTTTTTATTTCAATAAACGATTAACTACTACCAAGTCTGAACTTCCTGTGTGAATATAGGCACCTTTAGAACAGCCACCCTGTATACAAGACAAAAATTCTCTGTGTTAACAACTAGCTCATTATGGATTTGTTCATATTTTTTCTGTTATTTTTATCTTAGTTGCTTAGTATTACTTTTTTGGAATCAAATGGTGTTTTTAGTCCATATTTGATAATATAATTTTTTGACAGACATTTGATAATATAATTTATGCATAAATTTTGTAACTTTTGTTTATCGAGTGTTTTATCTTTATTAAATGAAACTACTTTACGGATTTTATCGCGTTTTTTTATTTTAATTTAAATTCCCGACGTTTCGAACCCTTTCCAGCGTTCATGGTCACGGGACAGACCGTAAAGTAGTTTCATTTAATATGCATAATATTCGCGTAAAATCAAGAAAACAATATGTTTTATCTTTAATAAATATTTCTATATTTTCTCAAACTTCTTATGCTAGTGGCAGCAAAACAATTAACAACATTAAACATACAATAAAACTTGTCTTGTATCTTGTATTAACTGATGTTTGTGCTTTCAGTCCAGAGACTATTAAAGCTTCATCTGACGCAGAACCGGTGGGCTAGCCAGAACCCACGGGTTTGGGCCCTCCGCTGTGGGTAGGGCCGCGCATGTGCTCATGCGTGCGTTTAACTACGGCATGTCATCTAAGGGCCATCGAAGTAGCGGTGCGGACCGAGACCCCGATGGCCGTCGACTGTGTTTTTAGCTAATCGGTGGCTGGGGGCGGTGAGAACCGCCCTGGAACGCGGGTGTACCTTGTGTACGCGTTGTGTTGGTCTCGCCGTGCTCGGAGGCGAGGGCGAACTAATGTGTTTGTTGCTACACTAACTGTGTGTGTAGTGTTATCCGGCGGGACCCCCCGACGGTGGGTCCGACGTACCTAAGTCCCCTTCCTCGACCAGGTCGATGAGGACGTTTCGCGGGCGACGCTTGTTGACGCTCGCGTTTAGATCGGGTTGGTAATTTGCTGCGCTTACCACCAGAGGGTTGGGATGATGTTCGGCTCTATCGAAGAACCGTTTGGTCAGGTCTTTGAAAAATTCGCGAATCATCGGGAGTCTGCAATCACTGTGCAGGTCGACGTTGCGTTGATACCACTGCGCACCGGTTGCGCGGCGGATGAACTTATTTTGCACTACTTGCAACTTGTGCAAGCGAGTAGGGTGCGTGTGGGCGAAAATCATGCATGCGTAGGACATGATTGGCCGTACGCAAGCTTTGTATAAAAGTAATTTGTGTCTTAAGGACATTTTACTTGACTGGTTAGTTAAAGTGCTTAGCCGGCCGGAGACGAACGCGGCTCTGTTACGGACGTTATTAATATGCGCTGTGAATGACATACGCGAGTCGAAAGTGACTCCTAAATATTTTACCTTTTTCTCCCAGGGGAGCGGTTGGCCATAAAGAGATATTTGCCCTAGCATTCTGCATTGGCGACGACCTTTATAAAGATGTGACGGGTAAGTACTTCGTGTGAAGTGAATCGCCACACTCTTTTCGGGATTTACTTCAATTCTCCATTTGCGGAACCAATCGCCGAGGCGGTTGGCGGCGCTTTGGAGTCGAGTGGTTAGTTGACTAAGGTTGCGGTCTGAATAAAAGAGCGCAGTGTCATCCGCGAAAAGCGCGACATTGACGTGGGGGTCTTTTGGTATATCACTCGTGTAGAGCGTAAAAAGTAAGGGTGAGAGGCAGGAGCCTTGTGGAACGCCAGCCGTGAGGCGGCGGCTAGTGGATAGGGCGCCTTCAACTCGATATCGAAAGGAACGGTTCGACAAGAAGGCCTGAATGGTGTGTACAAGCCTGTCTGGCACTTTGAGTGAGAACAGCTTGTAAAGCAAGCCGTTGTGCCAGACTTTGTCGAATGCCTTTGCGACATCGAAGAAAAGAGCCCCCGTGCTAATATGTTTAGGGTGATTTAGGCCTTTTAGGATATGTTCCGTTAGGCGGTATAATTGATCGGGACAGGAATGTCTTGCTCGAAAGCCGAATTGTTCCGCCGGTAGAAGGCCGTTGGAAAACACGTGGTCTTTGAGCCTGTTTAATAGAAGCCGCTCGTAAAGCTTCCCCAGGCAACTAAGGAGGCTGATGGGACGATAACTAGAGGGCTGATTGGCTGGTTTATTCGGCTTGCGAATGCCGATAACCGTGGCTTCTTTCCAGTCGTCCGGAAAGGAACAACTGGAGAGTAAAGTGTTGTAAATGGTCGCCAGTAAACAGATAAGTGGGCCAGGGAGAGCTTTAAGGATTTTATTACTAATATTGTCTGGGCCCGGGGCGGATTTGGGTTTTAAATTTTTGATAATATCTTGGACCTCTTCGGGGGTCACTGAGTTTAATGGATCGCCTTCCGGTGGAAGCGCAGCCCTAGTTTCGATAACGCGGTCCACCTCCGTTAGGTGGGCTGTGTCGATGTGTTCGCGCGATGGCGTACATTGCTGCTCTAGGTTGTCCGCAAGGCATTCGGCTTTTTCGGAGTCATCTAGGGCTAATGAAGTGCTATTAGGCATTGCTAACGGCGGTAGGGATTCGCGGGGCTCTGCTTTCAGACTGCGGGCCAACCGCCAGTAGGCGGTGTGCGATGGCTCGATGTCCTCTAGGAGATTGTCCCACGTTGTATGTCGGTGTTCCGATACACGATCTTTGACTTCTAGCTGAAGGCGTCGAAGTAGGGTTCGGTTCGATTCCGATCGGTATCGGTCGAAGGCGCGTTTGGCTGCATTTTTCTGTCTAATTAGCAGTCTTAGGTCGGGCGGAAAGTTAAACCGTCGGTCGCCCGACAGTTTCACCGTCCGTTCCGAGTCTGTGACTGCGGAAGTAATGGTTTCTCGGAGACTTGCTATCGCTCGATTTGCGTCATCGAACGTAGCTATCGTCTCGGGTAAGTCTACTAAGTCCTGGGGGTCCAAGGCCTTGAGTTTGACCTCAAGGCGATGCCAGTCCACTACGGTTTTGGTCGGAGGGACCGCGCCGGCGTTCTGGCCCAGTTTGCACAGGACCGGCCTGTGGTCTGATTCTAATTCTTGGATTGTCTCTATCGACGTGATGTCGAGGGAGACCTCCTTGAACAACATGATATCAAGAATACTCGGTGTCGAATGCTGGTAATCGTCCACCGTAGGATATCTTGTGGGAGTCACAGGAGCGATTATGCTATAATTTAAATCGTCAGATAAGTTAAAGAGCTGCCTACCGTTGTTGTTAGCGCAAGTTTGGGGGTCCCATGAGCCGTGTTTGCAGTTTAGATCTCCTGCAATTATCACGGAAGGGCCTAAGTTAAGTAGCGTTTCTAAATCGCTTTGTAGAAGAGTTTTATTCCCCGAGAGGTAGGCTGAAACTAGTACAAGCGGCCTGTGGCCGGTGAGCGCTAACCTACACGCGGATGCCTCTATATGTCTTAGCTCTGGGATATCGAGCGGGCTACAGTGCAAGGACCGTTTATAATATATTAAGGTACCTCCCAGACGGTTTGCTAACCGGTCGTGGCGGACTATATTATAATTTGCGATTTTTGGATCGCGTCTGCTAGGTTTCAAGAAGGTCTCTTGCACTAGAAATATATCGACGTTATAATCGCGAAGGAATTCTGCGATTTCGTCCCTTTGGCCCCTAATGCCGTTTGCGTTAAAATACGAAACAACCAGAGCCCGAGGTTTTAATCTACCTGCGGTTGTACTTTCCATTTTAGTTTTAGTAGCGGTTCTAGGTAACGACGCGGCGAAGCGCGGTTTTATTGCCCGGACTATAAACCTTTATGGTTGATTTGTAAACACCCAAAGGGCGTCTACAAGTTTTTTGTGCTCGTTGAGCGCATTAAGTCGATCGGTGCCACATGTGGCGGCCGATAACTTTGTAGATAGGACGGCGAGCTCTTCCCGGTTTATGCGTTCCAGGAAGCTGCAGATGTTTGCCATTTGGGCAAAAGGGTCGTCTTGGTTCGCGGAAACGACCGGTGTAATAAAATGCACCTGCGGCCTCGGTGCTTGTTGTTTGACAGGCTGCGGTTGGAATGTCGTCGGTCGTGAGGCGACCGGAGGCAAGGCTACCTGCGCGACTGCCTGAGGTTTCGCCCAGGCGTTTACGACGGGTGCGGGCGCGGGAATGTACTTCGCCGGCGCGGATTTCGGGGCCGCGATTTTCGCGAGCGTAATTTTTACGGGTGCTTTCCTCGCGGGGGTTTTTGGAGCTTTAGCGCAGCCCCTGTAGCTAGCCGGGTGGCCGGTAGTCAAACAATTTACGCAGTCCGGTGGATCTGCGCAATCTTTAGGACGCGTGCAATCTGTCGTGCCATGGTCACCGATGCATTTGACGCACCTAGGGTGAGCAAAACAGTTGCGGGCTGTGTGGCCATAGTGTTGGCAGTTATGACACTGCGCAACAACGCCTGACTTCCGTGGAGGCTCAACGACGAGTTCGCTAAGCCCACAGAGCCTCTTCAAATTAAAAATTGCCTTACCTTCCGGGGTAGGGTCCAACTCCACCATTACAATGTCCATCGGGACACGGGTTCTGGGGTGACGTAGGCGACGAACGGCGTGCACCGGGTATCCCTGAGTGCGGATGTCGATTTTTACATTGTCGACATCCGACTCTTTTCGGCCTTTATGACTACCCGAAGTTTGCGTTCTTCAGGCAGCGAGTAGGTATGGAAACCTACTTTGTTTTCGCGTAAATATTTAGTGACGCGGCGGAAGTCATCGATGCTATCGAGGTATACACGGATACCTTGATGGGTGTTCTTCGACCGGGGGTCTCGAATATTGTGGCGTTCGAACCATACGCAAATTTGATGCCATTTAGCTTTCTCCTGGATGATGATAGGCGGAGGAGGCTTGGCTTTTCTTTCGGCGGCGTATTCGGGTGCCGGTTGGACTGCCGCGGCCGCCTTTTTGGCGGGCGTCGCAGTGGATCTATTAATTGAGGTGGCGGCCTCGCTTTCGGGGTCGCTATCTACAGCGGGGCGTTTCTTGCCCTTCTTTTTTCGTCCAGTGACGACGGTGAAGCCGTCGTCATTGGGTTTACCGGCGGGAGTTAAATCTACCTCCATATCCGATCCGCCGTCCGAGTATGAGTCGAGTACGACGGTGCACAAGGAGGCGGGTAGCTTGCGAGGAAGGCGCGACGGGCGTGTTCGCAGCGGCGGATGTCGACGCGACGGGCGCTTCTTGCGTCGCGGAAGGCAACGGGGTTACGGACGCAGAGGGCGCTGGAGATGGCGGCGATGCGATTGCCGGTGAAGGCGGGCTGTCGTTGGCGTATTCAACGACTAATCGTTGTTCGGATTCGAACGCTAGGTAGCTTTCCCAAATGTCGGGACAGCGTTGTCGGACGAACTCCTCGAAAAGGGAGCCCATCGTAAAGTATGTGCCTTTGGGGCTTAGGCCCCGCCGGCGTGTGTAAACTTAATAAGCCTCCCCACCTTGCGGCAGGGAGGAGTGTGCCTAAAAATAACACTTAATTCGCCTGCGCTTTAGGTGCGCTAGGGTGAGTACCTAGCTGTCGCCCAATGCAACAAGCACACAGTTAAAAATTAGGCAATGCCGCCTCTGAGGCGAGAAATGTGTGTAGAATTCTACTTACGGACAGGAACCTGCCTACGAGCACAACACTACACTAACACTAAACTATTGCACTACTTGCACAAATATTTAAATTGCAACCAAAGTTGCGAGTAGCGTCTAATTCGGGTGGCATGTGCCCTCCGTCTTAGAGAGACGTCCTTTCCGTACGAGAGCACGAAGCGGAATGACAATAAAACTGAAACACTTATTACCTAGGGGCCTCGGAAAATTCTCTGGGATAGCCACTATATCTGGTCCACATGTGATTGAACTAAAGTTGTTCCTATCTATCTCATAACTCGGCCTGCAAAATAGTGCAAATTAGGAGACACAATACAAAAATATTAGGATATATTGCATAAACTACATCAATAGGATGGCTGATCACTATCAGATGTACTTCAATAGTTGTATACATTTAGTAGAAGTTAAGAAACTATCATGTATTGTGCAGTAGATATCAAAAGTACTGTAAAGAATTGATTGCACTTTATTATGTAGGATGTAGAGCTATGATTTAAGTAATTGTTACTTGTATGAATTTCAAAAAACAATAAAATAGAACTCTAATAATAGTATAATTTAAACTTAAAATTGAAATCTTACAATTTTTTTAGTGGCGAAAGTTAGTTAACAAATGAGGGTTCACTCGTATGTAATGACAAAAATTACATTACCTTTTTAATTTAATAAAGGAAGTAATAATTTCACTGCTAATAAAACCAACCAAAAAGGTGTAAGTTATATAATTTCATATCTACTAAATCAATAATTCTGGAAAAATATCATATGCACTATATGTTCAGATATTCAAATAAATTAAACACATACATGTCCGTGGAAGTAACGAGGAACCGGCCTCCGAACTCAAGGACTGAATATTTTAGGTAAATGTAAATAACTTTAACTCAAATCAAATAAATTTTAAACGATAGAGAAAAATCACTTATGAATTTATCAACAAGCAGAATTCGGCGGTCGCTTATAGTTTTCGAAAAAATAAATAATGAAATAGTGTGATTTTTACTATAGAAATCCGCCAATTTTTTGTTGTCAATATGTCAATTCAGCTCGTATTTCTTGGTCATAAATAAAAACCTAACATCGAAGGTTAACTAACCTAGTCTATCCGAGTCTGATTCGCTCTGTGTCGGTTCTGTGACTCATTAAATTAAAAAAAATCGGAATATCGATACGTGTATGATGTCGCCCGCTTCCTATAATTATCATGTTGGCAGAACTATGTATTGAGTTTTTGAAGTCAAACAAATAAAATGGTGGATTTCTTAGTACAAAAAACAAGTTTTAAATATTTTTTTTTCTCGAAAACTATAAGCGACCGCCGAATTCTGCTTGTTGATTAATTCATTAGAGATTTATCTCTATCGTTTAAAATTTATTTTATTTGAATTACGCTGGAGTTAAAGTTATTTACATTTACAATATTTTGAAACGACAATATAAAATAAAGTAATAAATAGAAGTAGGTAAATCCTCATAAAATGAACGGACCTCATATTGTCAGCAACGTATAGGTCAGCATCCCCGGAGAGAGAGGTGAGCTCCAACAGCAGAGGGCCGCTGTGACCCAATTGCCAATAAGAGAAGTTACCAGCGCCGACAGTGCCCACTACTGTATCCAGGAGCACTTTGTCCAGGTCAATTTGCACATATCCGGACAGTATTGAAGAGATCGTGGAGATGCATATTATACCCATTATCACTAATATGAACTCCCTCCGCATTTTTCAACGATTGGTCAAAATACAAGCGAGAAAATTTATATTCACTTGACAAATCAAAGTTTGTATTCAACTGCTGTCAAGTGTCAATATGAACTAACAATCAATAAAATTTTCTCTGACTTAATTTAACGTTTAGGAACAGAATCATTTAACAAACATATTTTCTCTACAAGAAAATTATACATGTAAAAAAATGCTTTAATGTTTATTTTCCATATAGGTAACATTTTATATAAAAACTAGCTGATCCATAGTTTTGCATATAAATTATTTGTAGGATAGAAAAAAAATGTTTGGGGTGGACCACCCTTAACATCTAGGGGGATGAAAAATATATGTTGTCGGATTCTCCACTCTGGGCGATATGCACACAAAATTTCACGAAAATCGGTCAAGCCTTTTCGGAGGATTACAAACACCGGGACACGAGAATTTTATATATTAGAAAAAGAAACTATGCGGACATCGTCTGTTCTATTGCTCATCATGTTGATTTGTGGCTAAAATATACCGTTTGACTTTCTGTCCTTATTTCATCTAAGTTGATTCGTCACAATATGTATATCATGTTTTAAATGGTATTGGCTAGGTTTTTTACAACCAGCTACCTATCTGACATCACCCCTGCTTCGGAACAAACACCCAGATCCGGAACAATTATTTTTGGATGAACAAATATTTGTCCCGTGGGGGAATCGAACCCACAACCGCCAGCACCGAGGCCAATAGCCGTTAAATAACATACATGCTGTGCTTCTCACTAGTTGCACTACTCCGTCACGTGGAAACCAGTCCACTACCTGACGGAGCAGCTTCAGAAATTGCTAGAGCTAACGCTTACGCGGCAACAGAAATACATCATTAGTGAAAATTTCAAATGTCGCACTATCACGGTTCATGAGTTATAGTATGGCAACAGACGGACAGACAAACAGACAACGGAGTCTTAGAAACAGGGTCCCGTTTTACCCGTTGAGTAAAGAACCCTAAAAAGTAAGTAAAGAAAATGATTATCCACTAATATATAACTGCTGGCCAAAGACAACAGCAACATAGCCTCTCTCAGGCTGAAATTAAGTGCTGTCGTCTATGTTCTCAGTTAATAACAAATTATTACTGTTATTACAATGTTAGTTTCGTTATTTATTTCTTCATCAAATTGTCACAAGGGCTTGTTATGGAAGTACTCATGTGAACTTGTGAAACACCTAAGTCCTTCAATCTACTATCATGGAAAATACATACTTTATCGTCGTACATTTAATAGATAATGCAGGAAATGCGTGAGGTACAGTTAATAGCATTATCGCTTTATCAGACGTTGCCTCATGAATGAATCAGATATGAATGTACCCTGCGATAATTCGACGAAAATACGTAGTCGAAAGACAGATCCACGTGTAGAATGTAGGGGGAAAAGGGGTAATGGTTACTTCAGGTAAAATTGCAATAGTTAAAAGTTAGAAACAGAATCTTTATTGCAACCACCTCATAACAACGGTGGTAGGGCGACGCAGCAGCTTCGGCTGTTGCACGAATGGGCAGGCTCGTCCGGGTAAGTACCACGACCTCACAGAAGACCGGCGTAAAGTGGAAGTATAATACTTTCGCGTTTCGTCTGGTGGTTCTTTCGTGAGGTAGCCGGAGCCCAATTTCCAAAAAGGTTGTCAACATATCTGCATACTCTCGGCTGTAGCTGATGTCCATGGGTGGCGGTATTCATGTAACATCAGGTAAACAGTCTGCTCGTTTGGCAACTTTTCACACAAAAAAAAAAGTCTACTTACTTGGCTATTCTACTTACTTATTTGGCAAATAAAGGAGTTAAGTGAAAAAACAGTTTTGACTCCAATTGTACCGAGGTAATTGTGTTCACCTTGTGGGCAATGAGAATCAAACAAAAATTGCAGCTAAATTAATGAGCCAGGGCCTAGACAACCAACTGCGCTAGAAGTTGGTGGTGGTGGCGGCAGTGAACAGCATTAATGTCCCAGTTATTGAAGATTCTTCTTGACCTGGTGCTGGGTCATCAGTAGCATCTAACACATCATAGTTTTAAATGGCAGTAGTCTCCGATTGGAGCATTTCGGCTGGCAGAAAACCTTCTTCAGAAAACACGTCGGGGTTTATTGGGTAAATACAAGTAGCCCTAAATCCCGATTCCCATTTACTAATTGGTGAAACGTTATTAAATGTCTTCCGCAATAGGGGTGCTACTTCGTAAGGCATGATCTTCCCTGCAAGGTAAAAGACAACAACCAGTCACGTCCAGCTATTTTCGAAAACTGATTAAAATTGCAATTAAAAAGTCTTCATAAAAAATATTGGCCATCTTTATGAAGTCGGCCAAATCCCTTTCTTTTTGAAGTCTGATTACAGTCAGCCGTCCAATACGTGGTGCCAACTGAGATTTTTTATTAAATCAAAAAATATTGTAAACGACAATTACAATGCATGTAATAGTGATCACTAGTGGGCAATGGGGTCACCCGAGTCTCATTACCCACAATCACTCTAAGAAGAAAAAAAAATTAAAAACAAAATATATATTTGCAGCACACCTGATATATGTTGGAAATCGTTACACTGAATGTCTGAATAAAGGCGTACGGCGTACGAAAGTTACAAACAAGTAGATCAATAAATGTGATACTTACCGTTTATTTTGCGAGAGAGGAATTTTATAGCGGCAAGCCGCAAAATCAAAAATGACCTCTCGTTCCCGCTGCCGTAGCCATACAGGCGCAGCCGGCTCGCAACGATTGTAAGGTGGACCAAGCGGAGTAAGGAGGCCATTTACGCATCTTTAGTGATTGAAGATTTGTATATAAGTGGGTGACCACCATTACCCGCTATCTCCCATTACCCCTTTTTCCCCTACATGTTATTATAAATCAGCGCTAAGAATTGTACAAAAAGGAACTGTGACTATAACAGTAATTTGTATAAAACATTAATTAGATATTATATGAATTCTTATTCACATGCAGTTATCTATAAATTTTAGTTTGTATGTACGTTCGTTCTCTTATTTCGACTTAACAGATTCGGGTGGACTTGCCTAGACATTAGGTATCTAATATGACGTAGATATATTTGTATATTATAATAAACAATATTTTGATAAAAATATATTTTTATATTATTTATTATTATATTTACTACTACCATTTGGCGTAGTGGATAGCAAACATATGTCCTCCAGATGTTGTGGGTACGATCACGATTACTGGAAAAACAGTGTGATGAAAATAGTTTTTTCAGTGTCTGTATGTTTATATACCCATAAAAAGTATTTATTTATAAAATAAAAGAATATTTAAAACTTTTATCAGTTATCTAGTACATATAGTTCCACCTATGCATTGTTCGAAAAATATGAGTTTAAAAAATACCTTAATGATACCCATACGGTTAAGCATTGATTATGTAACATGAAAAATGGCACAAAATAAACTACCTACACGATATAATAATTATAATGCACTTTTATTTTTATTTCGTGTACTCTACCAACTTGATGTTAAGCAGTTCACCTTAATATTCGCAGGGCCGGATTTAGGGGAGGGCAACCGGGGCTACAGTCCCTGGGTCTCCACAAAAGAGGGGCTCAAATAAGAAAAATAAAAAAAATCTATATTGGGTTTCACAATAAATTGTTTAATGGAAAACTCGACTGAAAAAATTGTTCATTTCATTTGGAAAATAATTTGGGGCCAAGGGGCCTCCACTCCTTTTTCGGCCCGAGGCCTCCAGACCTCTAAATCCGGCCCTGATTATTCGTGCGACAGAGAATACTGTAGCCCAGCCCGAACCGCTCAACAAACGGCCCTTTTTACGTGGGGGTAACGCCTACGCATACACGCTGTCGTGGCCAACGCGGGCTATGACTTTTTTTTATGGGGAGAAAAGCAGCAAACGAGCAGGAGGCTCTCCTGATGGTAAGTGATCACCGCCGCCCTTGGACATCTGCAACACCAGAGGGCTTACAAATGCGTTGCCGGCCTTTTAGGAAAGAGTACGCTCTCTTCTTGAAGGTTCCCAGGTCGTAACGGTTCGGAAAGACCGCCGGCGGCAGCTGGTTCCACAGAGTGGTTGTGCGAGGCAGGAAATATCTTGAAAATCGCGCTGTTGTGGAACGCTGGACATCGAGGTGGTGTGGATGAAATTTATGACTATCATCGAGTAACAACCCCCACGTTGATCCATCCAGGAAGGTATGTTTAAAGAAGTTTAACTGAACATATAATTCACGAGATTTGCCTCGAAATACTTTGGTATTTTATAACTTAAGCATATTACATACATATAAGCAAATTATTATACCGTTCCGAGTAAATTACCTGTTTTTGTCATCCGCGTATTACCGGAAATGAAACAGAATTTATCGTATTATGATTCATAGAAACATTAATTATGTTTCGTCCGGAATACCTACATTTCATACATCACGCTTGCTAGTCGATATTTTTAAGCGTGTTTTCCGTTAGTAGCCTCCATTGTGGACAGTTTTAACTGCTTATCGCCCGATTTTTGACCATCGCGTTTATTAACAATGTGGCTATCACGGAAAAACGTACAATCGACAAGCATTTTACTACGCCGATACTGTTTCAATAAAAAAATGTCAAATTTTACAAAAAGCCTGTAAAGTATTTGTATGTTAAAAAAACAATAACGATACATTGTACCATCAGTTTATAGACAGTTTATCTAATAAAAACCGACCAAGTTCGAGTTGGTCTCGCGTACGAAGGGTTCCGTACCGTTATCTAAACAAACGGCAAAAAAATATGTCTGTTGTATGGGAGCCCCACTTAAATATTTTTTTTCTGTTTTTTAGCATACTAGCTGACCCGGCAAACGTTGTCTTGCCGTATAAATTATTTCTAAAGAATTTGTAGGGTAGAAAAAAATATTTGGGGTGGACCACCCTTAACATTTAGGGGGATGAAAAATAGATGTGTCCGATTCTACACCCTGGCCGATATGCACACAGAATTTCACGAAAATCGGTAGAGCCGTTTCGGAGGAGTTCAATTACAAACACCGTGACACGAGAATTTTATATATTAGATATTCCTTGTTATAGTGGTAGCAGAAATAGATCATCTGTAAAAATTTAAACTAACTATCACGGTTCATGAGATTATGCTTGGTGACAGACGGACGAACAGAAAGACAGACGGACAGACAGTGGAGCCTTAGTAATAGGGTCCCGTTTTACCTACGGTTGGATACGGAACCCTAAAAAGCACTTTGAATATCACACTGATTTCCGCGTTCCGAACAGGTGAAATATAACAGGAGACTGATAACTCCAAATACTGCAAAAAATGGGAAGGAAGGTAGCACTAAGGACCCGATAACAGCTGACTAAGAGATACCAAAAACATAGGGAGAATAATGGAATCCGATGACCATTGAATTGAATAAAAAGTATGCTCCAATGACCATCTTCAATTAAAAGTATGCTCGATCAGCTGTTTGTAGTTGTGACTACAGAGTACATTTGTAGAAATACATCGTCTCAATGTCAACATAAATATGTTGGCAACGAGAGTATGCAACAAAAGGCCGCGAGAGGTCCTTTTGTGTTCTGTTCTTTTACTACTGTACTGTAGTGAGTTACTACTAAAAAAATATTTTCTGTAGTGTTGATTGTTTATTTTGTTTCAGAGTACGTTATATCAAAAATACATTCTTCCAAAAGCATTCCATCTGTTTCCAGCAATGGCCATACATCATACCATACCCATACTATAATTAAGCGTTATAAAGTCAGTGTAAATACAATGGGCGATTTTTTTTGTTTCATCTTTGTTAAATAAAAAAGTATTTAAGAATATTGGTAAATGAAAATATTTTGTAATAAATACAAAATATTTTGATATAAAGCTAACGGAAAGAGATTCAGCCTATTGGCTACATTTTTTAACACAAAGTGTCCAGAAAGTTTCAACCGACATTACGTATATGAGTCCCATTAAATTGTTCGTTAAATGATGGTAATTTTAAAACGATTAACGAGGTTCCGTAGCAAGTTCAGTACTGTTGTCGGACTAAGAATCGATTTTACATGTGAATAAACCATCAAACTAATAAATAAATCATAAGCAGGCTATGACAACTATTCTTTAACAGCTGAGAAGTCTTGTCTAAATCCAAACTAACATTTAAAAAAAAATGGACAGGAATGGGTCTGCAGTATAAAATGAAACCTCTTCGAAAAAAGGTTTTATTTGAGAAGGTCCCTAACCAAATTCGCTCCCAGCTGGTCTCTACCTACGCAACCTGTTCCCGCATGTGCGCTGCGTAGATTTGAAAAAAAAAAAAAAAACAAAGCCGCGACGGGAACTGAACAGCTGATGGATTCCTGCTTTTTACGAACGCCATCTTGGTGCGTGCGAACGGGACAGCCCAAGTCCGTCGCATGGATACGGCGTGAGCCGCGAGTGCGAGAGGGACGGGGGGCAAAATTGCGTGGGAGAGTTTTGGGAACTGTATAATTGTACATAGCCGTATACCTTTTTATAATATTATATAGACTATATAACAGAGGAAAGGTGAATTTTTAACGTTCTATAAAAGATGGACCTTTATCCAGTATCGCTAATTTTCATTCATTTAATTCTTAATGATATTATAAACGCGAAAGTTTGTATGTATGGATGGATGTTTGTTACTCTTTCAAGCATTTGCTTAAGTTTTTAGCGTAGTATTTACTACTGAATGGATTTTAATGAAACTTTACAATAATATAGCTCATACATCAGAAGAATTAGTTTAATAATAGTCAGTTTGATTAATAACAAAGTGTTACTGGTCTTAATATACCATTGCGGTATATCAGGGCGAAGCCAATGTGTGGAGTTATACCGTTGATACTCACGTAGGCTAAATAAGACTATTATACCTATACCATTGTATTGTGAACTGATCTTTTTCAAAAGGAGCATTTGTTGAGGTTCTTGCCGGTCTCTTCTCAACAGAACTGCTTTCCGAACCGGTGGTACCTTACGAACCTATACCTATATATTAATTTTTATGTAAAATTCGACGTTTCATAAGTACGCGCAAGTGTCTATTTCAATAAAGATATTTTGAATTTGAATTTAAATAGATCCCAGTAATAGTTCGACTACCTACTTGACGACAAAAATGTATAAACCCAAACGTCGTAAATAATTGAACTTTTTGTTAAAGTAGGAACAACTCAGGTATGTATGTATAATTTAGGTACTTATTTGTATGAAAGATATAACTTTACCTACGGTATAAGCTTTATTCAATTACGTTATATGTGCAAGTACTAAACTTTTGTTATGTTCATAAAATATACGTAATAGTAATCTTTGTCTTCGAAATGTATTGACACAAGATAAGTTTTCATCATCGTCATATCAGCCGTAGGTCGTCCACAGCTTAACATAGGCCTCCCCATTGATTTCCACTACGACCGGTCGGTAGCGGCCAGCATTCAACGCGTCCCTGCGATCTTTACACTAGGTCGTCCGTCCACCTTGTGGGAGGCCTTCCTACGCTACGCTAGCCGTCACGTGGTCTCCACTTAAGAACCTTTCTGCCTCAAGGGCCATAGGTTCTCCGAGCTATGTGCCCTACCCACTGCCACAGCCTGCTAACTCGCTCTGCTATGTCGGTAACAACAGTTCTTCTACGGATCTCATTTCTGATTTGATCGTAGAGAAACCACAAATATTTTTCCCTAACCCCTTCCATACCCTTTCCATAACTCGCTGTGCGAACCCGAGCTTCCTTACAATACAAATACAAAATGTTAATTCTAATAATAGCTATCTCGTTAAAGTTATAAAGGAGCCCCAAAATAGTAATCTTCACTCGGATAGCTCATAAGGTTTGAAAACCTTGTGCAGTAGTTTTTATATACGTCGAAATTGTCTTTAATGGAAAATATATTAATTTACTGTCAAAAGTTAAATCTAAAGTTATATATATATCGTAACAATTAGGGACTTTTGAGTAGGCGTACCAATTTTGAGCGAACGCATCGATTTCGTACTGATTCGAGTGTAGACTGAACTGCTTGGAAAATTTTCATCCTATTACTATTTATACATCTATTTATCTTGGACTACATCTAACTATACTACTGTATATAAATCAGTCCCTCAGATTTCTAAAACAGCCCACGTCAGCTAAACAGGCCTAAAATAATGCGCAGTAAATATGACCTACCGTACGATTATTGCCGTTCTAAACGATTATTGTATAAGTCAACAGATAGGTATATGCAAATCTTGTATAATTCGCCCTGGATAATGCAGACTGCGCTGAAATAACAAAACAAGCGATAGTCTTATCGTGACGTGCATGACGACCGCAGCCATTTTGATAACCCGGCCCACTTATGGTGTCCCGGTGAATTGTGCTGTGCCTTTGTTTGCGCGACCTTCCGAAATCAGTCGGTGTATGGCCCCAACCTTCTTGTTTTCGCTGCTTCTTTTTTCTACGTGTCGATAGGCGCAGCCATGGTAATAACGCCGGCCATTCACGTTACGTTTTCGAAGTATCCAACAAATAAAACAATGATAATACGAAATGTATAAGGAGTCATAGATACGAATTTCTGTGAAAAAATCTATTAAATAAATGCGGATTACAGGACAGATAAAGCTATTTACTATTATCCACAATATACCTCGACCGAATGAAACTAAAACAAAGTGACAAACTGAAACTAAACCTATCATTAATTGGTAATTTTCATTTTGTATTTAATATTAGGATTCAATTTGAAGGAGGTATCATTAATGCATTGTTAATGATTGACATTTTTTTTTAATTCGTAAAAGATTTATTTTTATTTTGTGAGTTTTATCCCGCGATATAATAAGTGTATTAATTGACATTATCTTGTTCTAAATTTTGAATGAAAGCGTAATCTACTATAATGTATTTTTATATACAGTCAGATGAAATTTAAATATATAAAAACGAATATAGTTCTCAAGTACTTTACGAAAGTAACCAATCTGCCCTTTAATTATAGAATAGGCTTTACCATTTTGATGTAGCACACGAGTATTTTAAATCGATAACAAAAGCAATTGACTGTTTTACAAAAACAATTAGGAAATTGTGAAGTTGGAACGCCTTCATTAAGGATTATAATTAATGCCCCAATTTTGTAAAATTTCAAGAATTTCTTTTTAATGAAAAAAAAGGTTACGTATTCTAAATGAGTTCTATTATGTTGATAAGACAATTATTGCTCTTAGAAATTTTAATTACTTCATATTAAATTCCATTGCAATTACGTTTTATCCAAAATGTTTATACGTTTCGTTTCACACAAAATAATTTTCTAACATTCAATGTTTACTTATATGTATACATGTATTTACATGAATATCTTTATATCTATACATCTATGGGATGTTCAAATCCTTAGCGAACAAGCAGGCACTGGCCGAGGCAGGAACTGGCTGGGGATCGTTTTGGGTGGTCACCTTATCTACGAGGGTCAATCCGACAACACCTGGTTCAAGGTATTAAAAGAGAAACGCATGAGGCGCCATGAGCAGGGCTCCCATCCTCGCCCACCAGGGAGATACACTTGTCGTCAGTGCAGGCGGAGGATGTTATCTCGCATAGGCCAGGACATCTACAAAAGCAGGTGTCATCACCGTGATGCTGCTTAAAACATCTAACACAGATTTTTTAAAAGTTTATGTTCTAGGCTTAACGCCGCGGCTGGTGACAAGAGAGCTGGTTCTTTTCTGGCTCAAAGGTTAAGCATAACTATTCAACGAGGAAATGCAGCTAGCGTTTATTAGATAATATGTAATTTTAGATACATTTAATCTTGTAAAAATTAGATCAATAAAGATTGTAAATACATTTAAAATATATATGTACGTATATATATACACGATACAGGTGCCAAAATAACATTTTGTACAATTTTTTTAGTTTTGTCTGTCTATCTGTCTGTTTGTCCCTGCTAATCTCTGAAACCGCATTTTAATTGAACCGAGTTTAACGGGACTTTCACTGGCAAATAGCTGATGTAATTAGGAGTAACTTAGGCTTCTTTTATTTTAGAAACTATTTATTTTAAATTCCACACGGACAAAGTCACAGGCACAGCTATTTTTAAATAATATAAAACTATTGTATTTATTATTTCAAGTAGATCTACTAAAATTGAGCCTGCAGCAGAACATGTTTTCCTATTCTTATCGTATATTGGTGAATTTGATCACGTTTTATTAAAATAATAATTATTTATGGATTTATTATTACTATTATATAATTATCGGGAAACCGTTAGAAAGTGCTCAGCCGGGAGGCGTCAATGGGCAGCTTTATATCCCCACCGCGCAGCGCGAACGCGCAGCCGCCATTATCCTATAAAAGCCTCGAGCGCCCCCATCGACGCGTAGTTGAAATCGAGAGGCAAAGTTGCGAATATGGAAAGGTGGCGTCTGTGTCGTAATACATCCGCGAGCGACCTCCACCGCAGATAGCAGCGCGACCGCACAGTATACACCAAAACCAGTCAGACTCAGTCAATCGGTCAGTGTTTCGACGTGTCATCCGCGTTGATCGACAGCGGTTCGAGGCCCCCGAGTCACGTCACGTCGCCCCAGCCAGCCGAGCGGCGACCATCTTGTGCGATAACACGCGTCCCGCGCGCCGGCGCGTCTCCTGCCGCTAAAGTGTTAAGTGAACTGTCCGCCAGTGTTGCCGAGAATCGGGCGCCGCCGCCGCGATGAACTGCCAGGGACAGGCGCAGGTGCGGGGGCGGAGGCGCGCCACCCGCACGCCCCTGCCGGCCGCGCTGGGCGTGCGCCGCGACCGCGAGCGCGAGCGGCGCGAGGAGCGCTACGCGGCCAGCAAGTGGGGCGCAGCGCCCGCGGCCGCCGCGCTGCCACCGCCGCCCACCCACTGGCGGCGCGACGGCCGCTGCCGACCGGAGCCCGACCGCGCCCTGCCACTCAAGCTGCTGCTCAACGTCAGCGCGTCGTAGGCCGCCGCCTGGACTGTTAGTGTTAGTGACGCGGCGGCGCGGCCGACGGCGCCCCGTGGTCGTAACGGGGCCGCGTCGCCGTCCCATCTCTCGTGCTAAGTTTTTTATTTCGTAACGCGAAGCGCGTGACGACACGCGAGGAGCGGCGCCTCAGGGCGCCTCGCCGTGCTGCGGCGCCGCCCCGCCGCGTCCAAATTCCGGCGTTAGGTATTATTTTGTGAAAATTTTAGTAGTTAAGTGCAGCCGCCGCACGGCGCGCGCCGCCGCCGCAGCCCCGCCCGGCTCCCTTTCAAAATAAACGAGAAAAAAACCAAAAAAAATCAGTGGGGCCGCGGGGGACTACGGCCGGGGCGCGCGCGGTGTCGGCGCGGCCCGGCGCTGCGCCCCTCGCCGCCTGCGCCTTGCACCCTCAAGCGGTCTCACTCGGTGGCGCCCCAAGCCTTTGATTTTCCAGCCCTGACGGGCGCCGCACGCCGCCTTCCCCGCCCCCGCGACGAGGGCTAGTTCAGAGCTATTGTATTCCGTGAGCTCGGACTGCGTTCCGTCCGCTCCTAGGGTCCGTAGTGAGCGCTGAAAGGCCAAGTGGGGGGAGGCGAGGCGCGGCGTCCTATGGGGCCGCGCCCCCGCACCCTCTGCAAGAAGACCGGAGCTTGCCGTTGCAAGGCATCGAATCGCATTTCTTTTTATATGACGAGGTGGTGTTATTATATTTTACACTGTGTCGACGGTGAGGCTCGTGGCGTCGGGCACCGGGGCTCCGCCCGCCAGTCGTATCGTTTTATTTATCTCGAGACCAATGTATTTTTTTATTTGTAAACGCGCGGCCCGACCGCGGCGAGAGACACTTCCATCGAGCGCAAGCCACACGCGCGCATTTGCCCCACCTCGCCACAACAGAGCTTTAAAATATATTTTATCCTTTCGGCCGGCCGCGCGTCCTTAATTCTAGTTGTAGTAGATTTTAAAAAGAAATTGGAACGATACGGTGTGAAAACTCAAAACTGTAATGTTATTAACAATTGGAAGATATATATTGTTTGTACAGAGAGTAAATGATCTCAGCTGTGGGCCGTCTGCCTGACGAGTAGGAGCTTCTGTGATGTACAAAAGAGAAAAAAAAAGATGTAAACGAGTATATTTGGGATTTTACAAGTTTTTTATAATTAGTTTGTAAAGTATACTTTAAGTAAAGATGGTGGTGCGGCGGCGTTTCGCACCGTCGCACCGGAGACTGCTCGCAGCATCCCTTCTCCCACCCTTTCCCATCCCACTGTCCTGTCTTTTCCCAGGGCTCCTCGGAGCCCGCCAAATGATTCTGAGTTTCTGATGAACGTCTACCACTGGTTACTCTTCAAGAGTCCAGATTTTTCTCTTGCAGCATTGAAAACAAGACATGTTTCGGAGAAATTGAAGAGAATTATCAGGAATGGTGAGTTTTACATATAATAATTACATGTTACTAACTCAAAATTACACAAATAAAAACAGAGGCTCTCACATAGGCTAACAAATTCATAAGATTATTAATAGTAATTATTCTTTGCATGGTGATTAGTAAGTAACAAAAAATTAAAAAAGCGACCAAGTGCGTGTGGGAATCGCGCACGAAGGGATCCATGTCATTATCTATTAAAACTGCAAATAATTCGTATGTTGTATGGGAGCCCCAATATTTTTTTATTTTCTTTTTTTCTGAATTTGTTAGAGCGACAAAAGAAATACATCATCTGTGAAAATTTCAACTGTATCATGGTTCATGAGGTACAGCCTGGTGACAGGCAATGGGGTCTTAGTAATAGGGTCTCGTATAACCCTTTGGGTACAGAACCCTAAAAAGTATGCAAAGTTGTGTGCTTTCATCAGCATGTTTCTCTCAGTTCAATGACATTAAAATAACTTGTGATCTATTACGGGTAGGCAACCAAAAGACAAATGCATTCATTCTATAAATCGTTGCCGAAATAATAGTCTTATTGTGTGTAAGTACAATTATCTTAACAGTTCTTTTTAAATATTTGCTGACTATCGTTTTATTTTATTTCTGACTTTCACATCCACTGTTGCAATGAAATTAGCTTTTTAAAACTGATTAAACAGTTCCTGTGTACTTAGATTCTCCTAGTTTAATAGAAATATTTGATTCTTTTCTTTTGGTAAATAATGTCAAAGCATTGTACAATGCCTTTTAGGCAGTTGTGGTGAATCAAAAAACCTTCTAAATAATGATAAAAATTGTAAAGATAATTATGTTAAACGGTAGATCAAACTGACCTCTATTTCCAAGGCAAACCTTATATATAAAGGTAACAAGTCTTGGGGACTTTATTTGACCAAAAGCATGAGTGGTGCTACCCAAAGTATAACTGCTTTTTAAAGAAGCTTATAAATGTGTGTATTCCTCAAATATTGCAATCTTGCCAATGTATTTGTTAATATAAGACAAATATTGCTGTTTCACAAGCTGTATCTTCAATATGTACCAATATATTTAATACAATCACCAGATTTCCAAGACAAATTGCTAATTCTAACATGATCGGGAATTACACTTTGGAAAGTGATACCAATTTCAATATTATGATAGAATATTCGGATACTATGACTAATATTATGATAACAAAAAATGTTCGTAGTGCGTAAATAGTAAGGAAAGCATCGTGAGGATTTTTAATGTTAGGACAAGTCATTCTACCTGGAGTTTATCTTATAACTCTACGGGGAAATTATTAAATAGTTTGCAGGTCCCATATATTATAAACAGTTTTATATTTTTATTGCTTTGGCGAAGTAGGACCCTTCAGCTGATCTAATCTTCGTCTGATTAAATATTGCGTGCGCAATACAAAATAATGATTTTCACTAAAATTAACGTGAGGTTCTCAATTCAACTATATTTTTTTCGTTACCTCAGAACTTTGCCTGAGTGAATGGATTTTGATATTCTTTTTTTTTTTATATGAAAGCACCTTTCCATGTGTTCCCATATTAATTCCATTGGTATTGGATCTTGGGATCTGGAGATACTTAGGAAAATCCTGAGAATCAACTATAAAATTAGTACAGAGCGAGATTTGAAGTCTGTTCTGTTTTTCGTTAGTAAAAAAATTACTTGTTTTTATGTGATAAGGAGGCAAGCGAGATTGCGGTTCACCTGTTAAGTGGTAGCAGCCCTCCATGGACATTGCCTTGGGTTGCAGGTGCGTTGACATCTATTAATAAAGTGGGCCCCGGCGATCTTACTCTTGACTTACCAGATGAAACTGTAGCATAACACTTACACTTCGTGCCGGTCTCCTGTTAGTTCGTGGTACTTCCCCGACTGTTGCGTGGCCCTACCACAGTGTGTCGATTCGTACACCATTTCCAGAACGAGGACGCTAAGCATATCTTGTAAACACTGCCATATAGAAAGGTTTTCTAGTCGGCAAGTGCTCAAATGTAGGAAGTGACCCCGTGAAAGAAAATCCAGCGGCTTTTTTTTATGTGAAAAGTTGCCAAGCGAGCAACCGGTTCACCTGATGTTAAATGAATACCGCCGCCCATGGACATCTGCTACACCCGAGAGTTGCAGATGCGTTGACAACCTTTTGAAAATGGGCTCCGGCCACCTCACTCACCAGACGGAACGCGAAAGTATATTACTTCCACTTTACGTCGGTCTTCTGCGAGGTCGTGGTACCTGGACGAGCCTGCCCATTCGTGCAACAGCCGAGGCTGCTGCGTGGCCCTACCACCGTGTTGATCGACGAACGTCTCAAAACAACCTAGATATATATATTTTTGATGATAGTTTAGAGTACTTTTTGGGTTATCAAAAAGCGTGAAACGCGTCATCGTCACCGAACGCCTTCCATGAGCTATTTTTTAAAAAGGAATATACAAAAATATATTTGTAGTTATGGATATGATATAAATACTGTTATTTTCCTATAAAATATTAAGAATTTAGTATTAAACAATTTTAATTTTTAAATTGTTTTGGTCCCCATGAAACTGCCTATGTTTTTGGTTTCCATACCATTTTCGAAGAGAGTGTAAGCTTAATTTTTAAAACGCTGAAAGCTGCAACTACGCTAGCAGCTTGGCGCATTAAACGGACCATGTCGAAACACAATTTACAAAACTTTTTAATTTGCAAAATTTGTTTTGTGAAATAAAAATTTCGACGTGCTATTTACACAAACGGCGGAATAGGTTAGGTTTGCTAATTTGACAGCAACTAGAAGAAGCATGTTTTTTTTGTTTTGTTTTTTTGCATTTTTTTTTGAATAAAAAACACTGCCCTTACTTTAGAATAATATTATCCTGTGTTGTAATGGACGTTTTACAAACATAAATTTCACGCGGACAAACACCCAGATGCGAAACACCTATCTGTGGGTCACACAAATAGTTGTCCCGTGTGGGAATCGAACCCACGACCCCCGCCGCCGAAGCCAATACCTTGGCAACTGCGCCACGGAGTCATCAATTTTAATTGAAATTATTTTTGTTTGGTTGTGATATAATTGCGACGCTTATATGATTTCGCTATTTGTGAGATGTGTACATTGGTTTTCATGTTTTGAAAACTGTTAACGATAGGTGTGGTAATGGCTAATTGTATAGTATAGGCATATAAAATTATAAAAAATTGATTTTAGTGAACAAGTGTGGTCAATTTTGTTCGCGTTTGTTTTATAAAAATCACATTTCCCAAATTACATTTTTGGTAGCCAGAGTTGCGCTTAACAATATTGCGAAAATTTTGTTTCCTTTAACCAAGGAAGCGGTACTTCGAGCGGTCATCCTCTATCGTATACAACGAAATATAACCTACATTCGTAGCTTTACACAATACTAACTTTCACTGTCCGCTTCGTTGAGAATCATAAAAGGATTACGCATTGCAACATCAAATGTACTTAAATTTAATTAAGGATAACTAACAAAGCATGTGTGATGAATGCTGCATTCAGCTCTTGTTTGGCGACGAAAAGACATTTTTATGAAACTAGCTTGTGGGAAAATTATAGGTCCAAAAGAATTCTGGAAAAAGAAAAAAATAATATTTATTTTTTCATTAGGTTTGATTAATATTTGAGTAATTTGTTTTTTTTTTTAATACTTTTATCCGTATTTATAAAAATCAACTTAGAGCGGTCTATTTGGTTTGGACTTTGGCAGAAAAAAATGGCGGCTTAACAAATGGTGAATAGACTATATTGAGAAATCGCAAGACGTTACACTATATAGTTAATAAAAATTTGGCTGATATTTCTTGGTTTTGGTTAATTCATAAATAACTGAATGCGATTTATACAGCTATTCGCAAATCCTTGCGACAGTAAACAGGGTTCGGAGTCGATTTCGTTGCGACTCCAAAATGGAGAACTGGTTTGATTCGCTTGTGAAATCCTCTATTGGAACGTGTTTTGTTTTTGTAACTGTCTTGTTCGTGTGTGTAAAGTGTTTGACCTTGATACTGGTTTTATAAATAACAGTGGTGTGGATAAGTACCTTATTAACTGTTTAAGTGCGCTTCTGAACATTTTTATGGTTCTGTACCCAAAAGGGTAAATGGGACCCCTATTACTGAGGCTCCGCTGTCTGTCGGTCCGTCCGTCCGTCTGCTACCAGGCTGTATTTCATGAATCGAGATATTTACGCAGTTTAAATTTTCACAGATGTATTTCTGTTGCCGCTATAACAAAAAATACTAAAAGCAAAAAATATTTAAGTGGGGCTCTCATACAACAAACATGATTTTTTTTTATATATTAATAAATAACGAGTTATTAAATTTTCCAAAACAAAGAATTTTAGAACAGCCTTACGTATAAAACTTTAATGTAAAGTTCATTTGTTAAGGTCACAAAGCATATGAATGGGTTAAATGAATTTAAAAGAGACAAAACATACTGTTAGACGGAGAGGCTTGTAATGCGGCGCTGTGGTAACGAATGAAAGTCTCTGAATGTATGAATCAGTCAGATGTAGTTGTATAGGATGTTACATATTTTGTTTCTTTTTTACTTAATTAGTTTGTTTGAAAAAAAAATTTTAAGTATGGTTTTTTTTAAAAATTAATATTTTTTTTTATGATTATTGGCAAGTAGTCGCCGCGGTGGTAAAGACACGCTGTATATATATATGTATATATTTATTTAGTAGTATCACGGGGCAAATATTTGTGTCATTCACAGATATTTCAGTTTAGGATTTGGGTGTTTGTCTTTTTTTATGTGAGAAGTTGCCAAACTTGCAGACGGTTTACCTGATGGTGAGTGAATACCGCCGCCCATGGTCATCTGCTACACCCGAGGGTTACAGATGCGTTGAAAACCTTTAGAAAATTCGGCTCCGGCCACCTCACTCACCAGACGAAACGCGAAAGTATTATACTTCAACTTTACGCCGGTCTCCTGAGAGGTCTTGGTACTTACCCGGACGAGCCTGCCCATTCGTGAAACAGCAGAGGCTGCTGCGTGGCCCTACCACCATGTAGTGGTACTGTTTAGGTGGTAATATGAGGTTAAAGGTTAGAAAAATCTAGCCAAAACTAAAATTCTTCACATGTTGCGTCGATCCTGTACTGCGGGTCGGGTAAGGCATAATGATGACCAACCAAGCCAAGTTTATAAACGCTTTTTTTATAAAAAAAATCTCTAAATGAGATCACATTCATATGCAAACTATTTTCAAAGTTATATAACAGGTCCTGTAGCGCGTTTGTACACCTTTAGTGTGTTATTGCCGGTTGGGGGCGGTGACTATTTAAACATCATTTAATTAAAATATTAAAAATCATTCCAATTTCGAAAGATAGGACTATCAGGTGTACCGTATTAAGATTTTCTAATATATGGAGTTACAATCTAAGCGCATTCATACGAAACACATTATCCGCCATATAGGATCAAAATAAAATTTAACATTTTCGGTAGCCTAGGCTTACTAAATTAGCACCTCAAACATCGAAGTCCGTCAAATGATTGGAGAACTTTAAAACTTTTGAAATGGTAATTTAAAACAAATCAAACGTCCCAATCCGTTATGCACGTGTTATTAGGTACCGACTCTTAGTCATATTGGTGTCTTTTCCTCTAAAAAATGTAAACCAGTATTAATTTTCATGTCTGACCTATGATCACTTCTTTATATTATTCTAAATTGTATTTAATTACCACCTAGGCCTGAATCACCTTTAAAGAGTTTTGTTTGTGGACATTATCTTCATGATGCATTACATTTTTCTTCGTTGTTACCTTACCTAGACATTATTTTTTATTACCGAATTTATGAAATCTTCCATAATAATAAAATTAAAAATAAATAATATACCAAAATCCCGTAGTAAGCAGTCGCCTCGACATGCATTTCCGTATATTCCAAAATGGCGTCGCGTCGGTTCGTGCGCTATCTAGAACGATCGCGAGCGAGTATGATTGAATGACTCATGATGACTTTAGCTTGGGAATGGTTCTTGCGTGAGTTGTTTGTAAAAAACGCGCTATAAATAGCGCGGTTGGATTCTCAGTATATCCAAGGCGTGACGTGCAGGTGTTTACATAATTATAGGTTAACCCACCTATAAACCATGTGTTATAGTAGATTTGGCCGGCTATTATTTACAACGAACGACTTGCCTTTTTAGGAAAAGGATTTTCCTCTATATCTTTACATGACGATAAACGTGCATCCAAAAAAAAATACATATTGTCGTATGTTTGTTGATGCACGTATTTTCTTCGAATCCAAAACATAATGGCATATTTTTAAAGAAAACTTCATACACTTTACCTCAAGTAAGAACAAGAATTACGTCTTGATGGGCCTAGTGTAGTAGTCAGCAATTCCCATCATTTATCAACTTTAGTCGATACATCAGTGTGTTCAGTTTTTGGTTTGATTCTTGTTAATTTTTACTATCTGCGTGGGTAAATCCTTTAATGTAGGAAATGTAATCATTTTGCAGCCAAGAGATAAGGAAGACAGTCTTATATGGGGTAAGTTTAGAAATGTCCATCGGTTAAAAGCAAATAACAGTTCAAGAACCCACCAGAATGGCGCTCATCTGCAACTTTTATCTGTTTAGCCGATTCGATATTTAGTAGCCAGTATCCAAGACAACTAATAATTGACCAATATTGGCTTGTTCCTTGTTACCGCGTTCGGAACATAAATAAATAGAACTCGGTCTATGTCCTAGGTACAGGTCACGCAATTAATGTTAAACCGTACTGATGCCGTTCCAACCTAAGACCTACGTTTTTAAACTCCTACATAGTTAAGTAGCGACGGTGTCATCAGAGCTTGTTACGTAACAGATTTGAATATTTATGCAATTGAGAAAATAATTAATAGCGAGGATTTGAAAAAAAAAAAAGAACCTATCACGGTTCAGATATACGCGTGATAGAAAAAAACATGTCACTCGTTTCACTTGGCTCACACGAAATAATTATGGTAATGCGAATTGCACTTAAAAGAGCCGTGATAGCCCAGTGTCCGGGCGCTCGCCTTTAATTCAATATACGCGAACGACATCAATTAAATTGTTGATTTTAAGTGCTGACTTATGACTTGATTTGCGGTGAAGGAAAAAATCTTGAGGAACCTGCATATTTTCGAAATAATAACAAAAAAAATATTTCGAAGATATGTGAAGTCCGCCAATCCGCAGTGGGGCTGCGTGGTGGACTATAGTCCACCACGCAGCCCCACTGTATAGAGTGCCCCTGTTACCCTCTGTATAGAGGAGGCTTTTTCCCAGCAGTGGGACATGTACAGGCTGTTACTTTGCTTTGAATTACACTATCATTCAGATAGACTAATGTAAGCAATTATGGTTCTTATCTAAAATGACAACAATATCTAATATGACAAACAATCAACCCAAAGCCAAACCATAGAAGCTTATAACAATCCATCTTAACCTGACTACATTTTAGCAAATAACACGCCATTAAATATTAGTTTTAATTACTGTCTTAAACATACAGCTGAACGGCAGCTTTAAACACGTTCTTCCTCATGACGGGGACGGTAACGCAACACAGCCGATAAGAAACCATGTCATACTTGTTATTCGGAGATTTCACAACGACTGTCGTCGACGAAAATATGGCGCGCAATCGTCATACAATGAAGTCTTCACATTTGACGTTTGCCTCACGATTTCCCGCTTTTTTCGACCACAGATTAAATTTCGTTTCGTTAATTTGTTTATGTATTCATATACATTATATTTTTCTGTCGCTATCAAGTGATATTAAAGCTTAAATGTTAATAATTATAATTGATATGAGCAACAAAAAAATTAATCTACAAGAAATAGCGGCTTACAAGCAACTAGACAATATTAAGTTGTTCAGTTTCCTTGATAAAAAATATCCCGTTGCCGTTGTCCATATAAGAAACTATAATTTCATATCCATTGTATATTTAGTATAAAGTATTAAAATAGAAATTTTTTATGAATTGTCTTAAAAAAATTTACTCTGTAGATTTTTAGTTTAAATTTCAATAATTTATTATAATCGCAATTTCGTAAAAGATAATTTCTTAGCAACTGCGATAACCTCATTATCAGTATGTACCTTAAAATGCATAATTTTACATTAAATGTCAAATGTTGATAACTTTGAAATCAATTAAATTAACATTGTCATTGGGCGCATATTTTAAAATTCCAATTTTAACACATAATTGCTCTTGGTGGAATTTCGTTTCAGTTGTAGTTTTCTAGGTATTTTTCTACTCGACATTATATATTCCACACTTAATTAATAATAATCAAGAAATTTGAAGTACAAGGTTAATATCTAGCTGGAAAAAATGTAAAGAAAACCATCATACAACTCGTATCTATTTAATTACATTTGTTACACATTATTGTACAGTGCACAATTAACAATTAAATTCGAAATCACCGTCCGCAGACAGAACATCTATCACAGACAAAAAATGGGTCCCGAGTCATTTTGTCGTCAGCACTCGCAAGTGTTTGTGTTCCAACCACCAGTTATTTACTTCAACTGTGCACAATCTATTACGGCCCCCATCGAGGACCGTCCAATTCTCCAGACCTTTGCCTCGCACTTCGTAAAACAGGGTTGGTAGCTCGATCTTTCTCAGCTCAGGATCGGGCTAACCTTCGAGGACAACAGCCATGGTCTATTTCAAATCTCACCGATCCATCCAACACCAAGGCTTCCAGTTTTCCCATCGGCGACGTAAATTCTTCAATAGCTTTAACACTAAGTGAGGTGGCAGATTACGGTCTCAAGTCCCATTCCCCATCAGTTATAAGGCTCAGCTTGACTTCCTAGTCCCTCGACCTTCGCAGACCAACCTGTGCAGCTGTTACGCCGCGTCCTGGCAAGCCTCCTCTTGCTCCATATCGAGCGAGTCGACCTTCACGTCCGCGCCCTCCAGGTCCACCTTTCCCTCCGAGGCGGCCGTCCGCAGCTTCGTGGTCATCACGAGGTTGATGATCTCCATCTGGAGGCGGGTGCCCACCTCGTGGGGCATGTTCTTCAGCAGGCAGGTGATGAACGTGGCGAACTTCTCCACCTGCTCGTCCTCGCAGCCCGACGAGGGGCTGGAGACGCGCCGCTTCATGCTGAGGCGCTGCTGGGGCCGGCTAGGGCGCGACTCCCGCCTCCGTTTCCGAGCCTCGTCCTCCAGGTAGACCACTTCGGTGTAGGTCTCGGTCGACTCCTCCTCCTCCTCCTCCTCCTCCGACTGGTCTACGACGTCCTGCGGAGTGGTTGGACGGTCAAGTGTGCCGTAAGCTAACCTTATATATTTTAATCATCTTTTAAGTTTATGCACTTAAGTTCAAACATCAGCATTTGTAAAAATATTTGATTAAAAGTTTTAGGCCGCGCAGGAATCGAACCCGCGTCTCCAGCTATCGCGCCCACACGCTATAACCACTGCGTCATTGGCTCCACGTATTTTATCGCGCCATCTATTGTACATGCCATATTGGTCGTAGAACCGATAGCCGTTGGGGAGGAAAAGTCCTCTAGTGGCAGCCTCGTACTGACATCGCAGTGTTGGACCGCCCACTAGATGGAGTGACGACCTGTGCAAGTGTGCTGGAATCGATGGATGGAGATGGCTCAGGATCGTGCGGTGGTCTGTGTCAGGCCTATGTTCAACAGTGGAGTCAAACAGGCTGAAATGATGATGGTGTTTAAATTTTTTTATAGTGCCAATATCTGCACTTAAGATTGGACATTAAATTTGTAGAAAAATTAACAATAAAAACAATAATTCAAATGCTAAATAACATTGTAGATAAAGGGCGTTAAGATTTTCGTCGGTGTGGCAATCAGCCGTTTAGCTCGGTGGCTAGAGCGTCGGGCCGCGAACGCCGAAGACGTGGGTTCGATTCCCACAGCGGCGACAATCTTTTCGTACTTTTTCTACAAATTTAATGATGATGATACAATAGGTACGTTTCGAAGCACACAAGCTCGTGCGCTGTAAGGCAATCGTTCAGCTTAGGGGGGTGACATCGCTGGCCATCCACCTGTGCCAGCTTGGGGTGGTTCTCCTTAAGGTGGGCGCGCATTTCGCGCGCGCGGTGCGGCAACGTCGCCCTGCAGACGACGCAGCGCGCTCGGCCGCCTGTCTCCTTCTCGAAGAAGCTCCACACGTCGGGGGCCGCCGACTGGTTGGACTCGTCTGTGGAAAGACACTTGGTTAAATAAAGCTTTCTACGGATATTATTGAGTTTTATTTTGATTCTAGATTTCCCTACGTTTAGAACTCTACAGTACACCGCTGGTCTTCTGTGAGGTCGTCGTACTTACCCGGACGAGCCTGCCCATTCGTGCAACAGCCGAGGCTGCTGCGTGGCCCTACCGTTAAAGTCTAATTAGAGTATAATTTGTCCTTAAGACATGAGTTTTAGTTTTGGGGTATGGGATGAGATGGTAGTCGAGCAAAGGTTAAAAAATATAGAGTCAATAGAAAGGGACAATTGAAGTGGAAGAAAGTGAAATATCTAAAATGCTTGGTTCCTTTTAAAAAAACCAACTACATTATATTAAACACATATAAAAATGTATGTACTAATGTATGACCTTATTATGATCTACAATTATCAGAATGGCATGAATTTGTTTTACATTTATTACCCCGGCGTTAAAAGAAAAATTACACTTGCACTCAATATTTTTAAGCTGGCAGCATTTTGAAGATGTCAAGAAAAATCTATAAAGATCGTTTTGATACAAGTATATTTTAAGTAAGAAACAGCCATCCCATCTTCTCTCTTATTAAATGTATTTGTGTTGATTTTTAATTCGGCATCTTATTTTAATGAATTCTTATACATATTGGCTAGTCTAAACTTATTAGAACTGGTAGTATATAAATGCTTTTACAACATGATTACTCTATATTCGAGGAAATAAAGGTACAGTTTAGGACCTCAACTATTTTATGATAAAAGAGTCAAGTAAATATTAAAATTTGAATACGAAGGTATTTAACCCACCTATGTGGGGTCAGTACACCCGAAATCGTATCAAAAATGATATTTTTTTCAAATTCGAATCTGGGACAGAGTCCGTCCATTCAAATAATTAATATTTGCCATACGTTTTTTTTTTTACAACAGGGCCTACTAAGAAAATATCGATATATCAAAGCGGATATTGATATTTTCATAAATATCGATATATTTCTTCACTGCCGGCATCCCTAGGTCACGCACAAACGTCGGTTTGAGGAACTTAACCGACGTCACAACGGAAATCATGCTATCGCGGAAGACGTGACGACATAGGCCATTCACTTCGCAATACAGGGAAGTGGTTTGAAACTGAGGTGGCCACACGGTAATTAGAAAATTGAGGACATTGAGGACACAACAATCCATCAGTCCGAATATTTAACAAAGAACCGCATTCACGATGAAATGCCGATTTTTTTTCAAGTCTTATTCAATCGTATTTTGCAGAGCTGCCAATTTTCAACCGACCTCATAAGGAGGCTCGGTTAAGTCCTATTTTTTAATGTCTTATCCCAGAGCTCCGCCATTTATAACCCGATTTCGGAAATTCTTTTTTCGATGCAAAGGATGTAGATTTTTTCAGGTGGATCCCGTTTAAAGTTCATTGACATTGGCATTTTAGATTTCGAAGGGACCGCAGAGAACAAGTCAAAATCGAATTTGTATAACTTTGTATTTGTATAACTGATCTTAGTTACGCTTTCAGTCCTCAGACTGTTACAAGCTTCATCGAACGCAGAACCGGTGGGCTAGCCAGCCAGAATCCACGGTTTGAGGCCCTCCTCAGTGGGTAGGGCCGCGCATGTACTCAGGCTGCATCACCACTTACCATCAGGTGGGATGGCAGTCAAGTGCTGGCCAGTTCTAAATTTAAAAAAAAATGTGTTATTTTTATGTGAGAAGGTGGCAAGCTAGCTGTCGGTTCACCTGATGTTAAGTGGTAACCGCCGCCCACGGATATTTTCAACACACGTAGGGTTGCAGATGCTCCGCGACTTTTTAATAAAGTCGGCCCCGGCTACCACACTCACCAGAAGAAACGCAGTAGACACTTTTACTACTTCGTCGTCTTCTGTGAGGTCGTGGTTCACCCGGACGGAGCTGCCCATCCGTACAACAGCCGGAGCTGCTGCGTGGCCCTGCCTACGTGGCGTTAGTGTCACCTCCGGGACATGACCCTGATGGCCGTCGATTGTGCTTGTTTAGTCGGTAGCTGGGGGCGGTTCAAACCGCCCTGGAACTCGGGTGTACCTAGTGTTTCGTTGTGTTGGTTTCGCCGGCGCGGAGGAACTATCACTTTTGTTGATGCACCGAGTGAGTAGTGTTGTTTGGCGGGACGTGTCCTCCTTTCCGATGCCACATGGCAACCCAGCGATAGCGCGAATTGCGGAAACAGGTTTTGCACTCAATCTCTGTCGCACTATGCCTATTGGACTGTTAGTGCTTCGAGCTATAGGGATGACGCTGTACAATACCCAATCACTACATAGTATAAAACAAAGTCATCCCGCTGTCCGCCTGTCGCTATACAACTGTGTGTCCCTATACACAGGACAACTGTTTGTGTAACTCACAGTTAATCATTTCGGATCTGGGTGTGTGTCCACGTGAAATTTATGTATAGATATATATGCTTAGATCTTTAAAACTACGCAACGGATCTTGATGCGATTTTTTTTACTCGATAGAGTGATTCAAGAGTAAGGTTTATATCTATAATATATAGCATAATTTAGCTAGTGAAATATAAAGGAAAAGCAAAGTAACAGCCCATATAATCGTACATGTCCCACAGCTGGGCAAAGGCCTCCTTTGTATGGAGGGTATTGAATTGGGGCGTAGAGGGTATGAGGGCTATTTAGGCGTTCGAGGCTAGATGACACAAGCTCAAAGTATATACAAAATTCAATCGACAAACCGGCTCATTTAAATGGTACTGTAACGCAGGCCGTTGGGAAACACTACGTGACGTATTCGAATCTTTGAACGAGAAATAAGCGGCGAGGTGGCCCTGTCACATTGGGCGAGGGCGATTTTACGGCGCGCGTGACGTCACGCGGCGTGACGTCACGACAATGGAACTGCCTCCGACGGCCAGGATATCTGCAAGACATTGGTGAATAGCTAAGGAATTTTAACTGAAAACAAAAATACTGCTAGCCCGGACGAGCCTGCCCATTCGTGCAACACCCGAAGCTGTTATGTATGTATTTATTTTTATTTAACTTTTTTTTTTTAAAGATATTGCTCTTTGGGGTTACGTTATCCTATCCTGAGATATATGTTTGTAAAATGTCCTTGCAACGGACATTTTACAAACATAAATCTCACTTGAAATTCACCCAGATGCGAGACAGCTGTATGTGGGTCACACAAATAGATAGTTGTTCCGTGTGGGAATCGAATCCACGACCCCCTACGCTGAATTTTCCCGACGTAAATAATAAACGTCATAGCTTGCGTACTCGGTCTGTTTCTCTACGATAATTTCAAACGTAAATTCGAAATACAACACACACAACTATTTTTACATCGAACATAAAAACACGCCCAGCGCTAAAGCGGCGTTAAAAACATGCCAATAAATACCACGATGCTCAATTCCGAAGCGACATTGCGTTCAATTCAAATCCGATACATTCGGCGGCCATGATTGAATTTGCTTGTAGATTTCTCCGAAATATGTGCTGAGCCTACAGTCGGCTGGAGGGGGACGCGCGACGGCGCTGTCGGCCCGCCGCCGGGTGCGAGAGAGACAGACATACCGTTGCTCGACGGGAGCCGTTAACAACTGCGCAGTCCGACAGGTTTGAGATAATGTTTCCCGTTCGTTAATTAAATCGAAACAGTAGCGGCCATTTCAGTGGACAGTATTATTTGTTGTATCGACTAGAATTCCTAACTGTACTAGCTAGACACAACATAGGAGAGCTCTAGATACAGCATTCGATATAGGCCATCGACGAAAGTAGGCCATAAAAGCGTTTTTTTGAAAAAATGAAAAAAAAAACACAGCATATACATGCCCATAAAAAAGTCATTTCTTCGTGTAGCCCATTTTTGAATAAAATTAAAAAAAAAAATAAAGTCACAGCATATACATGTCCCAGCAGTGGGACACGTATGAACCCTCTGTATAGAGGAGGACTTTGCCCAGCAGTGGGACACGTATAGGCTGTTACTTTACTAAGACAGTACTCTTTTCGCCTGTATAAAGGCCCATTTACACGATGCCATTTTCTTGTGCACCATAATTGCAACTCATTTATTGCTTCAATTTCATTGTATACAACAGGCAAGAAACTGGCACCGTGTAAATGGGCCTTAACGAACCAAAACGTTCCTAGCCGTGTACATTTATGTAAAAATGTTGCATTGTCGAATCATTCTAAACTAAGGATGAGCAACGCGCGGCCCGCCCTTAAACATGTTTATGCGGCCCGCCAAACATTTCTAAAATTGAATTTATTTTATCGAATTTCTCCCATCAATATATTGTTATAAAATTTATTATAATAACATGGTAGTACATACTGAACCGAAATATTTTTTGATCGTTTTTCTATTCTTTTCTTGTTTCTTTTTACCTGGCATTAAAATTATAAAATCTTTACTTTTTTTTATAATTTTATATTTTTTTATTCCAATATTTATTATAAATAAATTTTCGTAAATTATTATGTGCGGCCCGCCAAAAATATTTGAAATTTAAATTGGCCCATTGATTAAAAAGGTTGCTCACCCCTGTTCTAAACGATTACACCGATCAACCGATTGCCGTCAACATCTACGATACCTGTCTGTAGATAACGTGCCAAACGAATGGCTAGGTCACTACAAATTAATTAACAGGTGCCAATAATCGTGTATGCGGCGACCACCATTAAGTCCGTGAAACAACTCCATACAGTGGACGGCAAAATGGGACATTGTGATTCTCGTACATACATATACTGTGGTAGGGCCACGCGCGGCTGTTGCACGAATGGGCAGGTACGTTTCTGGAAGTGCCACGACCTCACAGATGACCGGTGTGAAGTGGCAGTGTATCTGCGTCTCGTCCGGTGAGCGAGATAGCCGGCGCCCACTTTATTAAGGGTTGCAACGCATATGCAAAGCTACGGGTGTGGCAAATGTTACTATAATACAAATGAATACATTAATG